ATATATTTAATTCTACATTTTTTTTTTATTATTTTATGTTACGAGTTTTTGGTTTTAGTTTGTTGTTAAAAATATTGATTTCAAAAAGTTATCATTTTTCCATTTTAATAATTCAATTATCTTAAAAAAATTAACTAGGCTTTTTGTTAAATGTGTTAATAAAATTTATTTCATATAAAATATTTTTAAATAGATCTATTTATTTTCATAATTCATGATATTTCCTAATTTATATCTAATATGATTATCAATCCCATCTGATCAAATACTATCCATCTTCACTTATTCCTCCAAATAAATAATGAGTTCCAAAATGAATAGATTATTCAGTTAGAAAATCTCCATTTTATTTTTTCCTTATCAAATTGACATATTCACCATTCTTACTAGTTTCAGTAAACTATTTATTGATAGTATTCATTTCAAAGACAGATATATATTCTTAATCAGATTGAGACAATTTTGAATATATTATTATCAATAAAGCCTACTCTATATCCAAAATTATCAATATTAATCATTTGTATTACTTTCCATTCGATATTATATCCTTAATTTTCTATTATTCATATTAATTTATCTTTTCCACATGATACTATTCTATTTTACTATTAATTCAAACTCAATCCTAATAAAGAATCTGAATGATCAGTAATTGTTTATAAACAGAACCATTCATTCTTCTTTATCCAAAAATTAATTGTTTTATCATAACTCCTTGATATAATTAGATCTTCATTTATATTTAAAACTAAACAAGTGATTCCTAAATTATATCCATTTAATATCTATAACAAACTCCATAAATTATTTTAATTTTACTTCCATATACTAATAGTATTATCACGACTTCCAGATATAAACTTTTCGATGTCTTCATGAAGTTTAAAGTAAATACAAAATCTTTATGTTCATTTAAAGTTTAAATTTCTTTGATGATTCCTTATTTGAATTCTTATACTTTAATTTTTGAATTACATCCAGCCACCAATGTTGAACAATCATTATCTTAAGCTATAGCAAAACAGTAATCTCTTTATGAAATTGAAGATTGTTGAATTATTTAATAATCGAATGGTTTGAGATTTATTGAATGAGTAGATTAAATAGTTCATGATTCTATTATATTTAATTTACTATTTAAACATTCTATTTCTTTATTTTTTTGTTCTAATAGGATTTCCTTATCTATTAATTTCTATTCTATTGATTTTTAAATATCTCTAATCTATTGTTCACATATTTAACTGATATTAATTTGAAGTTATTATTCTTAGAGCAATAATTAATTTTTAATTTTAGTTTTGATTATTGGTTATAAGTTTTAAGAAAGTTATGAAACAAATTTTACATTATTCAATTTAAATTAAGGCCAATTAATTTAAGATTTATATTATGAATTTTAAATAGACTTTTGATCTTAAACAATCAAAGAATCAGAAGTTTCATTAAGAAGGGAATCCAGTTAAGCATCAATAATGTTGAATGAAGACTATTAAATTTATAAATTAACTCTTTTACTTCAATTTAGTTTTATACACCTTGAAAGCATTCTTCTATTTGTCTTTTGGTAATCCTAATTTGTAAATCCGAGGTATTTATTCATATTTCTATTATTCTTCAAAAATTATTAATAATCTATAATGATTTTAATTATCTATTTATTGTGTAATAATACATAATAAATTAATATTTCCAACTTAATTAAAATACTATATATCACTAAAGGGATTTTAATTAATTTTATATAAGTTTAATTGATTATAAAATAAAAATATTCATTTCTTTTTGAACCATAGTTAATAATATAGTGAGAACGATAAATAGATTAATGCTTTTAGATGAATCAATGTTTACAATATTTATGATAGTGAATAGTTTACTCATTAATACTTATATAATCCATATATGCATTACTAATCAGCAATATAAAATTATATTTTGATATCTAAGTTTGGAATCATTAAAATAACTCAATTTTAGCGATAATATGGTTAATATCATAATATCAAAATCTTTTTCCCCTATTGTATTTTATTCATTATTCTCAAAAATTATAATTTTGCCATAGCATCTGTATATAAGAAATTGTATCTCTTAATTACATAATTTAATTTTCTCTTTATGTATCATAAAACAGTAGAGCTAAGGATTTAAACTGATTAAAATATGTTCGGAATTTGATGAAATTAAAGTGGAATCAATATTTCAATTAAATTAGATGAGGAAAAACCTAAGATTTAAGACTCATTAAGAAGAAAAATAGATATTTAAACAAAGTCGATAAAGGATATATACTCTTTGAAATAATATTGATTATTTATTTATTTGATAACTAATCTATTTTAGTAATCTTATGAATTCGAAATAAATTCTAAATAAATAATAAATCAGTTAATTACTTGGTGGTTTAATATTTCATACTTTTAATCAATCTTGAAATAATTTCTTTAAATACTTGATAAAATTTATAATTATTATATGCTACATAGTTTTATTTATTTTTATTGACTTTAAACAAGAATATCTTTGAGCATTTTTTTTCTACTAAATAATTCACAAAAGAATTATTAATACTAGTATTTATATTCCTGGAAACAAGTTAGAGTTATCTAAGTATATACTTAGAAAACCCATTATCAAATTTTCTTTTTTTGGTTAATTTTTATACATTAATTACAATAATCACAAATTATAGCATTTTAAATTAATTAGTGCTCAAGAGTGCAAATATTTGAACTTTGGTCTGTCACACGTAGCTATTGTGTGAAGGAACTTTCATCTTAGTTCTATCAGAATAGTAACTAATCAATTCTTTTAAAATATGTTTTTTGATCATTTTCTTGTAAAAATCTTCACACTTAAACTAACTCCTATAATTCTCACAAATATGTCTACTTATTTTCTCATAAAGGAGGGATTAAATTATGTTAGTGTCTATATTCTCTGTTCTTGACAATTTGAGATCATATTCCAGAAAACCCAGTACAAGAAAATTATAATTTGGGTTTAAATTTCTCTACTTATTACGAGGTTGTATACAAGGTTTACTTGGCTGGACTGGATAATTTATATTTTAAATTATATTTTTGTCAATTTTTTGGAACTCCATTATTAGTATTTAGACACTTCTTGATATTTTTTGAAAGATATTTCTGAGAGTAATAACACTTGATTTTATCTTTTTTTCTATTTCTAAAAAATCCTTATAACTAGAAACCTTAAGTATCAAACAATTTAAATTTAATGTTGTTTCATAAACATTAACAAACGGAATAAATGGTAAATATCCTAAATTTTTAATCAAATTTTATATTGTTTATTCGGTTATACAAACTTAAATATATGAATAATTCTATAAATGAGCTCTGGTAGAATGACTTTTTCAATCACTCTTAATTCTTAAACTACTTTTGTGTTCAATTTGATCTACCATATTTTTTGAATTCACAATCATCTTGATCATTTTTTCTTCACTTTAAAGGGATATATTCAAAATTGCTATTATTACTTAAAGCCTTCACATCGTCATAATCTTATGCTTTTATATGTTAATAATAATAATATGATATAATATAATAACACACATTTAACTGGAATCTATCTTTATACATATGAAACAGCATAATTTGTTAGGGATTTGCAACTCTATATAAAGTATTTCACATAAATATTCAAGTGAGCCGAAGGCTCATTAAATTAGAACTTGCACAATTAATTTTTTCTTTTTTACAATTTATAAGTATTAATTAATAGATAATTGGATGAACGAATTGTTACTTTAAAGCATAAAATTATCATTCAACACAATTACAATTAAATTATAAAAAAATAAATTAGTTAGCTCCAAAATATATTCAAATTGCACAAAGATAGTTTATGTCATTGTTTAGGTTTTGATTTAATATTTGTGAATAAAAATGATTATGATATAATCTAGTATTAACAAAAAGTTTGTTTTTTAGTCTTAGTTTAAATAAAAAATCATTATTCAAGGGAAAATAAAAAATCCATTGAGAGTTAAAGTTTACAAGAAAGGAAATCGATATAAATTCCACAAACAAAGCTTTCTTAATGATTTTCAAAAAACAATTATTATTTTTATATTATTTTAGATTCTTTAAATACTTCTAACATCTTAATTTGCTTATGATGAATTATGAGAATGAAACTAAAAAAGGTTACTCAAATTTTAGACTTTATATTAAAAAAATGTTTTGTTAAATCTAATAAAGCAGAATCTACCAATTTATATTCAAGTATTTTTATGCATTATTTATTATACTCAATACTAAATTTATTAAAATATATTATGTAAATTTGAAGAAGATTTATAAAGTGAAAAAAAAGAATCAAAAAAATTCAAGAGAAAAGTTAATTATAACTAATTTTAAAAACGGTTAAAGTATTTTATTGTTTTGTTAGCATAGGGTTCCATATTAAGTCCTTTCTTATTTAAAATATTTTTTCATTATTTATTACATCAAGTACAAATATAACAAATTCAATATGAGGAAGAGATTACTCAAAGAAGTGAAGATTTTTGCATATGCGGATGATGTAGCCGTATCGACCAGCTATGAAGTCATTGACATAGCAACTTAAATTTTATCTTAGTTTTTGACTAAACAGATTTACCTGTTAATATAAAAAAGACTAAATACATAGCCAACAGAAGGAACTAAAAACTTGAAGAATAAGAAATATAACAAGTGGATTATTTCAGATACTTAGGATCGAGAGTAAACATAAGAGGAAATATCACGGTAATATAGAGATCCAAAAGAATGGCTTTTCTAAAGAAAATTGTCCCATTCAGAGTTACAACCAAGTTATAAATTCTATATGTTTTACCTCTAATAAGATATAATAGCATAGTAATTTTAATTTTATCATCCTTTTTTTAATTGTCAAAATGATCCTATTGAGGAGTTTAAGATGAAAGTAAATGCAGAGAGTTAATTAGATTTTCTTCATTTTTTCTTAAAGTTTCGTTTATTGCTGAAGTACTAATATGGTTGTGATACCAAAAAAAACTTGCTTCTATCGTTGTTTAAATTTTCCATCAGTATATATAAATAAATTGATGTAATTTCCATTCTTCAAGAAGTATACATTTTTATCTATTAAATAAAAAAGGGAAATTATTAAAGCAGGATCTCCCTCTACTATTTAGAGGAATAGTTCTTTGCAATAAATATTATTTTTTTGTATAAACATTAAAATGTGGCATCCAATTCCAATTTTTAGAAACTGGTTAAAATACTAAGGTATCATTAGTTAATACCCACACACTAAAACAAAATTATATGATTTTATTCTCTTTTTCACCATTCAAAACGGATCACTTTTCTATTATATTAACTGTTACAACTCTAATACTATTAATTGATTCCCCACTACACAATTCTATTTGATTACAATATGATTTTTAATAGTTTCTAAAATATATATATAATATATATTCAGTTTATTCTTATTTAATTATCGTTTATTAATATAATCGTATTTAAATGTTCTTAGAATTTGATCCCAGGTTATCAAATACTTCCCATTTTGCATAACAGTACCAAATAGCCAGCCAATTGGTTAGAAAATTAACCTTCTATCCGTTTTTAGATATAAGAATTTGTTTATTATATATATAAACAAGACCTTCTACAATAATTTCTTATAATTTGTTGAACATTTATGTATTTTCATCAAGCTAGTATAAGAAAAGACGATTTCTAGGTATTCTTGATTTAAATGCAAAAAGTCCATTAGTAATAAAAACTATTCTATATCCTTCCCCATCTAATTTAATCTTCTATTTTATTTGCCATTCCATTTATCTTGATCCTTGCATTAATAATATTTAATTATCTTTACCACAAGAAATTAAAGTATTTTCCTCTTTGTTTATAGATAATCCATAAATCATCTCTTAATGTTAATTAATGGTTTATATACACTACCATTAAGAACGCGAAGATGGAGAAAATTGATGGTTTTATCAAAAGAGCCACTTATGATTAAGTCTCCCTTAAGTGGATGCACAACCATACTTGATATAGCTTGCATATGTTTCTTAAGTTTAAACAAATATTTTGGTTTGATATGAGATTTAAAGACCATATAAGTATAAATCCATCTTCATAACAACAAATTAATTATGATCTTCTCTAAAGGAAATTAAGTTAAGAGATATTTCTTTAGATTATTGGAAATATTTAGAGTTATTTTTGTTTCATTAATTGGAATAAGAGTATTCTTACATGATTCTTTCCTCAAATAGCTAAGAGCATTTTATTATGATTTATGGCTAAGTTTTAACAAAAATCAAGGTATTCATAAGTTAATAAAGGAGATGAGTTTTATATAATTGTGACTAAGATTGATTACATTCTTAAATTGAACAAACTCAAGAGATGATAAATATTTGAATATTAAATTCCATCAATGATGATATTCTGTTAGAATCATGATAAAAATTATATAAAAATGTGATAATATTTAAATTGTAAATTTCAAATGTTAAATTATTCATAAATTTTGAGCATAGATTTAATTCAGAATGTTAGAGAATATGGTTTTTTACTACTTGATTATGTTTGTTACATATTTTAAAGATTTAGTATCTTATGATGATGAACTTAATTATTTATAATATAAAATATAATCAAATTTTAATATAGATTATTATATTATTCTAATTTAAAAAGAATTCATATATTGATAAGTTTTTGGGAGCATCTCTAAAAACTAAGTTTTTATTATGTAAAATTAAATAATATAAATTAATAAAAAATTTATTAAAAATTAAAAAAAAATAATAACATATTTTTCTATCACAAAAAGTTGATATTGAAATAAATACTTTAATACTTAATCTAATTCATTTTCTTTTTCTAATAAAAAATTATCTATAAAAAACCTCATCATAATTTAAGAATTAATTACTTAATTCTATCTATGATATATCTATCAATTCTTTAGGCAACTAAACAGAATCAACGAATATAATTTCCATTTTATAAAATTTTCTCTAAAATGGAGTATAATTTCAAGAGGGGAAACCAACTGAAAATCTTGAACAACTTTTATTGTTAAAAATATATATAGGAATTTAATATAATAGATACTTCTTAAATTTTGACTTATTTTAGATAAGAAATTGATTAAAATTACTATTATATATTAATAATTTCAAATCATTAAGTTATTTCTTTTTAATGTCTTAAAATTAAAACACATCCTAATTATAAGTTATAAATATAAACCTTTTTAGAAATATATTTAAGCTTTTTATGATTTATTTTAAAGATTTATGTCGATGTTATTCAATGCTTTTTCATAATCTTTCAACATACAACAAGTTAATCCTTATGATAAGTTATTAATATTCACCTTTTAATTAATAGGCTACTGTTATTGATGTGTCTATCCCAATTGCATTTATATCTTTCTAAATTTATTTTTCTAATAATAATAATAAAATTCACAATCGAATTGTTTTGGCATATTAAACATGCTCAAATCGTATTAAACATTCCCTATTTATTAATTCTTAATATTTACATTTATTATTCTTATATTCTGGGTCAATTTTATTTGCTAATTAGTAATCCTTATTACAATCATCAACTCTATTTAATTTAATATAAGCATTTCCTAATTATTTATTGTGAATAGTTAGTTACCTCTATTATTATATGCCTTTACATATTTTGGATCAATCTTTATTGCACTTGAGTAATCCTAAATAGCTTCAGGATATTTCTTTAAATGATAATAAACATTTCCTAACTATAAAATAATAATATTCACCCCTATTGTTATATGCTGTGGCTAATTTTGGGTCAATCTTAATCGCATCTGAGAAATCTTTTATAGCATCATCATATTTTTTCAAGTGTTATTAAACAAATCCTGTTGATAAGATATAGATTTTTACCTTTGTTATTATAAGCCTTAGCATGTTATGAATTTTGTTCAATGGCCTTCTAGAAATAACCTAGTGCCTCAGAGTATATATTATTGGTCTAAGCAATTTTTTCTAAACAATAAGATAATGAATAACCTAGATTTTTTGGAAGAGTTATTTATGGGTCTATCTTAATAGCTTTATTAAAATCCTCAATAGCGTCATCAATTAGATCTAATTCTAAATAAGTATTTCCTAATTCTATTATATATACTATTACCTCTATTGAAATATGCCATTGCATAATTTGGGTTAATCTAAATTACATATGAGAAACCTTTTATAGCCTCATCATAATTCTTTAAATAATGATAGGCAATAGCTATTCAATAGTTAGAATATTCACCTCTATTGTAATACGATATAAATTCTTATGGATCAATCTAAATTGCTTTTGAGTATTCCTCAACAGCTCTATCATACTAGAGTAATATATAATAAATTAATCCTATATTATAATTATTAATAATTGCCTCTATTATTATAAGGCAAAGAAAATTATGGATCAATTTCAATAGCTTTTGAGTATTACTCTATAGCTTAATCATATAAACCTAATATATATAAAACAAATCCTTTTGATAGATTTAAAAATTCACCTTTGCCATTATATGCCTTAGCATTTGTTGGTTCAATCTCAATTGCTTCAGAGTAGGCTTCTATGGATTCATAATACATTCCGAATTTTTGTAAGGCATTTCCTTATTATAAAAATAAGATCAAATACCTTTCCAATAATAGGCATTTGCTTTTTCTGCATTTATTTAACTTTCGGTTTTATCATTATTTACATCTTGTTTCTCCTCTTATTTACTCATTCTATCTTTTTAATAGTTATTTTTATTTATTAAAATAGGGCCATAAGTAATAGAATTTAAATATTTATTTATAAACATATATCACAAATTTACATTAAATAATAGATTTAATTATTTGTTTACAATTTAACTTAATATTCAAAATCTTAAATAGATGTTAGCCTTTCTTCTATAATATTTAACAAATAATTTTACTAGGATCTTACTTTAATATTCTTAAAAGTAATTTTATTTGTAAATATTTTATCATTTTAGCCTCAATCAATTATTTTTATTTTTCTTCTTTAACAAACGAAAGTGATCAGTTTGTCATTTTTACAATCAAAGAGAAGCAATTATTTTAAAATTACATTTTTATATCTACTCATTAAAGTGAGTAGATTGATTTTAATTTATTTTCTTTTTGGAAATTCCGTATGGTTTTATATCTGTTTATATAAATATCATTTTGATATAAAATTATATGATTATAGTATTATGTATTATTAATCCATCTATCTTGAAAAATTAGTTGATAATTTTCTTTGGGATAATAATATTTTCAGTTTATTCATTTTAATTATTTATCATTCAGAAGTATCATTTTCGAATTTTTTGTTTCATAATTTAGAATTATAAATTAATTATTTATTTGAAATTTGATTTAACTGAAATTTTATTCACTATAAATAATACAACTTTTTCGAAAATTTAGATAGCAAACTTTTAATTTAATTTATTCATGGAATGATTTAGGTTAAATTAAATATACCTTTATAAAGGTTTCCTTTATGATTATAAATATTAATAATTTTAGAATAAATAAAATGAATAAAAATTTCAATTAAGAAATAGACTTTAAGTGTAATCATTTGCTAGAAATGGAGAAGGATAAAATAAATTTATATAGAAAAAGAAGGAATAAAAGCTAACCAATCATAATAAGACAATAACGTAATTTTTTAAAATATGTAATAAAATATGCTTTAAGAAATATCTGAATTTATTAAGACAATTAATTATTGGATTTAAAAATTTCAAAGGGAATTAGTAATATTAAGAACAGAATTAATGATCAAATTGGATTAAGCTATATTTTTAGTTAGAGATTGATCAGAAACTTTATAATTAGCAATTTAATAAACACCTAATCTAAGTTGGTGTAAGATAGAAATTTAGTAAGGTCTGTATACTGTACTGTCTTAGATTTTTTAAAAGAGATATGAGGATTCTCTTAAAAAAGTAAATTTTTCCTATATATAACAAATAATACTAGGTAAAGACTCTATGAAGAAGGAAGAAAAATAAGATAAAATTGAAATATTGTTTAAGAACTTTTTTATTCGGGAATTTTAATTACAGAAAAAGAATTATAATATCAATTCATTAATTAAATTAAAAAAAAAAAATATGTTATAGCCTAGCATTTAATTAATAAGGAAAAATCATGGTTAGCTGTTAATAAAATGAGATTAAGATATGGAAATTTCATGATGGAAAGCAAATTAATTGCATATAATAGATTTAAATAGATTATGCAACTTATTTAATTTTTAGTCTAAGAACTATTTTTTTTATAGCAGGTAGTTTTGATTCATCAATTAAACTTTATTATGATAATAATTATAAATGGTATAAGTAAGCTAGTAATATATCTCATGGAGGACTAGTAACTTGTGTAATTTTTAATAAATAAGAAGATTAATTGATATCATGCAGTTAGGATTTCTTAATTGTTATTTGGAAAATATTCTTACCTTGAAATCTATTGAGTTTAATTATGAATTATAAAGACATCAAAAAGCCATAATTGGTCTAAGTATCAATAAATAAGATACAGAATTTGTTTCTACAGGTTATGATTAAAAAATTATTATTTGGAAAAAAAACCAAAAATGGATTTTAATCAATTAGTTGATCACTAATATTCTGATGTTGGTTGTGGAGTTTCCAAAATTACAGATACAATGATTGCTTGGTAATAAAGCGATCAACAATATATTCTTTTTTTTGAATTATAAAAAGACATTTATGTCTAGAAAAATTATTTGAAATTGGAATACTAGAAATGTAAAATCAAGACTTAATTATTCTTATTCCCAACCTTATACAATAATGAAAAAAAAAGTCATAATTAAAAAGTTCAACAGCAAAATCTATTTTATTCTTTTAGATAAATCAAATAAATAATTTAAAGTTGATTGCAATCCTATTGAATATTCCAGTAGTGTATTTTTTGGTAATTTGTCTTAAGATGGAAGGTTTTTAGTCATTTTAGACTATTTGTTGAAAAAATACGAAAATTATGAATTATGTTATGAATGAAACAAAATTTAATAAATAATATATTCCTAAAATATGTTATTTGTTTTTGAATATGTAAATAAATTTATGTTATTTTTTATATTTTTATAAATTTAAGCATTGTAAAAGTGTTTTGATAATCATAGAACTAATAAGTGAGAGAAAAATATCTATGATCAATATGCTAGATTTTCTATAGAATCTTTTAGTAAATAAATCATTTTATTTCAAACTATTATAGCCATATATTCATATTCGAATCTATTAAATATTATAATCAAATAAAATAAGAATTTTAAATTCAGACCCAATCCTTTGAATTAACCTTCTATTTACATAATGAAACAATGAAAGAATGTTTAAAAATCAAAAAGTTGATGATATATAATCTGAGGTATAATTTAACTTATTTTTGTTAATATTCACATTAATAAATGGTGTCAAAGAATCTCTTTATCTATATATTATTTTGATAGATTATATAATAAATTTATTATCAAGTAATTTTATTTTCCTACTTTAAAAGTGTAAACAATCTTATTTGGCTATTTATGGTTAATAATACTAACTAAGAAAAGACTCCACTTGAATTTAGTTTTCTTTATGCTAAAAAAAATGAAGAGTAAATTTTTTACTAACCTCTTATCATGTGACTATTTCATATTTTGTTTTTAAACAAAAATCAATTTACAAGAAAATATTGAAAAAAAAAGAAGAAGAAGAAGAAATTGAGTTAATATATATGAATTAAATTTTATTACTCATAATACTTTATTAATATTCATCAATATTTTGTCTCCCGACAGTTATCCTTCTAGATTCTTGATCAAACAGAGACTTTATCTTATGTTATTCCAGAAACCTTACTATCTTTTGAATATTATTTAACTTAAAAATCCACTATCCTATATATGATACAGAGATTAGAGATAAAAAATATATTTGAGTACTAGCATTCTCAAATTCAAAGTATACTTCCTGAAAATCTTTGATGTTAAATTAGCTAATCACTGTTATTCTATAATCATCGATTGCAAGCCACCGATGTTGAATTCCATTCCTTAAGTTAAGGTTTAAATTTAAGACATTTTTTCCTCCTTGAATGTTTCAGGAGAGATATCTGCTTAGGGTAAAAGTAAGAGAAAAAGAAAAACTTTATTTTGTCAAGTTCTTCAATTCAAAACAGAAAATTTACTTCTAGTATTTCAACTAAACTTTTCGAATAGAAAAATTAGGAATGTATTTTTTATATTGAAAAATATTTAACTCTGTGTTTATTTAAACTTTTCTTACCTTATAATTTATATGAGCTATTTAAAAATTTATAATAATAATTATTTCATTTTATTTTAAGAAATAATGTACATTATATAATTTATAATTGAGCATATGGTTTTATATAATTAGAAGTTAAGTAAAAAACTATTTATCGATTTAATAAATTCTAATAGATTTTTATTCATTTAAAGTGGTCTGGTTTTTTAGATTAGATGTTAATATAAATAATGATTTAGTAGTCATCTGATTTAAATTTTATTTGTAAAAGAGAAAATCACAATGAAGAGATTAATATGGTTTGTTATAATCAAAATTGTACAGAGTCCAGATTGATTTGTTGCATATGTATTAAGGAGGGTTACCACACTTAACATAATGAAGATGTGAAAGAAATATAAAATTTTAGATAAATCGTTGAGAATAAAAATTTAGAATGTGATAATTTGATTGATTACCTTAAGAAATAAATAGAAACTGTTGATCAATCATTTTCTAAATTTGCATAAGGAATTAGAAATAAATATTAATTATCTATTGAAAAATTACTTAAATTGAATTCGAAATAAGTTAATGATTTTATGAATTCACTCATCAAATTTGCAGAATATAAATAATCAATAATATAAACTGTAACATAATTGACCATAAAAATGGTTAAAAATTTTGATAGTTTGAAGGAATAATTAAAATTATCATCAGTTACTTACTATCAGATTAATGATGAAAACTAACAATAATTCATTTCATTATATGGTCAAAGTAAATTTGTCATCATTTTGTTTAGGCTAAACTTTAGGTTAATAAGGAAAATATAAAGAGGCCATAGAATTATTGAATAAAGTTATTCAATTAAATCCTAATTATTATCAAGCATTAAGTTTTAAAGGTAAAACTAATATATATTTATAGGTTAATGTCTAATGGAGCTAAACAAAAATGAAGAGGCAATGATTTGGTTAGATAAGGCTTTAGCTATCAATCCTTAGCATGTAGTCTCCTTATATAAAGAAGGTAAATTTAATATTTATTAGATTTATAGGTGAATGCTTAAAATTTTTAGGCAAATATGAGGATGCAATAAATTAATAAGATAAAGTATTATCAATTGATCCTAAAAATGTAATTTCATTATGTGAAAAAGGTTGATCTAATATAATAAAATCAATAGGTGATTGCTTAATGAGATTAAAAAAATACGAGGATTCTTTAAATTATCTAAATTAAGCACTTTCCATTAGTCCTGGCGATATCATTTCTCTCAAGAATAAAGGTATCTAGTTTTTTATTTGGTAGGTCGCTGTTTATATTGAGTCATTTATCATTTTCATTGTAGAATATTTTTTTTTTATATGGAAGCTCTGATTTGTTATCAAAAATTATTATAGAGAGAATCAAATGTTCAATGGACAAAAGATCGTATAAGTATTTTTATCCATATAAATAAGAATTTTGTTAAAATAAAATTAACTAATGAGTAATTAAATAATCATAAATCTATTCTTATTTTCTATTTATTCCTATTAAATTGTGGTTTAATAATTGTAAATAATAAAGTATTAGTAACACTGAATTCATTCTATCTTTTTTATTTAAATTCTAAATCCAAATGATATATTTTATTCAAATCATTTTCAAATATAATAATCAATTTAAATCTTATTTAACTAACTTTCAAAAAATGCTATTACCATAAAAAGATAATACGGAAAATGATCAAAAAAATTGTAAAACCTTCTACAAATATTTTTTTCAATATTATGTCTGAGTCAAACTATTTCTCTGATCCGCAAATTAAGAATCATTATTTAAATATCTTAAAACCTTTTCATATAGATTACTTTGATATTTACTTTTTAGGTCAAGATTAAATTATTTGATGCTTATATGTGATAGAATAAATGATGAAATGATAACTATATAATATATTAAATTTTAATGAATTTAAAATTGAAGTTCAAAATAGAATAATATTTAGTCACTACTTTAAAATTATATTTGAATAAGAATTATTCTAAAATAGCTTTTATATCTAAAAAGTAATTGATGTACCTATATTATTTATTGAGAAATTGCATTTATAATTTTTGATCACTGAATTGTTTAAATTTCAATCTTTTAAATATTATAGAAGTTTGCCTAATTTAGTTCATCTTTCAAGAAATTAATTATAATTATTATTATTAAAATATATGATATGTCTTTTGTATGATAAACTTAATTGTTTTGGGCTAAATTGAGAATAAAATTCATGATATATTTTAGATCTTGATCTTTTTGTTAAGATTATGATACTTTTAATTTATGCTGTTATGACTTACGAAAGTTTCCTATCCTAAAGTTCAACAGAGTTCAATTAGAACTCCACTCATTATTTGAATTAGCCATGAATGGTGTGTAAAATATTTTTAGGAACTTTACCTATGTGCCTTGTTTTATGTGTAGTTGGTCCTCAAAATCATTAAATATTCTTACGAAAGTTTTTGCATTTCATCCAAATGAACAATAAATTTTTCTTCAAATCTTTTTTTGAAGATTAGAAAATTATTTTTACTGGATATCATTTTATAAGGAGTTTAAATTGAAACATTTCTCAATAGTTGGTAGGATATTTAGATTATAAATGACTTTGAGAATTAATATTATAGGTCTTCATTTATTTGGTTTAAATCAGAATACATATAAATTATAACCTATTTAGACCCCATATTCAAGATTTTGATAAATCTTCTCAATAAAGCTTGGATTTTAATGTGAGAACTAAGAAATACCATTAACATTTTTTAATTTTGTTTAAATCTTGAAATCAAGTTTCTTCATTTTTCATCAATAGCATAATGTTTCAATTCATTCCAGTATATAGTGTTTTATATTGAACTAAGGTATGACGATTAGGAAGGAGTTGAAGTAGCAGATAAAAATATTACTTGAACTCCAAACATAAAGTCAAAATTTGTAGAAGTTTACAATTGAATTAAATTTAAAACATTTTTCACTATTTTTGTATTAAATAATGAGAGCATATCTATCTAAGAGTAAAATTCTTAAATAAATTCAGTTTAAAATGTTTTAAAACAGAAGGGGGCATATCAAAAAAGAGTATGAAACCAAAAGTCATATTTAATCATAATTAATGATACGTGCTAAGTAATTAGTGAATTTTAAGAAAATAAAGTATTTTTATGATAAATTTAAAACTTTTAATATCAATTATGAAATTTAAGAGATTATATAATTATAAATATTTGGCTAAAATGCAAACATAGTCTATATTCATATAATAAATAAATTATGAAATAAAATTTAAAATTTATTTTCACTTATAAAAAGTTAAATAAATTTTAAATATTATCTTGAAGTTACATAATCAATAAATGTATTTATATTTACTGGTTGTACAAACTAACCATATAAATTAATTTAGAATTATTTTTATATTTAATAAATGAACAAAGATTTCACTATTTTATGTTTTGATTTAATAATCTTCAATAGCATATTAATATTTATATTCCTTTAGTACACGCGAAATTTACATGTTCAATTGTAATAATAATTGATCGTTCACATATATAAGGATTTTTATTATCAAAGTTAATCGAAAATAATCGAATATATTGAATTATCAAAAGTAAATCGAAATTAATATCACATTCTTAAACTTAGGAGAAACAAAAATACTAAATATATTATAAATTGAATCTTGATTGAGCTTGAAGGAAAATTCATATGGATTCTTAAATTAATTGACTTTGTTTTATATTAAATAAAATTGAGGAGACTTTAATGTTCTTAAACATTTTTGACTTTATGCTATTCATCTTATTGTTTAAGTAAAAAAAATACACACATAATAGTTATGTAGAAAATTATTGTAAATTTTCAGCTTTCATGCCTCTATTAAGCACAAACAATAATCAATTTTCTATTGATTAAACCTTAACCAAAGAATTCATTTAAGGCCAGACTAATGCAGGATTTGGAGTTTGGATGAAATATTAGCCATTAACTTATATAAGAGAGCTATGTATATAAATATTTTAATCATATTCTAGCCAACAGGGTCTCCTAAAATGTCAGTTTATAAAATGAATAAATTCTTATAGAAGGAGGACAATTTATTTATTCAATCGAACAAAGCAATGATAACTTTAAATGGTTAGTAGTTTCTGCTAACATTGATTAAAATAAATAAACAATTAGTCACAAAGTATTTTACTCTTTTAAGACTTAAATAAATACTTTGTCATTTGAATTTGACAAATTTAAATATGAAGGATAATGGATAATGTTTTATTGTTATTTTGACAATATTTTAAGATAAACTTAAATAGGATTTTACAACTATAAAGAGAGTTTATCTATTCAAGTTGTAAGCGATTTACCTGAATATGTATAAAAAATAAAACATAAAGTGGGAAATGTTTATTCATACAAAAATTAGGATGGAAATTTATTATTATTAAGCTAATTCAAGGGACCTCTCACCGCTACTTTTTCAAGCAAGTAGGAAAATATGTTTTTAAATGTAGATTCATGTGCTTAACAATTATTTGGTTATACTTACTGTTTTGATCGGTCTTATCAGGTTGCTGAAAATAATTAAGAAATGGATGGAAGTCAATATCTGAAAATTATTTCAGAGAGCTTTGAAAGGCCTAGATATGTTTTTAAAGGATGGATTATATTAAAATAATCAACTTAGCCTTTTTTGGAGACTACAGTTTTTCGAATAACTGTCAATTAAGATTATAGTGATGATTTTAAAATAGGAGATAGAGATCTATTGTTATAATATTATTAGAGTAGCATACCAGCGGAGAATGGATTTTAAATATCAACTTATTCATATTAATTTCCTATAAAAAAGAAATATAAGACAAATGAAGATGATAAGATATAATAATTGGGGAACGAATATTCAGAGTTGTTAATATAATGGCATTATTTTTAATATGAAATAGGAACACAAAATAATAATGAATAGCCATTATTTTCTATTTTTTTTCCTTCAATTGATTAAGTTCGCTCTTTTACTTGGACTAAAACAATTTATCATTTCTCTGGTACTTAATTTTATATTTTCTTTGGAGGTGATGATTATACTAAAAATTATTTAAGAGGATATGTTAGTGATATTTAATTTTAACTATTATGCTAAGCATAGATTGATGCCTATAAACCTACATGTCATCATTCTTGTTTAACATGTGATGGACCTACAAAAAAAAACTGTCTAACTTGTCCTGATCAAAGTTTTAGATAACTTTCAAAAAAAGAGAAAACATGTGCTTGTTAATAAAGATATGTTGATAAAGAAGGTTTTTAAGAATGCTAATCAGTAACATAAGCATTCCCTCACATATATATTTAAGAAGTAGAACTAGGTTGTTAGAAATAAGGCTATAGCAGCTGTAATTAGGATAAAATTGAATGTAACTTTGGTTATTTCGAATATTAAAATATATGTATATAATGGTATTTATCAATCATCTATATAAAGCCCTTATTATTTTGAATTACATTCAGGTACGTAAATAACTTGTTTAGATTGTTTGGTATAACCAAAATAATTTAGTTCAACCTTAACCTGTAAAATGAGAGCACAAACTTACTAATAAAATTCAAATTACTTGTTTTAAATTCATTAAAGAAAGGAAAATGATTATCTATTTCATAAAATTTTGACAAATGCTAATGGATCTAGTGAACTTAAATTGTGTCAAGGTTGTATTAGTAAAGAAACTTGCAGAAATGGGTTCTATCGAGAAGATTAAGAATGTAAGCCTTGTGGATAGGGTTGTTCAACATGTATACATTCATTTGAATGTGAAGTTTGCTTTACAAATTATTATTTAAGTAAGGATAAATAGTGTGTGTTATGCAAAGATTGTTAAACTTGTTAAGGATATAAAGATGGAACTTATACATGTACTGGTTGTATTGGAAATTCAATAATAATTAGTTAGAAATGTGTGTCTTGTGGGGATTATTGTGAATAGTGCGATGAATCAAGATTCTGTAATTACTGTTATGGATCACCTTCTTAATATTATTTATCCATGGATGGAAAGAATTGTAGTTAATGCAATATCGAAAACTGTATATATTGTTTTGACTATATTATTAATGGTGGTCTATTGTAAACAAGTTTAGACATCAATTTTAAAGTTGTAAATTACAATTTTAGATAAGTAAATGTAGGTTGCGCTTTATGCAAAGAAAATTATCATTTTAATTATAAAAATTAAAAATGTGAATTGAAATAATAAGATGATGATTGTTAATTTGCCATCATTTAAAATGAAGAATAAAAGAAAACCTGTCTAATTAGTAAAACAAATTATGATTCTGTTTAAGTTTCTAATTGCTTAATGATACCAAATTGTATTTCATGTATTCACAATTACTCAGAAAATGAATCATTTTGTATTGAATGTTAAGATGGATATTATTCAACAGTTCTTTCAGGGTAATGTATTTAATGTGGATAAATTTGTAAGACTTGCATTTAATAAAATTAAAAATATAGAGATTATTGGAAATGGAGTATTAAAGCATTTTATAAATTTGTTATTAATAATAATAATGATCATCCATTTGAAAATTATGCATCAACTAATTCTGAATCAGATTTGAATTTAGTATGCACATCATGTCACTATGGATACATTTTATATGATTAAAAATGCATAAAAGATTGTGATTAAACTTGTAATAAGTGTGAAATCATTGATGGAAAAGCAACATGTATATAATGTTTAGAAACTATTTCTGGTTTTATTAAAAGTTAAAATGAAAATGGAACTTGTTTGTAATGTCCTTCTAATTGTAAGGCCTGTTTAGATAGGAGTGAATTAGAAATAAAATAAGTTAATCCTTACTTTATTTTAACGAATTAAAATAAATTTCAAACTAGAATATGTTATGAAAAATCATAAGCTATCAATACCTAAGAAAAATATTATTATGATTCATTTACATAATCAATAGTAGTTTGTAACAAATATCAACAATGTTATAATAAAATTATTATACATTAAAACCTTCATTGCGATTCTTCAACTTATTATGAATAATCTGAATAATCAAATGATGAATATTTTGAAAACAAGAATGTATTATTTTTCAGATTTTTTGGTTATGGATATTTAGAAAATTTAGAGACATCTTAACTTTTTGATTATCTAAATGATATTTCTGTAAGGCACATTTTATTTGAATATACCATTATTCAGGTTCAAAATTTACCATGCCTATTTGATGAAGACCTATAGATTTTCTCAAAATTAGCTTAGAATGTTTTTTCCTTATAGTAAATTGATATTAAATTCAAAGGAATATTATTATAGTCACCCAATCCAATAACTTTATCAATCAGTTCTTAATTAACTATTAGTAACTATACAATAATAAGTTTCGAAAATATCAATTTTGATTTTAGGAGGAATTAAAATTCCTTCACCGGTAACTCCATAATATCTATCTATAATTTAAAAAACAAAATGGCTCTGAATCTAATAAACTGTTCATTTGAATATGTCAATGATATACAAACTGAAAAAATATTCAAAATTGAGTCAAATATTCCTTATTCCTTATATATAAGAAACTTCCTAATTAGCGAATTAAAATTATATTAATCTGATATTTTTACTTTTATTTCCTAAAATAATCTTCCTTAAAATTAGGTTTTAATATCCAATATGACAATTAGAAACTCTATATTTATTAATTCAAAATTATTCAAATTCTAAGCTAATATTAATCATCTTCATTATTAATCTAGCTTAATAAATATTAGGATTATTGATACTACTTTCATTTCTTCTAACTTTTTCATATGTAGTGGTTTATTGGATTACACTATAGGAACTTTAAAAATTCATTAAATATCTTTGCATAATGTTAAGATTTTGAACAATTCAACTATTTTCTATATACCAATTGTCGAATCAGCTGTTATTTCTTCTTTAAGTTTAACAAATTCTCAACTTAAAGATAACTCATAATTGTATTCAAGTAATGTGATAAATTTATAGGATTGTCTTATAGATCAAACAATTATAGAGTCAAGTAGTTTAATACATAATAAAGTTGAATATACTAAATCTTAAGAAGCTTTAAATTAATCTTAGAAAGTCTTTATAAAGAATTTATAAATTTTAAATACTAATTATAATAATAAATAGTAAATCATAAGTATAAAGAAGTATGATGAAATAGATTAGTTAAAGTTTAATTTAACTAATTTCATAATGTAAAATTGCATATCAAACATAAAACTTGAAAATACTTAGGTCTCTTTTGATTAAGTAATGATATATATTGAATGCTAACTTTGTAATTTATAAGAAGTATAAATACAGAGAGGTTATGGATTCCCCGAAATGACGATACTTAATTCAGAAATATTAGAAATTAAGAATTTTTAATTCTCTTAAGATCAAAGATATTTTTCAAAAGTATTACATTCAACTATAGATTGTGTATAAAAATTTGCCATTATAGAATTATATTTCTTTCTATATGTAGGTTAATATAAGAGCATTGTTATTGACAATTTAAATATTTAAAACTGTTTAAGTTTCAATACTCCCTTTATAATTTTAAAAGGGTATGATTTAATGTAAAAACTCGTGGAAGAAACAATTTATGTGTAAAATTCTTAGTTTGATTCAAATTTATTAATAATATCAACAACTAATAAAAATACTGCTTTAATTTCACTAGAATCAAAATAAAAAGGATTTATAACCTTTATTAATACAAACTTTTCCTATAATCATCTAAATTAATATTATTAAACTTTGTCTTCGATTTCTTCTACGACATTGTTGCTGTCTCTAAAATATGGAAATGTAATTATACAAGGTTGTTAATTTTATTAAAATTTGGTAACAAACTCAACTGATTCAATATTATACATTGATTCAGAAAAGCTATATATTAAGGATTCTAATTTTAAAAATAATAACATCATTAATTATACAATTTTAAGTAGACATACAATATTATCAAGTACTTAAGATATATCTCCAATTAACTTTTAATTAATATTTCCAATTAAATCAAGCAGTGGAAATGGTATGATAATCTCTAGTTTGATAATCATCGAAAATATAAAAGTAGATTCTTCTATTTCTATTTTTGGAGGTGGGTTTTATATAATTACCACTGGAATTAGTTTTATTAATATTACAAAATCAGAATTTTCAAATATTAAAACCACACTATCCTCCTTATATTTTTCAAAAGGTGGTTGTTTTTATATTGATGCAGGTTAATCTGCATTGACTCTTAAGATTAAGAATGTTACATTTGATACATCATTTAGTAGATATGATGGTGGTGCAATTTATATAAATCCATCTGAAATTTATAATATAATTGAATTTGAGTAGTTGATTGTTAAGGATTGCTTTTCGATTAATAATCAATTTTTCTCATATGTTCTATCCAAAAAAGATACTGTATAATCTTAGGTTGTTTTTAAAAATATAGATTTCTATTCAACAAAAGAAGGACTGGAAAATTATTATTCGTATTTAGATGGTATAACTGATGATGATGTTTTCAATATTCTTCAATCAAATCCTTTAATTTTTGTTTAATTTGGAAATTTTAGTATATATAATTGTAGTTTTTAATCAATATATATGTAATTATTACTTAAAATTGTACAAGCTTAGAATATTATGTTATCAAATATTAAGATTACTAATTTTACAGTAGGATTTTCACCTCTAATTTAATTAAACTTAAGATAATGTAATAATAAATATTATTTTTTATAGAATATGCTGGAAATATATAAATATTTGATCTTTAAATAACTTAAGTAGACCAATTTATAAAAAATGAAGAAAGAGAGTGTTTATTAATGAATACAGGATTTCTTTTTTAATTAGATTGTCCTCTCAATCTAACTAATATAAATACTTAAATTATAGAATATATTGATAATTAATAAAATTTAAATCAATTAATTTGTAATCAGGTTAAGATTTTCAACAATCCATCATTTACTTTTAGTTTAATTGAAATAGAACAAATTAATTTTGGACACAAATTAATAATTGAGAAAATGGAAATTAAAAATGTTCAATGCACTAAATGTTAATTTGGTTTGGTTCGAATTGTTGATATCTAATAATAAGATGAAGAAAACATTAAACTTTCATAAATTTTAATTAAAAACAGCCTCTGTGGAAGAACTGGTTGTCTTTCAATTGCTAAAAATAAAAATGATTTAATTATTTTAAATCCTGAATTAAATTATAGAATGTTACAATAGCATAATTACGAAAATCTTTTAAATAGCATGAAATATTAAATTATTATAGAAAAAAGTTAATTTATAAATAACTCTGCATCATATGGTGGCTCACTTTTGATAATTAACATAAATAGTATAATAAAAGATTGCATTTTAAAAAATAATTTTGCAGATATTGGAGGTGCAATTTACTATTCATCAGAGACAGAATAATTATATATTTTCGATTCAAAAATAATTGAAAATAAAGCAGAGATTGCAGGAGGTATGTATTTAGGTTCTTAATCACTGTAATTAACTAAATAATTAGATTTATAATTGGATTCTAATAATTCAACATTATATGGATCTAATGCATTAGAAAAACCAAGATCATTAACATTATCTATTAATGGAGGTTAAACATTACTAGAGAAGAAATAAATAAGAATTACTGATAAAGAGATTATTGAACAAATTATTATTAATCCATATAAGATATTAGGTTCCTCTTAGAAAAATTATTAATTAATATTGCCTTCTGGTATAACAATAGCCAATTACAGGTATTTTGATCCAATCAAATCAGAATTTATTCCTTATAATCTTACATTTAGGATTATTGCTTTGGATAAGTTTTAGGAATAAATTATGGGGTTGTAAGATTCTTATTGTACTTTATATCCAAAAGCTTATAATTTAAGTTCTTAAAAAGATTAATATGATATTTAATTTAGTCTATCCTAATATGATGTTATATTTAATGAAACTACTGGTGATTATAATTTAGATAATCTAATTATTTACTTCAATCCTACTTATAATCAAGATATAGTTCTTCGATTGTAAATTTAATGTAATAGTGTTTCAGTCCCTTTATATGAAGAGAGTCCACCTTTTTAAATTTATAATTATGTCACAAATTATTAATTATAGGTAGACATAAAAACATTTCCTTGTCAATTAGGTGAATTCTTAAATTAAACTTCTGGTGGATGTGTTCTTTGTGATACATTTTAAAATTAATATTAAGTATCTTGGGCAGCACAAAATTGTAGTTATAAAGATGATTCAAAAATAAAATCTTTGGAATCAAGTATGATAGAATTAAGAGAGCATTATTGGAGAGCATATTATTATAGTTAAACTATTGAACATTGTTATCATTTGGTGGAGAATTGCAAAGGTGGTTGGAAACCTGGTGATGAATCATGTATGATAGGACATATTGGAGCATTATGTGAGGAGTGTGATTTATATAATTCAAGAGGAAGTGGATCTTATTCTGTAAGTTCAGCTTATTCATGTGGAAGTTGTGATTTAATAGCTTATAATGTTATTACAATAATATTTGTGAGTCTTTGGACTTTGATTTCAACTTTAATGTCAGTAAGTAGCACTATAGATATGATTGAGGAATTTGTTAAAGGTATAAGCTTGAAGGCTTTTGGAGTTAGAGTAGCAATAAAAGAAGCTCAAACTGCTATTCTTATCAAAGTATTCACAAATTATCTTCAAATCATTTCAACTATTTCTACCTTTTAATTACAAGTACCAGCAGGATTAGCATCAGTTGTCAATACTGTTGGTAATCCTATTGAATCACTTGCTTATTCTTTAGATTGCTTCTTATTTAATATCACAGATATATTGATAATATACTTTCGAATAATTTGGAGCTTAATTATGACTTCTTCATATATAATAGTTATTTTTACTATTGTAGCAATTGCAATAATTACTAAACAAACACAATTTAATTTTTCTTTTATATCTACATCTTTGATATATTTATTTATATTTTTATAGCCAAATTTAATAGGAGGAATAATTTCACTATTATCTTATAGAAAGATTTCAGATGAATATTGGATTTAAGGGAATGTGGCCTATAGATATGATACAATTTAACATGCTAAATGGATTATCACATTTTGCTTACCATTATTAATTACATTTGGTTGCATACTTCCTTGCTTTTTGTGGTATGGAGTCTTTAAAAATAAAGATCGTCTAGATTTCTCTTAAGTTAGAAAAACATGGGGATATTTGTATAATGAATATAGGATTCATGCCTATTTCTGGGAAACACTAAAGATAATGCAAAAAGAAATAATTATTATTGTATTAGCTTATTATGATGATCATGTTCCCATAAAAGCATCTTTAGTATTCCTTGTGTTATTTGGTTATAGTTTTATAGCAATTAAAAAAAAACCATATATGACTGGATAATTAAATATAATTGATACATAATCAACAGTAATTTGTGCTGTATCAATTATTTTGGCTAGTTCAATTTATACAGCATAATAAAAATAATTGTATGAAATTGTATGGCCTTTTTATATTATAATTGCATTTCTTAATGGCTTTTATATTTTTCGAATGTTAATATAGATTTTATTTGCTTATTTCAACAAACTTAATGATAAAATAGATATTTTAAAAGAATTTATATAAAAATAATTTCCGATTTTTGTGAAATCTCGTCCTTATTTGAAGAATTTCTTTGAGACTCATTAAAATTAATAATCTAGAATTAAGTAAAGATTTGCAAAATTGAGAGAATATTTATTGCCACAAGCTCGTTTGATTGTAGAATTTAAAAAGTATAATTATTTATTGATTTAGATTAAAACACTTAGAACTATCTTCAAAAAATATTGTTTATAAAATTAGTGATAAAGACAGACAAGAAACTGAACAATAATTATCTGCAGACATCTTTAGTGTCAATAATCTTATACATTTAAATATTTTATAATAAAGTCAAATCAAAAAAAATGAGTTCTCATTTCCCAATACCAAAATAGAATAACAATCATTTGCAATTTAGTCTCCAAGAGATGATTTGAAATAAATCTAAAACCCTGATAACGTAGAGTAAAATTCTGGGCGAAAGATTGTTTGATTTATATATAAATTTCAAAAATATATTTTATTAATTTATTTTTATAAATTCTCAACAATTATTGTTTATTTAATTATCAAAACATTTGAATTTATGAATTATATGTTGAAGAAAATTCCTATAAAAAGGATTTCATTAGATGATTTGTAAATTGTATTTTGAAATTTAATAAACTAATAATTACAAATAAAATAATTTTTTTATATATGACTTATATTACAGTAGTTTTCAGATAAATTTCGGAAGAAAATGCCATCAAATTCTATTTTGAAAATATAAACTAAATAAAACAAAATAATAAAATAAATGTTTAAATTTAAGATGTTCAAAGATTAAATTATCTTAAAGAAAAAAAAGTAAAATTACAATTAGATAATTTAGTATCAAGGAATTCTTAAAAGAAAAGTATTGGCGAATATGATTTTTACCCTATTAAACACCAGAAGAATATAGCAAGGCTATCATTTTTAAATAGTGTCTTCAAAATATTACTAAGGTTAAGATTATTTTTGATATAAATGTAATTTGATGGAAGATGAAATGATAAATATAAAAACCATATTCCATTAAATTATAGAATAGATAGCAATATGACTGAATTCCTTTTGTTAAATCAATTAATTGAGGATTCATTTATAGAAGTTAGGTAAATAAGTCCAATTTTAATTTTAGAGAAATAATTTGTATGATAAACAATTATTCCCAGTCTTAAAAAAAAATCAAATTTAATTCGCTATTTCAAAGTAAATATATTTAATTTGTAAATAAGTTTATGGATTCTTATTTATATATTATGAATTTACCATACAAGGGAATTTTTAGTAATAATTATACTGTGTATTTTTATGAATATATGTTACTCTAATTTACTTTCATGATGTATTCAGAAATCTGAGTAAGCTTAAAAAAATTAAAGTGATCAAGTTTAACAAAACTTATTATTTATTTGCAAAAATTCAAGATAAAATTATAAGGTATTTTGCAATTAATTTTAAACTTCAGTTTTGTATAGGGGATATATAATGAAGACATAATACTATGTTCTTCAAAATAATAATTAACATTTGGTCATTTCATCATTCCTATAAATGAACTTATATAATTAATAGGGCAAATTATATTTTCATGAAATTTAGAAGATATATTTTGATTTATAAACACATCATATTGCTAGATTAGAAAGCTAAGGGAGTATATAAAATTTTAGAGGATAACAAATCTCATTGAATTTGGAATAATAGTATTTTCTGGATTGAATGTCACTTTTTTTGATTACATATTATAAGCAATAATACAAATATATTTTTCAATTTAAAATATTGTACTATAAAACATGAATGCTGGGCAATTTTAGAATACAAATCTTTTCGACAATTTGGACAATGTCATTATTAGTATAAAATAATCAAAATCAATTTATTAAATAAGTATAATGAATTAATTAAATGATTAAATCAATAAGATTGAGCCTTTCAAATAAAAAGAAATTGGTTCAATTTAACTAAAAAGAAATTGTCAACAAATAACATTAAATCCTAAATAATTAATTTTAGTAATATCACTTTGTGTAGGATTATAGCAATTTTATTAATTCAAAAAAGGAGTACATAAGTTTATAGGAAATTTTAATGACTTAGACAATATTATATGGTTGTATTTTTTTAAATAATCACAAACATATTCATCTTTAAATTCCATGAACAAATTAAAAATATGAAGTGTAAATTGTTTAAATTACAATAAAGTATTATGCATGTTTAAATTTTATTAAAATATAAGTGTTATATTATTTAATTCATCAGAAGATTTGATGATAGTAGGATTTTTTGATGGTAAATTACATTTAAAAAGAAAACAATAACTCTAATGGCATACAATTCAATAAATTTAAATTGCCTAATCTTGTTAGAAAATAATTTTAAATCAATAAGAAAATAAAATACTAGCTTAGGTAGATGATATGAAAATTGTAATAATTGAAAAAAAATATTAAAGGAGAGGAATAAATATGGGGTGTTGTTTAAGAAATTCGAATATATAATTCATTTAGTAACATTATTTTTATTAGTGAGAATACATTTGCTGTTAAATTATTAAACATTAAGAAATGGATATTATTTAAATAAAAATAAAATAATTAATTTAATTATAAAAGAGATATTATGATATATGGATCTAATGATGATTTAGAATACATTTTGATAAAGTATCATAAAAATAGAATAATGGGTAACTAAGATCAAAGCAATTATTTTTTTAATTTAGAATTTTTTTTAGAATAACCATATTTAGCTTTAAAAGATAACAAAGAATTTTAAAATTAATCCTATTTTCAACGTAATTAATAGGATAAATAAATAATAGGAGAATATTTTATGGGTCAAGATAATAAAAATAAATGAAATTGTGATTGGAAAATATCAGCCTCTTTTTATAGAATATTAAGTATTCAGGTAAATTGCCTGTTACTAAAATGAAAATTATTAGGCAATAGCACTTTAAATTCAATTGAAAATATTAAAAGTGGCATTGAATAAATAAATTAAAGTCTTCAAATTAAATGATTTAGCATTTACTTAATAATAGGTATTGAATAATCATTCAAGGAATGTGAGTATATTATTATTTTTTTAAAGTGTTAATTCATTTATATCTGGATCTTTAGATAAATCATTAAATATTTGGACTTGGGATGAGATCGGCTAAATATATCAGTGCAACTAAATTATTAATAACAGTGTTGAGTAGAAATTTATATTAATAAATAAATAGGAAAACTTAATAATATCAGGTGGAAAAAACTAAATTTCCTTTTGGATGTCTTAAAGTTCAAAATGGTTGCTATAATAAAAATTGGGCTTTGATAAAATTTAAATTTTTGGATTAAATTTTAGTCTTAACTAATAATTAATAGCTACATATACATCTAACCATAAAATAGTTTTAATTAAAAAGCAAAACAATAAAACATAAAATTATTGGTTTATTTCATTATAAATAAATGTCAACGACTTTACACCATCATTCTGTTTTATTTCAGATTTCATTATCCTTTATTAATCAATTAAAGATGCATCATTAAGATTAATTAAAATCAATTAAGATAGTGATTAAATTCAATATTAAACCAAAATATTAATTAATAAGGTTTGTGATGAATAAACTACTTTTCCAATGTAGTTCAATTAATAAAAAAAAATTAGTAATGAATTAAACTGGTTCATTTCTTAATTTAATTTTAATAATTTAAGGAAGTTAAATTTTATATCATAAAGAAATTCCTTTTAAAAGTAATAATCTTTTAGGTTAACTGAGTGCTGATGGTGAATTATTAACTACTTTGGATTAGTGTTCTATTATATTATATAATTATGGAAGTATCATAGTAATTGATAATTTGATTATTATTATTATTTAAGAATAGTAATCAATATTTAAATACATAGATAAATTATTATGAGGATTTCAAAATAAATATATTTTATATAATTACTTCATTTTCTATAGAATCAAATAATAAAAATTTACTTTACATTCAATCTTATAAGCTTATTTTAAATAAATATTAATGTTCTCAATTTCAAATTAATGATTTTTATATTATATATATTATTTAAAATGTTCAATCCTAAACCAATTGAGAATCTTTGTGATTATTAATGCTTTTTAAATCATTGTATGCCGATATGTGCTGTAAATATGCAACCTGGTTTAACCTCAAATTAAAGATTTGTTTGTAAAAATTGCATAAAAATTACTCATCTACCTGTTAGTCCATTAAAAGATGTTATCTAAACTATAGAAAAACCAATTCAATAGAAATTAAACTCATATGAATAAATCATAGCCCCTTATCTAGAGTTACTTAAATAATTATATGGTAATATCTCTTTAATGGAATCAATTATATTATAATAGCTAGATTAAATGACTACCATAGTCAATAATTGGATTACTAGTATTAAGGAAAGAGGAGAATAAATTGCTCGATATAACTTCTTCGATTAATTAGATCTTATAATAACTAAATAACAGCCAAAAAATTAATTAGAAACAAAATAATGTTATTTTGATTTGATAACTCTTAACAAAACTTAGGTTAAATAATTAAATTAATATTTGGATCCATTCAAATATTTTCAAGGATACAGTAAATTTCAATTATTATTGAAATATATTATCGTAAGCTAAGATCAATATGATATAAAAGAAGATTTCACTTTTTCAGAAAAATAAAGATTACAGTCAATATCAAAGCAAAAATAATAACCATTAGAATAAGAATTATCAGGATAATAATATAATTAATATCCCTTATTAAAAGAATGTAGTGTGAATATCTCCTTTTCATATGAAATTATCCCAAAACTGACATTTGAATAAGGAGAACTATGCCAAGCTTTGGCTATTAATTATAATAATACTCTTATTGCAATAGCTTCAGAATGTAACATTAATATCTTAAAAATTAATTAATCTTTAAATTAAATAAATAGACCACAACTTTTACAAAGTTTATAAAAGATTCACAAAAATCATGTTACAATTCTAAATTTCTTTAAAAAAGAATCATTGATGTTGAATTTCCTAGTCTCAGGCTCTTTAGACTCTACCATAATAATTTGGACTCCTGATCAATAATAAATTAATTGGAATGCTTTATTCAAATTAAGAGATCATTCTTATGCTATTAATTGTTTATTAATAAGTTAATCTTCAAGAGATCATCTTATGATAAGTGGATCTGCTGACAAAACTATTAAATTTTGGTCTTTGACTATTTAAAATTCTTGGACTTGTTCATAAACAATCAAAGAACATACTTCATATGTTTATGGATTATCTATTAATGATGAGGGGAATAAATTGTTATCTTGCGGAAATGATAATTACATTTTAATCATTCATAAATCCTATAAATAATAATGGTAAGTAAAATAAAAGATTCATAATGATGGTATTAGTATATCATTCATAACAGATGAAATTTTTGTTTGTTAATCTATTGAAGGAACATTGTTAACATTTCATATTATGGATTAAACAAATGGAGAATACATAAAATAAAATTCATTTTAGATTTAAACAGGAGGAAAAGGAAATTCACTTTATTTTCCTTTACACTATAATAAATCTAAAAATATACTTTTATCAAAAAATGGGCACAATGTGAATTTAATAAGTTTAGCTACTAATTCTCCTTCAGATTGCCAAATTATTTTAGAATAGGCCATATTTTTTGTTTAAAATATGATTTTTGGTACCATGAGTGATGATGGAAATCTGTTGATAACATGGGATTCGAAATCATCTGAGATTCAATTTAGAAAATATAAGGAGAAATTATGAAAATAATAATAATCATTCAAATAAGATACTTATTTATTTATTAATATATCTTATTTAATTGATAATTTGTTAGATAGTAAAAAATTTATTAATCATTATTCATAAATAGTTATTTGAGTTGATAATTTATAAATTCATTCTTCAATAATATTTATTATTTCATATATCTTTTGTTTATATGAATATTTAAAGAATTTATTTTTCTAATGATATTCTATAATGAAAAGAAAAGTTTCATTTATGAATTTTTTAAAAATTATACATTAAATAAATAGTTACATAAATCTATTATTTTTATGATATTTGATGTGAATTTAAGATCTTTATTATTCTTGTTATAAAATTTAATATAAAAAAATCAATATTTTGAAGTGAAGTAGGGGCATTTGGATATTATTTTATAAACAAAAAAAATCTATATCATAATCATTATTAGGAAAATTTTATTATAAAAATAATAATTCCAATTTGAAGTTATGTCAATAATTAAAAATTATATTTTTTGAAGTAAAAATAGAAAAATAAAACAATCTAATATTGAAGGTAAATACATCAATATTTTAATAAATTTTCAAGGTTTAATTATTCTGAAGGTTGATTATTAAAAAATTTCTAGCTTTAAAATCAGATATCAATTGATGGGTAAATAAAAATATAAGATTTGAATTATAAATATTTATATGTAATTTATTGTTTATATAGATAAATTATTAAAATAAATATATAAACTACAATGTATATAACTTAATTTATTCAAATTGTTACACTAATTATTAAATTACAACATTAAAAATAAGAAGACTATTGAACACAACTTTATGAATTAAAAATAGAAATTACTATCATAATAACTGATAATAATCAAGTTAATAATCGACTTGAAAAATTAAAATAAACTAATTAATATATTATTATTAATAATAATTAAGCCAAAAATATAATTAACCAGAAATTTGATATGAACTATTGTTTATTATAATCATTATATTAATCATATTAATTTTATGATTATTTCTCATAAAAACAAAGGATTTTTTAGGCTATTTAATAAATTATAGTTAGTTAATATTAACTGCTAATAAAGACTGCTTTTGTGATTTTGTTTGAATTTTCAAAATATATTATCAAATTTTGAATATGGATTATCAATATCATATGAGAATATATTAATTTAACATTTCAAAATTCAGCCTTCTCTTAGAAATTAAAAAATTGTTTAAAAACTTAAGAAATTATTAGAGAAATCTAAAGAGTTGTCTATAAAAATAAAATATGTATTAAATTTATGTTTAAATCTCATGTTATTAGAAGATCGGCAACTATGTAAAAAGCATATCATTATGCATTGAAAGTTATCACTTAATCATAGAATGATTAAGAGAGAACTAACTAAGGAGTAGATTTTTGTTAATTATTTGATTTTTTATTATCTGTATATGACCAATAAAAAAGAGATTAGTATTTTTGAATTTTTTAGAATCAAACATCGATTTATACTTTGAAATATTTGAATATATGTTTATATGATAATGCACTTATTTAAACTTAAAATTCATGATAACAATACAATAGCCATAAGAATTGATCCATATAGAATCATATATTAGCTGGAATCTGTATCAGGAATTACACATATTTCACATTTTTATGTATCTGTATTCCATCCATATGTAAAGTATGTTGCTTCTAAACATTATTCTTGAGTCAAAGTTGAGACATTTAAATCAACACATGAACTACCATTCCAAGTGCAAAATGTCATTTATTTAGAGTCATATGATAGAAATATGCTGCAAGATTCTTCTGGTAAGATAGCACATGTCAATTCAGTACATACATTATTATTCATATAACAAGCTAAGATATTACAGTTATCTTTAGTATAATCAGAACATTTAGTTATTGATTAAGCCTCACATTTTTATGTTGTTGTGTTCTATAAGCATTATTTACCATCAGGAGTTACAAACCAAAAGCAGTTAGCATATGGTAATAAATTACAATTATCAATGCTTAAAACAGCATCTTATGTTCTATCTTTGCATTTAAGAGTTCCTGCTGCGCTATCAATAGTATCAAGATCAGCTTAACATTGAATTAATTTGTCACTGCAATCACCTGAATTACCAATTGTGAAAGTATAATCAGAACATTTGGTAAAACTTTCACATTTAGTTGTAGTGTAATTCCAAATACAATTAAATGGATCAGGAACACCTTCACAATCTTCTTTGCTGAATACTGAGCATGCTTTGTTTGAACAAGTTTCTGAGGTAGAATCCCAAATACAATAATCTGCTAAACAATCTATCTAAACCATTGCATTTTTGCATGAACATTAATATACTGATGAAATAGCTACTGTAGCAGTAGATGAAACTATAGCCAAAAGACCAAAAGTGATCAACAAAATCTTCATTGATTTTTTAATAAAAAGTATATCTAGTTTATGACAAGGTTTTATAATTAAATATTGCCACACCAAAATTTTATTACATCATAAAACTGATGGACTATTATTAAGTTATTTCTAAATAAATAAAAATTATATATTAATATTTCATAATATTTTTATTAATTAAAGCATTAATTGCTGAGCAAAAACAGTGAAATTTAATTAAAGATAAACTTTAGAGATTTTGAACATGATTATTTATCTTGATTCTTGATAAATTCGATTATTATTCTTTGTAAGTTAAAAATAAAAATTAAATTTATTAGATCTAAAATTTGAAACTCTTAAATTTATTAAAATAACAAAAAAATCACAATTAAAGGTTTTAATCAAGATATGAAGGCTTAAATTGTTTTGATTAAATATAAAATACAAGTTATTAAGACTTACATTATAAATTAAATAAACTATTTAGAATTTATTTATATAAAGTAAAGCTATTTTCTTAATTTTAATTATTAACACATTTAAAAAAAAATGATAGGCTTAGCTTAGTAATATTTTAAGATTAGTATTAAAAAAGATTATATGAGTTATTTCATTAGGAATAGTATGTTTAAGATTTCCTTATTATCCTTAAGTGTATTATGGTGTATTAATTATATTTAATTAAATAGTGTAGCATAATCTAACAATTATAGAAAATAACTAAAACTAAATGAATTAAAAATGATTTTAATTATATTTCATTAATTCTATTAATTAACATTATTTTAATTGGAAATAGTTTGATTATAATCTCTAAAATGGGATCGCATTCCTTCACATTTTAATTTATTGATTATCAAATAAATTTCATAAATAGTTTTCCTATTTTAATCAGGATTTAATTAAAATAAATTGCACATTTATTAAGACTTTTTATTCATAAATTTAATTTAGTTTGGTTCATTTTAAATACTTATTCCTTCTTTAATTTAATATTCAATATTTTGCTGTAAAACTTTTTCAACATCATTTTCAAATTATCTTAAAATTTCACACTTACTTTAAAATTCTGCTTCATTAATAAATCCATCTAAATTTACATCATTTAGTAACCTAAATATCTATAATAGAAATACTCAAAGTTTAATTTGAAAAATAAAAGTTTCAAAAAATATTTAGGGACCAATTCAGTCAAACTTGCTTCTTCTTATAAATTATTATAAACTGATTCATTTATTTAACTAATTTTTGTTTTCATTATTTCTATAAGCTAATCCTCTTCTTACAATTATTTATTTGGAATAATTTGTTCAAATTCTGGAAGTAATAATTACCAATCTGAAAGTAATATTTTTAATTTTCGTTCTTAATTTTATAATCTGGATATCAAAATATTATTTCTTTTCACAGTTTTCATTCTTTTAAAAATTAATTCTGAAACTTTTTCTGAATCAGATTGATTTGAATTCAATTCCTAATTAGAGTTTAAGGCACCCTAAATAATTGGAATGATATCAAAAGCAACTTATGCTTTTTCTGATATGGTTACTGATGGATGGCGACTAATTTATATATATCAGTTATAATACCTAAAAGTATAAACATTATATTATTCTAAGCTGCTAATAATGAAACAATTACAATATTATGGTTCATCCATTATTGTTTCTATTTTATAATAGTAATAAAATTAAAAGGAAATATCAAATCTATGGTCATCATTTGATAATTATGCAATTTGAACACGATTTATCCATTTATCAATATCAATTCTTTTTGCCATTGGTATTAATTTTACACAACAATATTTTTGATCTATTTTACCTATATATGTGCAAATAGTTGATTTTTATTTTTAAATTAATCTCACTATAGTTATCCTTCCTTGATACTCTGTAAATTATTTGATTTAAGAGAAATCATATTTATTCTCAATATCACAAATATTTTTATTAGTTACTTTAACTCCAATAAAGTCTTAATTATATGAATAGTTTTATAAATTACTTTCGTCTTATATAAATGACTATGTTAATTATGTTTCAATTGAACCTTTTTTATTAGCAAATTATGTCGATTCTTTTTCGAGTATTTGAATTAATTCTTCAAATTTCTTTATTTCAGATTAATTAGATATTTCTGAAGTTCTAGATTATAATTAATCCATGATTTGTGACTCTAGTAAATTTATTTCTCTAATATCCAGTTTTTTTTTTATTTGCTTCTTAATCAAAGGTGAATCTGGAAGATGAACAGGAGGGTTTGGAATTATTATATCTAGTTGTTTCTCTTAATTATTGACTATTATTGGAACTTATTAAATGGGAATATTATTCTTTCCCTTTTAGCCTTATTTTTAACAGCAACAACCCATTATCTTATAAAATTTATTATTATTATTGTATTAATTAAGATTTCTATATATTAATATTATATTCTATCTGATTCTTAGTATCCAACCTTATTCAGAATATATTCTAAAAATTATAAACAGGTAAAATAGATAATATTATTGAGCTAATGTCTCCTAATATTTATAATAATTATTCCAAGAATTCAATCAAATAGACAAACATCTATTCATTTTTAGGAGAAAAATCTATAATTTATTTTGATTTTATAAAGATTTTGACTAACTATTCTTAATAATATGATTACTTAAGTAATTCTAGTTTATTTTTTTAAAGATATTATTGAGAATACTTCTAAAAACAAGTTAGAGAATTATCATTATATAGTTTAAACTAATTTCTTAAACCAGAAATTATATAATGTTTTATTCACTGTATGTATAAATAATTATCTAATTCTCTGTAAATTAAATAAGAAATATAATATTTATTGTGCTCCTCATTTATTTTATTTACTACAAATAATCATATTGCAATTATTATGCTCTGCCCTTAAAATTATGTATGATATATATTTTAAGAAGATAAAATTTTAAATACTGTTATTTTTTCTGATAATTTAAAAAATTTTCTTTATGGTTTTGGTTATATATAATTATATTAAAAAAATTACTTAATATTTAAATATCATTTTTATTAGATTTGATATATGTAGATTAGATGTACTAAAGTTGATCATCTCAATTATCAAATATTGGGTATTTGTATCGAGAGTATATGTCAACATTAAAGACCTTATTGTCATTTTTGTTTACCTAATCATAGTCAACATCTTAACAATTTAGCATCATTAGAATAATTAAATGACTGGATATATCAACGAGTCCTTGTTATTCAGAATGTATAGCAAAATGTTTAGGAATGCAAAAAATCACTTGATAATCTTAAAAATACATTAATTCCATATATGAATTTTAATACTGAATAGTTATCCTAAATAGGACTTTCTTAGGTTGACTATTTGATTAAAGGTTTATGTTAGATTGAATCTTGTGAGAAAATGTTAGTATAATAATTACAATAATCAATTGAATAAATCAAAATGACTGTAAATAAAATAATAGAAAAAATTAAGAATCAAACAAATGTTGAGTAAAATGAGAATTTATAGATGCAAAATTCTTGTAAATTGAACTTAGAAAAAAAAAATGATCCAATTCCATTAGAAAATAATAATTTTAATTCATTCTAATATGAACTCATTAATTAAAATTCAATCAAGTAGGAAAAAGGTTGTTATGCAATTGCAATTAATAAAGATAACTCAATTGTTTTAACAGGATATGATAATTTAATTAAAGTTTTTGAAAATCAATAAGGGAATTTAAATCAAATATAATTATTAAGTGAACATACAACTATTGTATATACATTAAATTTCATGTAGAAATCAAATCATTTTGTATCTGGAAGTCATGATAAGTCAATTATTATATGGTAGATGAATGAAAACAATTTATGGACTTGTTAATAAAAATTGTATGGACATTTTCATAGTATTGTGTGTTTATTGATAAATAATAATGAAAATCTTATTATTTCAAGTAGTTTTGATAATTCAATTAAATTCTGGAATAAATAAGATGAATGGTAATGTTAATAAACCTTTAAAAATTACACTAGTTCATTATGGTCATTAAGTTTAAGTGAATAGGAGGATAAATTGATTGCATGTTCAAATGATTCATAAATATTAGTTATTGAATTTTAATAATTCGAAAATATTTGGGTTTTGATATAAAGGATATAAGTAGATAATTATGGGTATCGATTAAGTTTTATAAATGAGAATTTATTCACTTTCTAACCTAAATGTAAAGAATAAATGTATATTTATGAATTAAACAGTACTAATAAATAATTTGTTAAAACTAAAGAAATTAATATAATATGTGAATCATATTGTTGTGATAATTTGTTTCCATAAAAATACATAAAATCTAAATCTCTCTTGCTGAATAAGAATGGTAATAATATAAATTTTTTAAGGAAGATAAACAATGGAGAATTTATAAATGTATAAAATATTTAATTTGGTCATTATAACATTTATGGTTAATTAAGTGATGATGGAGAATATTTGATTAGTTGGGATTTTAATTCAAAAGAATTATAAATTAGAAAATATAAGGAATACTGACTATATATAATTAATAGAATATTTTATTATTTGTTTTCACATCTTTTGTATTATAAAATTATGAATTATAGAATCAATATTTAATCATCTATTTTGAAAGTGTATATTTATCATCATTTTTAATAAAGTAATATTTATTAATAAAATGAAATTAAACAACTAAAATAAAAATTGAGAAGATATAAAAAATATAAATTTTGATTAAATTTTATATTTTTTAATTTTATTTATAAAATATATGAAAAAACAACAAAAAATAATAAATAACGCACAACAACCTAAATATTATGCTTACCAACATAATCCAGAAATATAAGTAAAATAAAAAGAACGAAGTCTAGCTGCTGCTTTCAATAAAGACAATTCTTTATTAGCAATATCTGCAATGTCTAAAATCAAATTAATACAATTAAAAAATGGATCAATAAAATATATATAAAGTTTTTGTGGCAATTCTTCTTATATTTCAACAATAACATTTATGAAGAACAAAACATTCATAATCAGTTCTTAGGATTGTTCCATATTTATTTGGACATTAAATCTTATGAATAATCCAAAATTCATTTTTAAATTAAAAGATCATAAGAGTTGGATAAATTGTATCATATTACATCCTCTATAAGAAGACTTAATTATAAGTGGATCAAAAGATACAACTTTAAAGTTTTGGTCACTCTCAACTCCATCATTACCTTTTAATTGGTTTTTAAAATAAACAATAACATAGCATAAATATGAAATTTATGGATTATCATTAAATCAGGAAGGAAACAAATTAATTTCTTGCTAAGGTCATGGATTAATTTTCATAATGTAGGGTTCTAATAAATCATTTTGGAAGGTCATATAAACAATAGGAACTAATAGTTATGGATATAGAATAAATTTCATTACAAACAACATTTTTGTTTTTTAACCCTGTATGTCTAATAGTCTCCAAATATTTATAAAAAATGTAAACACAGGAAATTATTAGCATGCTAGATATTTAAGATATAAGAAAAGCTAATATAATTGTTAAACATCATTTCCAGCAAGGTATCTCCCAGATAGATAGTTGTTATTAATAAAACATGGTGACACATTAAATTTAATTAAATTTATTTTTTTTGAATCATAATTATATTAGCAAGATTGTAATTGCATATTAGAATAGTGTTTAGAATTTAATTCAAATGAATTTAATGGAGGATTATATGGAGGACTTAGTGAAAATGGTGATATATTAGTAACTTGGGATTCTAAATCATAAGAAATTTAAATAAGATAATTCAAAGAGATGTGATAATAAAGTAGAAATATAATTATTAGATTTAATTTTATTTTTACTTAGTCAATTATTTAATATATTCATAATAATTTTTGATTAAGTTATTAGAAATAGAAAATCTATAAAAAATCAAGAATTCTCAAATTATGATAAATATTAATGTATAAACACTTATTTTAAGCAATAAAATTTAGATTTCAAAATATATTAAACAATTTTAATAGGAAAAAGTTCAAATTAATTTTTATGTATTTTTTTATAATTAATAAAATTTATATAAAATAAATTATTAAATGCAATCATTTTTTATTATAAAAGTGGGTCTTCATAAATGTTTAATTTAAGCTAATTTGTTAAAAATTAAAATTTTTCTTATTCTTACTTCCAATTGAATTCATAATATAATTAAATTGTTTAAGTAAGATTAAGAATATAACATCAATCTTCATCATTATCTGTTTCTTCATTGATAGAATGTAGACTTTCTGAAGACAATAATTTATAAGTGAATTTTTTTCTAAAAATTTTTAATCTAAACTGAAGCAAGCATTCAATCTCATGTTTGCTTTTCAAATTTAGTACTTCGATTTAATTTAGTATGTAGTCTTTTAAAAACCTTTTTTCATTTGTATTGATGATTTATTCTTCATAGAGTCTCAGAATGATTTCCAAACTTGTTCTATATTAAATTTCCATAATTTTAATCATTATTCTCAAATTAACTTCAATAAAATATGAAAGAAATGTGAGATATCAAATCAGATTTAATATGATTATGTTAATAAAGCTCAATATATTACGTCAATAAGCGTATTAAATTTAAATTATTAAATAAAAATAGATAATTTTCAAAATACTAAATTCTTTTGATTCTATCAGAAATTCTATATATACTTGTGTAAGAATACTTAGATTCAAATAAAAATTTTTATCGAATTACATTATTATATGATAAGCTAATTTAACTAAACTTAAGAATACAATGATGATAATATTTTATGTAAAAATTAAGACAATGTCTAGAAGATATTAAATTAATCGTTGTTATATGATATTTTAAAGCATAAATATAATATAAATAATAATAAGATGAGTTTAATAATCTATATCCAATTCTACAGTAAAAGTAATTAAATTTTCACTTTTTTAATATCTAGTTTATTCAATACTTAATGAAAGAACCACTAAATTAATATGAATTTAGACAAAATATTATTGAAAATGATATGGAAATCTAAAATACTTTTAATTTAGAACTATTAATTATTTACATTTATTTATTAAGATCATCAAGATTTTATTTTTAATGCTTAAATATATTAAATAAGTAAAAAGAAATTATCACTAAATATAACATTTGAGTGATATTTCATAAGATGCTAAATCAATCCCTTCTTTATTGATTCTAATTTACTAGATTAAAAAGAAGCTACATATTTATGTTTATACTATGATTCATCAATAATTATGATATTTTTATTTTAGGAGTTCATTTCAACAATAAAACATTTCATAATAACTTTATAATTGGTTAGTCTAAAAAGAATGTAATCAATTTTTAAATATCAGTAGAACAAGTATATATTAGGGATTTAATTTTATATTATAATTGTTTAAAGTACATTAAATACATATTAAAAGCAGAAAAATAGATCTCTTTTATTATTTACAAATATAGTATCCTAAATGAGGAAATAATATATATTTTACAAAATATAAATAACAGTAATAAAGAATTAATAATATAATTCTTAAAGATATATTTTTTATTTATATTTTATATATAAAGGGACTCATCTCAATTTTTGGCATGTGTATTTTACCAATAGGTTTTTGATTTTTCAATATCTGGTTTAATGGTGGCTTATCCTGGTTTCCATGAAGCTGGACACACTTCTCCGTGTTTTTCGACGAATTGGAATGCTTACAATAATCTTAGATATTCATCTACATTTCTAAAATTAGAGATTTATAATACCTTCCAACTGGGGCATCATTAATTGAAGCATGACGTAAATTTTAATTACCATCAATTAAGAATGTTCCTCTTAGTGAAAGTCCACTATCTGTAAGAACTCCATAATCTGATGAGATTTGTTTGGTCAAATCAGATAAAAGGAGAATATCCAATCCTCCTAATCCTCCATCTGCTTTTGGCTTTTTCACATATTCAGCATGTGAATAAACAGAATCAACTGAACATCCGAGGACTTCACAGTTGTTTTCTCTGAATTATTTAGCTAATTTAGAGAATTAAATGATTTCTGTGGGGCACACAAAAGTGAAATTCAATGGGTAGAAGAAAAGCAATAAATACTTGCCTTTGAAATCAGTCAATTGAACTTATTCAATAGCATTTTTAGTTGAATTCCTTAAGAATAGATCAATAGATAATACCAAGCATTTGTTTTAAAGAATGGGGCTGCTTTTTAGATGATTGCTTTTCCTGACATTTAATGATTTGGAATAATTAATGATTAATTGAGATTATTCCTAAATAATTTATATACCTAAAATATACTCTAAATTCATAATAACAAAATATATTACATACAAATGAACTCAAAAATATTATTTTTCAATTTTAAATTTAATTACAATAATCAATAGGTAATTGAAGAAATATTTCTATGATAAATTAGAGATTTCTTTAAGACTAATAATCTATGAAATAATAAATAAAAAGAAATTCAATTGAATATAAATTATTATTAAAGAAAAATGAGAAAAAAGTACATAATTTAGTAAAATAATAAATAGTTTTGATATATTAAATTGAGTAAGATCAATATGTTTAATGTATAAATGACACATATCATAAAAGTTTTCATCTTATTTTAATTAAGAAAATAATACTAATAGTAAATTTATCAAATTCAATACAAATTGTATTTTATAAAGTTAAAATTTTTATTCATGAATAATAAACTATTTCTAACTTTATTGAGATAATTTAATAGAACAAGATATAGAAGTGAAAAATCAATAATGGCAGATATTTATTATAATCCTTCTGGAGACAATGAACTTAAAAGAATAATTCAAAAAAACTTTACTTTAATTCAATCATATAAATAGTTATTAACAATTATGGATTACAATTTTATACAGGTTGATTAGAATGATATTATCAAACGACTATAGAATGAATTTGATGATAGAGCTAAATATGGTTTTAATTGTTCTAATGAATTATTTATTAAATTTTTAACAAAAGTCTTTGAAAAAAGTAATGTAATATATTAGACTTAGATGTATGGAGTAATGAATTTGATGAATGGCTAAAATTATACTTGGAATAAAATGCTATAAAAATGAGTTAATCTTATGCTCAATAATTGAAAAAAGCATTATAAAATTGTAAAAAAAATGATGAATATACATAAATATTGGATGATCATGTAAAGTAAATTGAAAATTTGAAATAATTAATTTGATATATTATTGAATCAATATTTTAGATAATTAAGTTTCTAAAGCAAAATCCTTATAAATGATAAATGTAATCTCTCTATATAATAATTGAACAAAGACATTTTTTAATTTAACTTATGTTTTCAATTCATCTAAAGTAATAATGATAAATATCCATTAGATTGAATATAAATGAATGAATAAAAAATATTAATATACAATTTTGTTTTGGAATATGATTACAATTAGAATAATTTACAAATAGTGGTTTCATTTATATTTCATACTTAATGATAATATCCTTTCTCTTGGATACTTTATAGAATTTATAAATAATAAATACTTTATTTTTATGAAGAGATCCAGAATTTAGTTGTTTAAATTTATTTTGTTCTGGAGCTGATGCATTAAGTAATTCTTTTTCTGCTTCAACAAGGATTGTATTTTTCTTAAAAATTCCATTTTTCTTTTCTCTTGATTTTTATCGAGAAGAGACTCGAGATGCTTGCCTTGATTTTTGTAATTTAAATTTTTCATTATTAAGAATTGCTAAAAATTTATCAATATTTTCTCTTGTTTTATTAATTTCCTATGTGAGATTGACTTTTATATCTGTAATATCTGATCTATATATAAATCTATAATATTTACAATCTTACATTGTCAGTTACACTTAAGTCTTAAATTGGATTTGTATAAAAATTTTTTTTGCTTATATCTTTAACTTTTTCCTATAAATAGATATTTGTATTACTAATCTTTTAAATTTGAGTTCTCTTTCTTGAAATCTTTTCATTTATAACAATTACGAATGATCAATTTTCTAAAGATTCTTAATTTCATCTTCTTAATCATTTTCTTCTTCTTTAAGATCTTGCTTAATATTTCTGTAACAATTATCTTCTAAAGTAAGAAGATTTACACATTATTTATGCTTCTAATAATTGTTTATATTATCAGATTCTATCTTATCAATAATTTCTTCTCTCAAAACACAATAATTCATATATTGTATCATTTAAGGAAAACTTAAAGGAACAAAAGTTAATTATTTAGAAGGGTCAGTTTGATTGATTTCATAATCTTCTCTTATTTTCTTCATTAATTAAACAAACACTAAAGGATTATTAAATAAAATGATACTTCCTAAAGCTTCTTGATTTTATAAGGCTTGTTTAAAATCTGTCCAATTCAATTTATCTAAAAGTTTTTTTATATTATATACCATCTTCATCTTCATCAATGCTTTTGAAGAATTCTTTAAGTTTAGATTTGGTGATGTTTATTCCATATTTAATAAACATATCATATAATTCAGATCTGTCTAGAAATTCTAATGAGATTTAAACGATAATTTATACTTGATTTATCTCTATCTATAGAGTTAAATACTGCTTTCATCATATTTTATTCTTTGAGTTCTGATTCATAAAGAATGTATTAATCTTTTACTCTAGATTTGTAACGATTTCTTAACCATTTTATGGTATCGAAAGTTTTGAGATTATAATTCATAAATTTTATTGTACGATTATAGATAATCAATATCATTTTTTAGCTTATTGTGCTGCCAAATCTTCGTCCATTTATTTAAGTTAGGCACCACCTCTGAGAAGACCTGATCTTCTGGCAGCAACAAGACCGACTTTTTGACCAGGGGGAGCATATCTTGAAAGTGTGGATGGATGACCAATATGTTATTAATTACCACCACCATGAGGATGATCGACTGGATTCATGGCCACACCTCTAACTTTTGGCCAGCATTTTCTAAGTCTTCTATATTTGTGGAATTATCTTCCTGCCTTAAGAATGGGTTTTTCAGTTCTTCCTCCTCCAGCAATCAATCCTAAAATAAATTCAAATATATTACCTACTGTGGCTCTGCAAAGAGCACTAAGTGTTTTTCTGGTACCTGATGGTAATCTAACTCTTGTGGTTGTTCCATCATCTGAATGACCAATAATAGTGGCATAACAACCAGTTGCTCTTCCCAATGCTCCTTTATCTCCTGGATGTTCCTCCAAATTGCAAACTACTGTACCCTCTGGGATTTATCCAATAGGAAGAACATTTCCTGTTGCCAATTAAGCTAAGATTTAAAATCTAAATTTTTACCTTTAGCTCCGCAATAAATGTATTAGCCAGTATATGATCCTTCAGGAGCAATGAAGAGCTTAGTGACTTTTGAGTACTTATATGGGTCCTTGAATTCGACTTCAGCAAGTGGAGCTCCTCTTCCTGGATCATGACGAATTGCAGTAATCACACCTCTGACATAGCCATGTCTTTCAGCATAATCAAGATGTCTGTATTAAGGAGATCCGATTCTTTAATTTTGATGTGCTTTGAATACACTGTTTGATTTGCCCTTTCTTTGTGCTCTGATTCTTTTACCCATTTTTAAAAAGATTTTAAAATTTATTTTAAGGGGCAGTGATAAATTCTTTAATAAACATCATTAATTCTAAAAAGCTAACTTCTAAGCTATGTCTATGAATTTTATCATGATTAGAATAAGATTTGCTACTTTCTTCAACGTATACTTATTCTTTTTCTTCTATACTACTAATTTCTATTCACCTTATGATTTTACTTTATCTTTCTACATCTCTTCTACCATAAATACTAAAATAATAAAAATCTTAAGATACCATTGCAAATGAAACAAGTGGTTCTAAATTTACATTATTTTGGGAAGAAATTCTACCAATCATCGATTTCAGTTCCCATATTTAATGATATACCCTTCAATCCTTTCTATTTTAAGAATCTTAAATAGATGTCTTCAATTCTAGTTTCAGTATCTACTCCTAATCCCCAATTCAAACCACAATATTCACAAAATGGTTTAGTTATTTTTTCAAGTAATCCTCCTATATATTTAATTGCTGTTTTCATATGTCTAGAACGATACAACCAATATTTCAAAATAGTTTTTGTTACTTCACTCATATTATCAATTCTTTTATTGAATTTTTGTGGAGAAGTGCGAGCCATTTCTGTTCTTGATGAATTTTTAGTAAATTATCTAAAATTCCAAGCATTATCAAATCCAGCAACAGGATCTTCTTCATTCTTTTTTTCTAAAGGACCATAAATAGCATTAAATTTATCTAAAATAATTTTTCTTTTTGATTTTAATGTTTTTGGACTTAATCTATAAATATATATATATATTTGATACATTATTTAAATATTATCTGCTAACCATTATTTATTAGAAGTTATAAATAACTTTTTGAAATGATCATTTGTAAAATCTTAGAAATTATTATTGATTTCTGATAATCGTTCAGTTTATTCTCTAAACTCTATAGCTTGATTCCAATTTGGTATAAGAAGTTTAGGTCCTGAAGGAATTTGACTAGTTGATAATTTATCAATATCACCAATTGAAGACATTACTTATTCATCTTGAGGTGAAACTCTACTGGAAATATCCCAGATTTTTAATCTTTTGCCTATTTCAATAAATAGATGATGTAAAAAGAATGCTACAACAACCCAAAAGAATATAATAAAAATGAGAGCTATTTGTTAATTAAATAATATATACCTTCATCATTAAATATATTATATTAATTGACATAGATGATGTGAGAACCAAATATGATCATTTAGATAGCACAAACTTATAAAGTGGTTATAAAATAAAATTAAGATGAATAACACCATTCTATTATAAATGATTATATTATTACAATCAAGAGAACGAAAACAAGTTTCACAATTTAAATCATTTTAAAATTCATTAGCTTTCCAAAATAGATTTCTATTTCTGAATCTTTCTCTTGTGTTAGTTATATAAGTTAGAAAATCTAATTCATGATATTATTCAACTAGATTGTAACCAAAAGTATCAATCATCATTTGAAATGGAATTAAAATAATTGTCCATAAAAAATAATATATGAATTCACTCTTATTAATTTAATAATCAGCTAATAAATTAGATTCATCATAAAAAAACCACATAATTGTAGTTATAAATGGATTGAATACTAAAGTAATAATATCATTAGCAAAATTAGAGAAATAATCTATTAAATCTGTTTGATCTTCATTATCAACTGCTAATTCTTAATGAGTACCTTAATCTTCATTATATTATTAGAATGTTTTATGATGTTAATCAAGTAAAAAAGTTCTAAATTTATTTTCAAATTCATCATAATCATCTTTAGTAAATGAATTCTCATGATTATTTGATGAAATCTTATTACTAACAAATGATTCATCATCTGAAGCTAGATTTTCTTTTCCATCATCTGAAAATACAATATCTGAATCAGAATCATCTTCATTAGTTTTAAGTACTTTTTACATTTCCACTAATTTTTCATCTTCCAATTCAAAATCTTCTTCTTCTTCATCTAATAATCTTTTCAACATTTTATACACTTTATCAAATTATTACTCTAATTCTTCAGTTACAATATCCTAAATCTTAATTACATAAGCTCTTTCAACCATTTCTATACCTTTATCTACAATAGTTGATAACAAGAAATCATAAAATGTTGGATTACCCATTGTAGCCACATTAATATAAGTACTAAAAATAACACCAATGGGACTTGAAATTAAATTGTTGTCAAAATAAACTTCTAAAATATATTCTAAAATCATTTATATAATTTTTAGAAATATTAGAAACATATAGGCATTTTTGGCAAAGAGATCAGAATAAGAAAATTAAGTCATTATTAGTATAATGGTTGTAATAAAGGCAAGACAATATAAAATACGACTACGTTTCCATAATCTTACATTCTTAACATTTCCATTATAATCTTCTTCAGGATCAATTTCTGGAATATAAATACCACTAATGAAATAAACAATATATAATCCAACTGTTATCATTGCAATTCCACTTCTAGCATTTCTAAGTAATCCAAATTAATCACTTGTATATTTCTATTGATTTTTGAATAAATCAAAAAAAACTACTGCACATCCATCATCAGATTCAGAATATGGTGTCATATTACAACTTAAACTTAAATCAGTATTCCATATCTTTCCTGCCATTATTATTGATATCAAAATATAAACTGTTAAAGCAGGAACAAATGCCAAACATATACCATATAAACTACTTATCCAAAATATTCTAATATAAATTAATAGATTAATTTTAGGTCTAGGTCTCTTTCTATTTGTAATATAATGATAAAATAGAAAAATCGCTACTTCCATTGTTAATATAGCTCCTATTATCATGTACAAAATGAAATAAACTGGCCATTCAAGTGCAAAATTATTAACTAATTATCCTTAAGTCATAGATATAAAATTGAATATTAGATTATATGTTATTTCTGCCTTTCCAGCCTTTTAATCTTCACTCAATTTATAAAAATTTGTGAATGTTACTGATCCTGTAATTATCCTCTTTTGAGTTTTAGTAACTTAATAATAATGTATATCCAAATTCACTTCTAATGGCATCATTCCACTTGGAATAGAATTAACTGTTTGAACTTCAACAACTTTACTAGAAGATACTTCATAATTTGAGTTGAAATCTATTGGATCCAATGGATCTGCTTATATAAAAAATAATGTTTCTTATCCATTTAATTCAAACCATCTAGGTAATCTTGGATTAATATTATATTTTTCATCCATTATGCAATATAATGTTAAATCATTACATTCATCACTTCTAGGACTCATACTAAATTAAAATGGATTGATTGCTTCTGTTTCATTCTCATTATAAAGTGTACAATTTAGATGTTAGATCAATTAGTAAAAATAAATATATTAACCAAATCCTTAACAATTTGAAAAGAAGGGTATATAAGGAATGACTAAATTATTTCTATCTCCCCAATATTTTGATTATGGTGAATAGGTTGTATAGGAATTCTATTTAAAAAAATTATTAGATGAATAGGATATAATATGATCTTAGTAATCAAATGAATTTAATGGTAAAATGTTTGCAGGTAAGGCTATTTAATCTGTTTTTGATAATCTAAATACAAAAATACTATTTGTATTTACTAAAGCTGTTTATGGTTCCATATTTTAAATTTTGGTAGTGTTCATAAATTGATATTTTTAAGCATAAAATTCTTAAGAATTGATCTGAAATAGAATCTAAAATGTTATTGTTTTATATGCAAAGATTATAAATTTAAAATCACTTACTTTTTCTACATCACTTTATTCAAATATTTCAGGCAATCCTATTGTTTTATCATCTAAATTTATATTTATATTCCAATCATCTTAAGTATAATTAAATTAAGAGATTCCTTCATCATCATAATACTTATCTAAATGTCTCAAATCTATTATCAATTCTGTCAATGTAAATGCATTTAAAGTATATTTAGTAATATATTGATTTGCTCCTTTTATTGATTAATTTGTTTCATCTTAAGTACTTGGCTTGAATTATTCATTTATAAAATTTAGAGGATTCACATCTGCATAAGATTAAATTGATTCTACTAAATCTAAACAAAAGTAAAACCAAAATAATGATTAAGTTATTTTTTTCATTAAATATATTGCTTTAATAACATTATTTCATTATTTGAAAAACAAACAATCTATAAAACATTATAATATTAAAAAATGATCAAAATAATCATAAATTTTTTTCAAACTCATACAAAGCATCATCATGTATTTTAGTCTATAATAATTTAATATAATATACATCATGGTCATGAATTTACAATTACCAAAATCGAAAATATTCATCATCCTTCTCCTCTTTTGCATAATCATGTTAAACTACAGTTTTCTATTAATTTAAAGATTAATCCATATCACTATTCTTAATCTCTCCATCTTATTAGGAATAACTTTAGGCTTCACCCCATGAGAAATTACCCCATTCTTATTATTATTATTATTATTATCCATCATTAGAATTCTATTATTAATCATTACTATTTATATTGAAAGAATCAAAAATATTTTATTAATTTTGAGTATTTGTTTCATTTTCATTTTACATCTTCTCATCATGATTAGATTTCAAAAAATGATCATATTTAATTTAGATTTCCTCTTTATTAAAATCAACATCTTCATTATAATCAGTACGTGTATGACCACCTAATTCATGATTATTCAATTTCTCAGCCTTATCAAAATATTAATCCTTAAATTTTTTCCATTATTCATTCTCTAATTCTGATTATAATAATGGATATTTTTATGAAAACTCCTCCAAAAAATGAGCCAATTTTGTCACAAAACCTAAATACTCCTTTCTCTAATTCTTATTATTTTTCACTTCTTAAGTACATTTTAATAAAAATTAAATAAACTCATTTTAATTGAATAACTAAATAATATATAATATATTAATTACACTCTAAACCAAACTATCCATTTTTTATTCAATTATATGTACCAAAAATCTATAATATTGTAGATGTAATATATCATGTTTTTCATATTTAATAAATAATGAATTATAAACTTTAAAGATATCCAATTCTTATAATTTAGTAATAAAAGATTCTTAATTCAAACTTATGCATACTCCAATAATTTCAAGAATTTTTATCTTATGTTACCCAAAAGTACATGTTTCTGATTTTTATAAGAATTCTAACCATTTATATAGATGAGATTCTATTTTATTAAATATTTCCTCTTAATTCACATTAAATATTGCACTTTCGGCTGGGTCACCTTACCTATTTGTTATTTTGTAAAACAATGTGAGTAGATTATATAATACTGTTCCTGAAGCAAGAGAGACAAAATTGCTTTCATGAACTATTGATTAACAGAATTGATCTATTGATTCTCCATATAATAATTCAAAGAGAGGTTATACTTTGAAAATTACATATGCCTTTAAAGTAATTTCTTGAATAATATGAGATACATTTGTTGATACCTAATTATATATTAATTATGATTTACTTCAAAATTTGAATAGTCTACAATTCTATTAACTACTCCTTTGAGTAAATGAAGTCTTTAAGGTGTATAATCAATTTATGTTTCTTATTCAATTGTTAATAAACGAATTACAAATTCTGAAACTGAACGAGATTATAATTGTTTGATTAATCCATCTACTAAATTTTGATATTGATAAAATTCAACAAGAAAGATATCAGTTCTCATTTTCAACAAATTAAATAATACATTACATACATATCCTGCTAATACAGGATTTACATCTTCATCTGAAACAAAAAATTAAAATAATTTATGCAATAAGGATCTATTCATATATTTTATTTTAATACTTATCTTCTCCAAAGAATTATTCTAAAATCTTAGGATTCTCACAACACACTAACAATTCACAAGAATAAAATGGATATCTAAAAGCTCTTTTTGAATTTGAATCATCTACTGGCATCTCAGTTAAATAACTGACTAACTCAGCTACTTGTTTAGTTTGCATACTACATATTATTCAATATATTACTAGTCCATTAATTTCTAATTTTGATTTCTGAATTCACCTATTATTAAATCATCATCTAATAAAGTAGTCAATAATAAGTCTGGGTTATCAAAATGACGATCAAATCCATTCTCCTTCATAAGCATACCAAATTGACTCCAAAATTGAGCACTACAATTAATCATCTATATTCTTACCTGAAATTCATCGTGAGAATTAATTTTATTAATGGAATAATAATCAAATTACTTTTGAATTAAACTTAATAACAAAAGAGTTAACTTTTAGTGTTCACTTATATTATAAGATACTTTTTACATTTTATGAAAAATAAAAACTTGAATTCTCTTATAAGTACAAAATTATTATTTCTATTATGATGTCTTTAATTAATACATTATTTAAAATTTATATAATAATATAAAATATGTAAGATTAATCAATTAAAATCATAGATGTAAATTAAAATTTAGATTTATGCAATATAGAAATTATAAATTTATAATCATTTAAAAACATATCAAATATTTATTGTAATTAATATTAAACAGAATTTAAGGTATACAACAGTAAAATTATTGATAATATCCTTAATTAAACTCTAAATTATTATTTATAATCTATTGATTCATATTTATTCTATCTGATGTATATTTCTTAAATATTTTTAAATAAATTATAATCAATATATTTTCATTAATTTTACTCAATTACAAATCATTTTGACTTTAATTTAGTAAGTATGATTAATTTCAAAAATTCTTTATAGGATAACTTAATATCAAAATGATTTAAATACAATTTCTTACTAAGAAGTTAATGTATAAATTATTATTAGAACAGTTCATCATAAAATCATGTATTCCATATTCTTATAATAAAAGTATAATTCAATTTTACCTTAAAATACTTTGATACATAATTTTACATCAATCACTAAAATTACTAATTACATTAATTAAAAATATTTATAAATTTCATAATTAAAAAGATGAATTAAAACTTATTTATTTTAAACTAAATACTAACTTTACAATTCATTTTTTTTTTCTTAAAGTAGGTACTCTTATAGTAGGGGCATTGTCTATATTTTGCGTTTCAATTTATTATTAAATATCTTATTTTTATTATTGTTATTATTATTAGACTGTCGGTTTTAATTAAATTGTTGCTTCTTGTTATGCAGTTATAGAAGGTGGACAAGATCCTCTTCTTAATAGTTTTAAAACCTTTTTGGATTATTTTTAAGTTTTCAATTAATAAATTCTAATAAAGCTCTCCGAATTTTCAGGCTTAAATCCTATTCTTAAAATGTCATCAAAATAACCTTTTAGATACCAATTGTCCATTTATATTGAACTGAAAGGACCTAATGTACATCAAAAATAATACCCTAAACTTTTAAGTAATCATCCACATAATACCATATTTTTTAAAGTAAATAATTAACTTATCCAGGAATACTCCTACTAAATACTATTTCTTTTTTTATGCTTTGTAATTATTACTAACTCCAATCAAAAGTATTTGATTATTTTGGTTATGGAGTGAGTATTTATTATTCATCAAATCGAAATAAATCTCCTCCTCCACTTTAATACACACCAGCTGTTTTGAGAGGAGTAGCACAATTACTTGAATATACAAGAATTTCTAATTTAATTTATTAAACTAACCTTAATTGAAACCACGTATAGGTCGAGTCTAATATGGATTCTGGCTTAGAGCTTTAAAAGCTTATGGATACTATTGGCATAATGCTTTGAAAGATTCAGGCATTTATTCAATAGGCTTCTACCTATAATGACTAATCAATTAAGCTCTCGAAAGTTTTTATTGCATAAAATATAAATAAAATATGAGAATTTCTTTTTTCTTTTTTTTTTAACTTAATATATAAGTTAAAAAATGAAAAAGAGAATTCATAAGATAATTCAACTAAATTTGGTATTTACTCAAGAATCACCTAGTCTATCTTTTTTAAGAGTCCTCTAATATATTCGTTATCATCATCGATGATAAAGTATAATAGATTAGTATTCTAATAAATCTTTAAAAATTATAGGTTTTCTTACCTTATTAACAGAGAAAGACTGATTTCTCATATAATCCTCCAAATCTAAAATTATTGAATGAATATTTATACCTTTGAACATAAAAACATAAGGATTAATCATGTTATGTTAGAATGAATGGACACCAAACTGTTTTAAAATAGAATATAAAGAAATCATCATCATATTCTAAATTATTAAAGATTTATATTTCTATATCACCTCCAGAAAGAGAATATTAAATAATCGAATTACTTCTATTATTAGGATAATAGAAATAGAATTTAGTCTTTTAATTGTTGACTCTATGAAATTATACTATTATAATAAGCTCTATTGTAATTGTCTTCAAAAGGAGATATTGAATTATTTTCAATATACCCTCACAATTCTGCTAAATATTCTATTCCAATTTAGAAAATTAATTAATTTAATTCAATAAATTTATATCATACTTGGGATTATGAAAGAATGAATAATGTTTTTGATTATGATTACTCGTTATCTTCCTAGAACTCTTATTTATTATTGTAATTGTTAATTGAAACCAGTCACTTTCATTAATTTCTGGATTAATAATATTATATACATTGTCTTATTAATTTTTTTAGTTTTCTCTGTTTTTAATGCACTATTCATACTCAGATTTTCTTTAGATATATTATATTAATCAATTTATAAGTTTTTTTGCCTTATATATTTGCATGACTTCTATAAATTGAATTGTATTTTTATATACCTTTTCTTATTAAATCATGGTTAATCTGAATATGAAAACCTATATATTTATTGATTTTTGAATATAAAAATAACTAATATTAAATATTGATACGTTTTAAATATTAAGTAATATATCAGAATTATTTATGAATCCAAACAAGTCTTCTTAAGGAATGAAATAAGCCAATTAGTTTAGACTTTGATGTTGCATTCTAATTATAATACATAATAATTTACTTTTTGATTGACACTTTCAAGGAGTTGTAACTTAAGAGATAGTGCTTTAGCTCTTCTTATGGGAAACCATGAATAATCACTAGCTTATTGTTTAGCTCTTATATAATTATCAACACCATTATTAAAATCTGATTATTTCATTCTCAAATAACACATATAGAATAGATAATTCCAAATATTGTGTTCAACTTTAATGTGATGCCAAAATCCTGTGTTTTGACTAGTTCTATCAAAAACTAGTCTATCTATACCACAAATGAAACATTTATGATTTTAATCCTTTTCCTTCTACTTTTATACTGATCTCAACTCTGAGTATGAAATAATAATGACAGCCAATAGAACATTTATGATACATAATTTTATGATGATATTTACAATATTATCATAGAAGAATCTACCATAATAATTATTGAGATTGCTCATATACATTTCCTCAGCTTATTCTCCTATATTTTCCATGAATCTACCTCCTACAGATCCATCTGTTTTAAATGTCCAATCAAATGTGACATAAACACATTACCATAAATGATTACAAAGATTTTGATTTTTATCAGTAATGAAAAATTCAAAGAAATAAACATAAGATATTAAGGCTACCCAATATTCAAAAAGTACAATTGTAAACCATAATCCAATAAATTTAAATTTAGCCAACCAAACAGCTTTTAATATTGGTATGAGTGGTTCCAAATACAGAATATGAATTAAATGAAATGCCAAAAAAAATGGATGAATTGTAATTCCAATAATATTAAACGCTATCTAAAGAATATAGTATATAATGTCGAAATCAATGACTAAAACAATGATTGAGATAATCACTTTAATTAAACCAGAAATTAAGTGTCCAATTAGTGAAGATGCATGCCAAGCATTCCAAACAAATTATAGTTTAACAGGTGCTTTGTCAATGAGATAAAAAAACAAAACCATAAAACTAATATAATATAAATATATATTACTTTATAGCTAAATTTAAATAAGCCAACATCATTAAATAATATTTAGTATTTGTATTATTATAATCTCCTAAAAATCTTGGTTCATTTAATCGATAATATTAAATTACATCAGAATCTGTTGGTTTATATCCAGGTGGAAATGCTAATTGTGTATAACTTAAAATTATTATTAAATTTATTAAGAATCCATTATAGAATGCAAGTTACATCCATAATTTACCTCTTCTAGCCAGAATCTCTAAAAACTTGTGTTTCTTAAAGTAATCTCTAAGAGCTTCTTAATGCAACATAAATTTATAGGCTGAATCTACAAAGTTAACCAGACTGATTATTTTAGTTTTAGTACTTGTTCTATCTGCTTGATCCAAGAATTTTTTTTTAATTTCTTATCTTAATAAGTAGAAACATGGCTGTTTAGGAAAATATGTTAGGTAAAGTACATCATCTTTTACAAATTCAACTTATAATGTATTAATTTTATAAAATTGAAAAGCTTTATGCATCATTTCATGTTTTTTAATTATATTCATCTTTTCTTCAACTTATCCACTAAATTATTATTTGATTTAATTTAATTATTCCAATCCATGTTTCATTAAAGATTATCCTAATCTTGATAATTCATTTAATATATTATCCTTTAAGAAATCCTATACTAATTATCCTTCATCATTATTTTTTTAAAATTCTTCTAAATCTTCAACTACATAATTTAATTCTGATAATATCACATATAAAATATATGCATTAAATCCACTTTCCATAATAAAATTGGGTTGATTTACAAATATTAATTTAGAGTAATTATCTTCACCAAATAAGTTCACCATTTGACTATAAACATTTACAAAATGTTAAATTAACACTGTTTTAGGAACTATTTTTTTTAATTTCTATACAATATAATCATCTTTAGTATTAATTTCAGCAACTACTAATAAAATAATTAAACATTAATGTTTTAATTAAATTATTTGTACATCATCCAATTATAATTTTAGAGATGAGTCATTTAATACTTTAATAGAGAATTCAACAAATTTTGAATTAGCTACTAATGTTTAATTTGGTCTACATGCATATGCTTAAGATTTTAGAGTTTTTAAGCATTAAATAAGTTATTCATAATTATTTTTAACATCTAAAGAACATAAATAATTAATTGTCTATTAAACAAGATCATATGACTTTTTATTATTCTTTTAATAACGAATTAAATTTTATAATTCTTTATTATTATCATTACACATCAATTCCATTATTTATAATACTAAAGTACATATTTTTAAATCTTATTCTATTGTTAAAAGCATTTCCATTTTTTAAAAGAATTTGTCACTAGAAATAGCAAGACTCAAAAATGTTAAGGTTGTCTTTTATACTTACTTACAAGACATAAGTTCTTTAATTAAAATCAATAATTAAATGATGTAATCATTTTCACTTTCATTCTCTTCCCAAATTAATGTTAAAATTATTTTAGTTCCTCCTAATTAATCAAGTATTTTTATTCTATTCTAATCAATTTTTATTATTTGTATTAATAACTTTAATGCAAAAATAGCACTTTATTTTGATGCTTTATTTGATTTCCAAAATTAAAGAAAAGCTAAAATCTTTTATAACATATCATTATTAGTAAGAATTAATTGTCTCTTTTCTTTATCTCCCCAAAAATCACTAGTAAACATATCACTTACATGCCAAATTGATTAAGCTAATTGATCAGTTTCTGTTAATTCTTTTATTTTTGGATTATTATCAAATAATTTCTTAAAGAATTCCCATAATTCTAAATCATTACAACCTTAATCTGAACCATCACTACCATCAGTTATTTAATATTCTTCAAATTTTTCAGTTTTAAATGTCTCTCCATTTATATCACTCATTAATCCTTCTTAATCTGAATCTGATTCACTTCTTTCATCAGGAAGTTTTAAATCAAATGCTTTTACCAATCTATGAACTTAATATTTAGTTGAAGTATCACTATTTTTAGTTAATTATGAATATTATTTTAAAACACTTAAAGCATAACTTCTAATTTATGCTATGTCTGTTTTAAAAGAATTCTTTTTATTTGCATATTCATTATATGTATTTATTAATGGTAATAATCCTTCAACAATATAAGTCTTAGCAGATATTTACAAAAACTCTTATTATTCTAGCCATTATGCTTCAATACTTATAATTTATAGAAAATAATTCTCATGAATTAATAATAATTTCTTTTTCTTCTTTGATAAAGTAATTATTATTCTACAAATTACAAATTTAATCTATATATAGATATAATTTACTTTTGTTATGCTATCTTATAATTCTAAATCTAAGTTTGTATTTCTCATTTCCTAAGTCTTTTCTAAAAAATATGATGTCAAATCAGTGAAATCAAGTACTTCCAACATTTTTACTGATAATGCTGCTCTATCATCATGTATTAAGACCACATCTACTATTTTGAGAAAACTCTAACGAAATTCTTCAATATTAGGTTAATTTGGATAGAATTTCTAAAAGTTATAGTTATCTTAGAATGGCTAAAATGTTATTATCCATTAGATTTACATTTATGTCTTTTGATTCACATTATACTAAAGCTTAATAGATATCTTTATAGAGAGATTAACATTATTTATTTCTAACAATGGATGTAAATAGTTCTATAAATGATTAATATTTCCCATATAATTTGACATATTCTAATAACTAATACAAATCATTTGAATTAACTAAAGGTAATAAATTATGATTATTAGAAAATAACTCATTTATTAATTCTATCTAACCTAAATTAACCATATTATATCTTAATAATGGTCTTGCTAATTTGATTAGAACATACCTATAATAATAATAATATAAATTACTCTTAATTTTATTAATCATTTCTAACAGATAAACCTATTAATTTAAGACATGCTTAAAATATTGATAGAATCTTCTCTACTAATTCTTATTAATATTATTTCTATTCATCATATTCTGTTAATTCAAAACTGCATTCAAATATATTCATATTTACATCAATTACAGATAAACATTTTACAATTAATTAATATACAACTTAATATCCACCACAATTTAAGAATATTCTTCTTACTGATTTTTCATTTGATTCATTTTTTGATATTATTGTATAAATTTCAACTAATTTCTCTAATACTTTTTCAATTGTTTCTTCATTTTTTTCATTTAATGCTATTGGAATATCCAAACGCAACCAAATTTAAGAATTCTGAACATTATTTTTAAGCTTTTAAACTAAAATGTACATAGTTCTATAAATAATCTATAAATTATTTGTCATTATCATTTATATTTACTTTAAGTAATTACAAAATTCAGATCTTTAATTTTAATATCTTTCAATTAATTCTACAATATGATTTTATAACACATTATCATTTGCAAAATAAAATCCTTTTAATAAAACTTCTACAAATGGACGATCAATAATTCTATCAAAATGTCTTATTCTATTTATTTATACATGATCTTTTATTCCTCTTTATTAAAACTTCTTTTATCCTGGTTTAAGAAGATCTTCTCTTAATAATCCTTATAAAGATGTTAAATATTTCTATCTATAATAAACTATATGATGTTATAAATTAGTTTTATTTTCAGAAGAATCACGTAATTGTTATTTTTCTGAATGTGAGAACTTTTTTAAAATTTAAGGCAAAAATGTATTAGTAAAAAAAGCAATTGCATTATCAATCATAAAGTCTAATCTCATATCCAATAGATATTAAAATATTTTACATATCTCTATCTTTATTTCAATTTCATAATCTGAAGTATTAGTTTGAGCACTAAATGTTTTATTATAGAATCTATTAAGTACTCTTTTAACATTCTATAATTTTCTTAAAAGTGGATCTCTAATTGTCTCGATGCTACTCTTATTGATTTTCTTTTATTCTGTTTTTCTAAAGAACTTTAAAGATTATATTTTAATAATTTTTGCTAATTTTTCATTAACATTTTTTGATTTCAATTTAGAATGAGCCTTTTAATAATCAAAATCATATTCAAGTAATAATGACAATTATTAAATTAATCTTTCTAATGCATATTCAATTTCTTTTGAATCATCCATTCTATTATTATTAAATTCATCACTTTATTTAGAAAACCATCCAAATTATAATAACATAAATAAAATTCTCATAATTTGTAAAGTAAGAAGATTATATACTTTCTATGGTTATTATTCATGTAGATTCTTCACCATTTATCTTAGATAAGAACTTAATATCTCTTTGAATTGTAAAATAACATAGTATAAAGATTTAGTTTCTAATTCTACTTTATCAAAAATTCCATCTTCATCTTCATAAAACATATTGTCAAAAAATGTTTAACTATTGCTAATATTAACTCGAATTAAGGTTGGTTTTACTTGAGAAATTAAAGGATCCCTATCTAAGTAGATGTTTTTACAGAGAGCAATTAAATGGGCTCTCAATTCAGGATCAATTAAGTTATTATTTAATAATGGAACTAGGGAATTGTCACTAAATTGTTCTCCAAAATATTTAATGGAATCATAATTTCTCTATAAACATAATTATGAATATAAAAAGAATTAAGCTTTTAAAAAATTAAGTTCTTCTTAAAAATGTGGATTTGAATTTTTATGAGCATGTTCAAAATAAGATTCAAATTTAATAGATACTTATCCTATTTTACTATTGCAAGTAACCATAATATTCTTTTCATCATCTACTACACATTTCATTAATGTAATATTTTTCTTTTTATTAATTAATGTCTTAAAAACCATCTCTTAATTTGCAAATATTGCCTCTACTCCAAAAGAACAACATGCAGCTAAAAAATGTAAAATTTCTGTTTTTTAACTAAAAGGTATTTCAGTTTTAGCAGTAGAACTTAATGATACTTTTTCTGTCAACCATTCAAGAATGAATGTATTTTTATTTTGTTTTTTTGATGAAACTAATAAAAAATAAATAAGTATATAATACTCTTTCTAATTTTAGAGAGATCTTCTAGAAAGAAACGATTTTTACAAACAAGACTATTTAAAATGGCTATAAATTCAGGATATAGTATTATATGTTTATGGAGTATGGGTAAAAACTAAAAAAAGCAATTCTAATTTTCAATATTGTCTTTACAAATCTATAAATATATATTGATAATTATATACAATGTTAATAGTTTCAATTAATTATACTTATAGTATTTTAATTTATAAGCTATAATAATAAATAATTCTTCCTTCATCTCTATCTGCTCTATTAATATTTTTAGTACTCTAATAGAATTTCTCCTCTTTTTCAAAAAAATCTTTATCATTTGATGCAATTTATTCAACTAATTCTGGTTTTAGCATTTAAAACAATAAACAAATAAGAGGGAATAGAGGTTCTTATCTAAATGACTAAAATTAATATGAAAAATGAAATTATTACATCTTATCTAATGAATGATATTTAATTATATTTTTAATTAGGAGATAAATTAAAAATTAATTTATTCATCAAAAAATCACTTACATATGTTAATATTTACTTAACTTTTTAATAAATAAAATAAAACTTAATTTTTAATCTAATCTCACCTTCTTTATTTTTAATATCATATGAAGAACATTTAATTTCTTGATCATTAATTTCTTATAATAATTCTATTGCTTCAATAAAAATCTTAACAGAATATTAAAGTAATTTAGTTTCAGTATCTTCATAATCTCCTATCTTTCTTAATCTTAAAATATTAATATTTCTATTTTCTTATTTATTATTATGATCCTACAAATATATTCCAGATTAATAATGTTGTATTTTAAAATAAGAATCCTTTTTCAATACCTTTTATCCTTCATCTATAGGTATCAACATAAATAATGATAATTTGCTTAATTAATTTGTTAAAATAGGATCACCATTTAATAATTCCAAATATCTAGAGGATTGATTATGTTTAAATCTAACTAATTAATAAAATTATATTTATCCTCCTTATCCATTTGTTTTTTCTATTTTCCAATATGAACTACTTTAAAGTTTCTAAATTCTCTTCATACCTACTCTTTCTATTACATCATCAAATGTCACTTTTAGATCTTCATATATAATTTTTGTTAATGTTAATGAAGTTAATTAATTTTATAATCTTTATATCTAATATTCAGCTATTTCATGAAATGTATCATATGGTTATTTGGCATTCAAAAATAACTTAAATAATATGATTTATTATGTACATTTGTTTCACTTAAATTTATTGCAATCAAATCTCCTGCATATAATAAATCCTCATTTTCTTATAAACTACTATATAAATTCATTTTTAAATAAGTTGGATTTATTTATGTAGAAGACACTTAATCTGCTTAATCCTTAGAAATTAATCTTAAATAACATTTTCTATTTTATATTGATTTTGCAGCACACAATGTTACAGTTTCCTAATCTAAAATACATGAGATCTATTTCTGATATTAATAAACTGGTTGAAAATGTAATACTGTGTAATCAGTTGGAAATTCCACTAATTAAACTGATTCTTGATCAATCATTACAAATCGTAGAGAATCTTTGTGAACTAAATGAAAAGTGGAAGTTCCAAATAGTAATGAAGTGTCTTGTAGTTTTTGGAAACATTAAATATTGGCCATCATCTCTTCATCAAGATTGTTTTCATAAGATTTTATAGTCTATTGTCTAGATTAAATTGTGGATTCTATCATGCTCAATTAAACTACCCTTTTTATTGATTTCTTTGTCAATGTCATTTTTAACTAGCTCTACTAATTTGCCCACCCAAAAATGATTTAGAACAGGTATGATCATAAAAATGCATTTTTCAAAGTTCAGAATCTCATTCTGATGCATTACCTTATGAACTAATAAATTATCATTAAGTTAGTCAGTTGAAAGATAGGTCTCATTTTCACTACATAAGGACAACGATATCTAACATCCATAAGTAATCTTTCTTAACATTATTTATAATTATTGATGGATTAAATTAATAATAATTAGAAATAGACATCCATAAACATATACAACCTTATAATAAATACATCATTTATATATATTTACAAATAACTAAATTTATAAACTACCCTTTCTATCGATTTAATTGGAAAATAACTTTAATACCAAAAATAGATATTTACTAAATTTAAATTGCTATTCAATTTACAATAAATCTCTACTTAAACATATAACACCATTAAGTTTAAATATTTTAATAATTACAGAAATTTTACATAATTAATCTATTTATCTTTCAATGTAAATAATCTGATTAATTTATTAATTTTTAACCAAATTTATAATGAAAGAAGAACAATATATGATTTAAAATATTAAATGAACATTTAGGAAATAATAAAAATAATTCAATTTATTGAAATTCTTATTTATATTATAATTTTTAGAAATACTTATACTCTAATTATAATTCCATTTGTTTTATTAAAAATTGACTAATTAAATCAACTAATATTTCTTAAAGACTTGAATATTATATAGATTATTCTATATTTTAAAATGAGATAACATACTTCGATATTTTATAATATTAATTAACCATGTATATTTCAGAATTTTAAAGTGTAGATTCTAAAAGAGTTAAGGAAAGATTAGTAGAAAGTGCCTATAATAAAGTTTAGATCTGGAGGAAAATATTCTTAGAAGGTTTAATAAATGAACAAGGAGAAAAACAATATTACTCTTTAAAAGAGGCTGCAAAATTTGTAGGAGTTCCAAAAAAAACCTTAGAAGATTATACATCTATCTTTAATAAGGTTGGATTAATTGCTTCATTGTTTGATTTCCAAGGATAGAAAATGGGATTTCTTAGATAATTTATAAGAAAAAATAAATCAAAAATAAGAAAAGCCTTAATTGCAGAAAGATTAAAAAAATATGAAAGAAAATAAGAAAATAAAAATGAAATAATAAAACAAGCATAATGTACAAACTTTCTTGAAGAATTTTCATCATCAAAAGAAACAGAATCTTTTTTTGAAAAGTTTTCTGATTAGAATATACTTAATTCTGAACCAGAAGAATTTGATGAAGTCTTTTAAGAAAGTCATGTCTTTTTACCAATTTAAAAATTTTGATTTAGTTATTAATTGTATATTGTAATTAATATATAAGTTAAGACATATGGAAATGCATAATTATTTTATGTATTCAATTTTGTTTTAATATTATTTGAAAACCTTATTATAATTCATTTATAATTTAATAATTATCAACTTGAAGTAATTTTAATTTAAATAACTTAATGTAATTCTTCGACATTACAAATTTAGAAAAGAGCTCTTAAAATTTAAAAACTAAAAGTATTGTTTAGGTTCCTAAGAGTCCAAAGAAAAAAAACTAGTTAAATTATATGGAAATGAAAAATATCCAATTTGATTGGATTTGCTTAAATCAAGAAGAATTTGAAATTATGAAAGATGAAAATCCAAAAGTCGATAGTTTTACAATTTAAGAATAGTTCTTTTGGTTTTAAAATGAACATACTCATTTTGCTTATCCATTAACGATCGAACATGGAAATGTAATTTTAACTTAAAATAATATAGTTTATTGAATCTTTAAAGAAACATAACATAGATGAATGTAAACGACATAATTTATTATGTTGGATGGGGGATGTAATGGGAAGTTATGAGAGTGCTTCAAATGAAACATACTTTTTGGCAATCTCAATATTGGATAAATTTCTTTAATAGACTAATTTTTTACTTACTAATTAGGAACTATTAGCAATTGGTATTTGTTGTATAAGTCTTGCTTCAAAATGTAAAGATGTTTCCCCTTTAACATCCTAATAATTGATTGAATTGAGTAGTGATAAAATGGATGAACAAATGTTAATATAATGTTAATTTAACATTTTATAAACTCTTCAATATTAAGTTGAAGTTCCAAATTACTTTAAGATTTTTGATTATATAATGAGAGATTTAGAATACAGATATTATAAATATATCTCTTCAGACATTATTTAAAACTCATTAGTTAGTATTAAATTAAAAGCTATTTATAAATGTAGTTTGCTTTTATTAAAATTTGTCACTTAATATTATGATTCAACTATTTTTCATCAAAGTGCAATATCATATGGATCTATATTTTATACAATTAAACGTATGGAATTATTATAATTATCAATTCCCACTGATTTAATTAATGTGCTCTAATAAATACAAGTAGATTAGAAGATTATCAATACAGAAATTGTTTTAAAATATATTTATAGATTATGTTAAAATGGAATGTCTAAAAAATAATAGTAATATCTTAGACAAACTAATATTAAGTATTGAAATTTATTTAATTTAATTTTTATATAAATTAAAATAGTATTATAAATAATATTATCTTCTTCTAATTTATAATAAGTAATCTAATTAAGTGATATTTCAATATGGATTAGTAAGATTCATAACTGAATTTTTATTAGATTCATTAAGTTGTTTGTATAATTATTTTACATATTATCTAATTTAAGATTTATATTAAAAATCTATTGATTTATTATTATTCATTGTAAATCTTGATAGACTTATGTAAGGGAGAATACATAGATTAAATGGAATGTTGTGTGACTTAAATGTTTCTTAAAGCATCCTCTACTAAATTCTTTTTTTCTTTATTTTTTATATTTATTCAACTTAACGATGACAAATTTCACATAAGATGTTTGATCTTAGTTTTTTTATGTCCAAAATTTGAACAACAACAACTTTTTCTTCTGATTTATTATGCATTTCTGCTTTACATTCTCTCTCCTCCCTACTTCAAAAGTGTTAATGCTTAAACTTTGTTTCTAATATTTTTGATTTTATCATTTCATAAGATAAAGTTCTTTATTTCTTCTTTAAAGGATGAACCTTAGATCTGTAATTGCTTTTATATACTCCTCAATTTCTTAATCATTATTTTTGGATGTAAATTAATTTTCATGATAAAAATATACTTAATTATATTATGTGTTATAAAATGAATATATAACTAAAAATATATATCTTAAAATATTAATTTTTCTAATAAAAATAGTTTTACAAATTTTTATGTTAAAAATATTATTAAAACTATCCCAAATATCTATTTATAATTAACTTGTTAATGAAAGATTATATTTCCTCATATACTTCATTAATTTATTTTCTAGAGTTAATAAGTATAATTATTTGATAATTAAAAAATAAAAATCAATTTTCATAAGAAATAAATAAAATTTAGATTCTATTCTTTATTCTTATTTTAAATAAATTTGAAATACTTATTATTTAAATTATTTTTCAATTAAATAATTTATTTGATGAAAAAAAACAAATAATATTAATTTATAATTGTAGATTTTAATGATTATATATATATCAAAATATTAATTAATATATAAATACATATAAATAAACTCGTATAAAAATTAATATATCAAATTTATTTGTTATTTTCTAAATTTGAAAAGTAATCTGATATCATTTTTTTGATAGATTATTCATCAGTTGGAATTTGAATAACTTTGTTTTTATCAAATTCTAAAATTTAAATAAGCTCACTATATTATTCTTCAAAAGTAAAAATATTTATAGATTATGCTAAATGATGCATTTTATGTTCTTTTAGAGATTCATTTTCATTTTCGTTTTGAGATTTAAAATAAAGATGAAATTATTTTATTTTCATTTAATTTAAAAATGATTTAGAGAGGTAGAAGATTTCGTTTTAAATAAGGTCACCAATTATTTCTTCTAATTTAAAGTTAATTTTTTAGTTTTTTTGATAGTCTTAAACTATTTTCAATTATTTCTTAAATAATAATAATATATTTTACTTAAAAATCCCTTTTCTATGTGATATATAGTCTTTTGATATGTTTCTATTAAACTTGGATTGTTTCAGTATCATTATTTAAATATAGCCTAATTTATTCTTCCAAAAATTATCTATTAATTGCATTTACTTCATTTGTTATTTATAAATAATTCCAATACTCTTAAGTTTAAAAGACAAAATGATATAAATTGAAAATGATTGAACATTAATATCCACTTAATAAAATTTAAATTAATTATAGATGAGAAATATAAGACCCACAATTGACAAAATCTTTTTGATTTTCAATAATTTAAAGAAAACTTTCATTTTTCATAAATAACCTTTCAGCAATAGAATGTTTGGCCATATAGAATTCTATAATCTTTTCTAAAAAATTATCTATTGGCCTAATCAATATTTTGAAATTTTATTATTATTAATTATTCTGAGGGTTTTAATTATGAGGAATATCACTCACTTATGGTTAAATTAGTTGTGAAGATTGATTACTACTTTAATTATAACTTTAAATAGAACTCTATTATGTAATGTTAGACCTTTAAACATCTGTTATAGGTTATTGTGATACTTTATTATTATTATCGAATTAATTTGATATTTAGACATTAGATTATTATTGAATAGTTGAGACAACCTGATTAGATATTGAACTTGGGATTAATTATGAACTCTAGTTTGATTGACTTGTTAATGTAATTTATGAGCACTAGTAAGGAAACATTTTAAATAATTCTTCCCAACTTATTCTAGAGGATTCTTCAAAAACTAAAGATTAATTTAAAAATTTCAACAATTTTTCTTTTTCTTAAACAGTACCTCCTCTAAGGGTTGGAGGTAAATTATCAATTAATATATTCTAATCTTTTGCTTTTCTTGTAGCTCCAAATAAATTTTATCTATCGTAATAAAGGGATGGAATTTTTTAATAGACTAATTCATATATTATGACACCAAGCTATATTTAATAGTTATAATACGCTGTAAACATCACATTTATTAGAATAATTATCTCCTATGAGTACTTATGGAGCAGCATAAAATGGTGTTCCAATTTAACTCTAATTTGCAATAAGGTCAGGATTATCTAGAATTTTTGACACACCATAATCAGCAATCTAAATAAGGTTTAGATTATACCTAAAAATATCCATTATTTCCAAGTAATATATTGGCTGGTTTTATATCTCTATGAATAATTCTACATTGATGAAGCTCTTTGTAGCCTTATATAATTTAGTCTAAAATAGATAATATCTCTTCAACTGTCAATTACTTTATCCTGTTTTGTTTTTTATTAATAAAATTATCAAGATCTCCTTGTGAACAATATTCCATAAAAATATAGCATTCATTTTCCTATTAATTTATGTGAAGTATCTTCACAAGATGTTTAAAATCAATTTACATTAGTGTCTTTATGATTTATATTTCTCTTTCAAACAATTCTAGTAACTCCTTGGTTTTAGATATAACCTAAATGTATAAATGAGTTTTACTTTAACACATTAAGGTATTCTATATTTTTAATTATTGCATTTATAACACTTAGAAAATTTTCCATTACCAAATTAAGAGTGCAAATCTATAATAAAACCATCAATATTTTTATATCTGGATGACATTTATTGTTAAATAAATTTAATTAATATTAAAAATATACTATAATAAAATAAGAAATCAAAACTAAATTTAAAATATAGATAATTCAACATATTTAATGATCTGAATTGGTAAATATTTCAAAATTCCATCATTTTTTCAATGATATTACATTAAAGTAATAACATAGTCATTAACTCATTTTATTAATTATTTTAATTTACAGTATTTGATTTTTCATCATAATAACTAAGATTCTTTTACCTTAAAGTAGATGTCTCACTATTAAGTTTCTCTTTATTATAATCTATGCTATCTGGCATTTAATTATGATTATGAGGTAAAACATCTTATAATTTCAAATTATTTCCAAATTACTCTAGAATATTCATCTTTTATTATATTGTGCTTTTTTTTGCATTTAAATCTTTTTATAACATTAATAATGTAGTTGGTATGCCTTCATTTGATTGTCTAGATAAAATATCACAAGCATATAGTGTGACCTAACCTAAATATAATGCTTCATCTGTAATTAAAGTCTATAGAAATTGAATAAGAAATTTACAATTATTTTACACTATTCCTTTTATTGAAGTTACAATTCTTTAATTTATTACTCCATATATTCAATTTCTTGTTAATTCTCTAGATGAGCATACTAATTTTAACATTTTTCTTGAAATTTCAATATTTATTATTAATAATTCTTACAATCACTCTAATGAATAATAAATATAAATTACTTCAATTTATTGATTCAATTTTTAAAGATTGAAATTCTCCTTTAAAACTGCATTTAATTACTAATACTATTTATTGAAATCTTATTACAAATCATAATAATTTTATTCATTCTTTTATAATTCATCTTATTTTTCACGCAAATGATTGTTTTCATAAGTCAATTCTTAATTTTTTATCAAAACTTAATCTAAATTTTTACTAATATCAATTATTCTTTGATTAAGATTATTATATGTATTAGAATTTTCTGATTACACATTCTTTTCTAGATCTTTAATTAATTTAGTCTTTTATTTGATTTCATCTTATAATTATATAACCTTATATTCATTAGATTATTTTTCAGTTTACAATTTAAATAGATTTTCCATCAATTATCTATTAATTATAGTTTGTTCATCCAATAATCTTTTATTTTATTCATTTTATGATTCGTAATCATAAATGAGATTTTTTTAATTTCTATAATAAGGAGATTTGGATTTGGAACTTAATTATGATAAATTTCTATCATCTCTAATTTAAGTCTAATAATTAGATTAATTTATTAAGGAACTTTCATTAGTCATAATTTAATGTTATTAATGAGTATCAAATCCACATTTAGCAAGTTATTATCCAAAAGATGTTGTATTTTAAGAGAGATAATTTTAAGTTTAATTTGTAGACATATTGTCTTTGAGATCTTTCATTTATTTATTTAAAACTTCAACTTAATTTATTAATAAACTATTATTTTATTTAGATGATAAGGCATTAATAATGTCTTAAATTAATTTTTAAGTATCTACAACCATCTTTTATAACCTTAATTAATTTTAAAATGTTAATTAATCAGATTTCTAAAGATCTAATTATTCTTTGAGCATTTCAATTTGTTATTGATATTATAATGAATTATCTGCCATTTTGATTGCATCCTAACTATAAAGTGTATTAATCTCTTATAACAATAAATAAATAAAATATTTTAAAGTAATTAAATCTGTACATCTATAGAAATCGAAACAATCATTACAATGTTCTTAACAAAAACATTTAATTTTTGCAAGAGAAGGTGCACATTCATCTTAATTTTAATCCTTTATCATTTTAAACTTTCTTAGTTTCTTAGTTAATTGTTGTATTCTCAATATACTATTACTATGTAACTTACTTTAATAATGACTTAAATTAGATAATTAACTATGTGTTGAAAATTTATCTTAAATAATAAAGGCTTAATCAGTTTTAACATGTTTAGGAGAATGATCAATCTTGCTAATATTTTCTAATCTTTTATTGATGATGGTCTCATAAAAACTCTAAGAATCTATTTTTTAATTAGATTAACAGGTTTTCTTTTAATTCATAAAAGGTGATAAAGGTATATCTACTTTTGATTTAGTAGCCGATCTATCTGCATGTTAACTATTAAGATTTTTCACTCTCAACTCCAATCCTTAAACTTTATCTTATAAATAATTAGCACATTATTGATATTCTGGACAATTACTTATAACTTAAAGAGGTTGACGTTGAACCTTCAAACTCCCCTTACGAGAATGACATGATGTAGGTGTTTAGTAAGGTTTCATAAAATTGTTTAAATTATTGTTTAACAGCTTTAAAAAAAAATTTATTAACAAAATTTAATTATAATAACTACCTATTCTTTACAATATAATCAAATTTAATATGGTTGTTCTCTTATACATTCATTTCTATTATGGTTGGATTTAAAATTTGATATTTTTGTTATGTTATTATTATTCATATTATATATGATGAATATTGATATAATAATAATTTTAATATATTAATAGATAAATTTTCAGTTATATAACTTAGTATTTCAATTGGAAACAGTTTCAATTTTCTTCTTCTTCTTTAATTAAATTGGTATTCTTTTCTTATTAGCACAATCCTTACATTTACAACTTGAAGTACATTTTTAATTTCTTATATAACATTCACAATAGTTTTTTTGACATTTTGATTTTTAACATTTGCAACCCCAAACTTTGGATAGATCAAATAAATCATTATCATGTTTTTATCGTTAAGACTTTATTTTTATTTTCTCTAATGCTGTTTATCTCACTTATAGATGACAATCATAATTCTTGCAATCAACGCATTTGCAAAGTTCTGTACATTATTTATTTTAATGGAAACATTGACAATACAACTTAAGACAATGAGAATTAGAACAATTACATGGAGTAGTAGTATGTTCATTAGATAAAGAGTTTAGATCAGATTCCTAATTAAACTCTAAGTTTCTTTTTAAAGTAGTATTTATCTTTTATTTGTGAATTCTTCTATTTCTATGTTCTAAAGTTTAAGTTTAAAGTTCTTTAGGTTGTTTAGATGGCTAAACTTAAATTTTAAAGTTAGGCTCTTAAATGTATTTATCATTTTCAACATCCTCTAAAGGGTTCTCTGTTTGAACCTTCATGATTATAGGTGACTCTAATTCTTCATTGAACTTATCTGATAAGATGCTCCTAAAAATAGATTGAATACATACATAATATTTTTAAGTTAAGGCATAGACATAGGCAATTACTCCACATCATCGTCTAAATTGATATCAAATTTATCTGTGTTTTAATAATAATAGGTCATAGTATTTGACTCTTTTCTTTTTTCACTTTAATTCCAAAAATTGTTTTAGTGCATAACTTTCTAAAAAATTAATACTTACAAAGTACTTTATTGAATGACTTATATTACATATGGTATATTAATATATATATTCAAGCACATTATGATTATTCTACATTCCTATATCTAATAGAAAGGCATTCTTAATGTCAATTGAATAATTTGAATGATGCAATTCATATTGTATAAAATTCAGAATTAGATTACTTAAATGATTCTGGATGTAGTAATATTCATTCTAAATAAAAGAGTAATAGATCAATCCAATTTGAAAAATTAAAATAAATTTTATTTATTTATCTCTCAATACAATCTTTGTTTTATGGAAAACTTAATATAATATAAAAATATAAAAGACTTTTTAGTTAATGTTATTTTCCTTTTTTAATTTATTTCAAAAAAATATAATTTAATTCACTAAACTTTTATTTTCATTTTATTCAATTTACAATTATTCAACATTACTATCCTGTAGTGAAATCTTCTATGTGTAAAATAGTCTTTATTATTATTTAATAATAAAAAGACAACTAGATATTATTATAAATATAGATGGGAAGTTCATGCATTTCTAATTAAAAAGATACTGTATTTGAAGATTTATTTAGTACTTAAATCACCTCATAAGAGAGAGGTATCCAAAATATCAACTAGACTATTGAAGGCAACTTTTAGTAAGTTAAATTGTTAAAGGAATCCTTAGAAGAAGGAATCTAAATTTCTAATATTTAAACTATAGTAATTACACCAAGATGTGAGTTAGAGGGAGCAAAAATTGTTGGTGAATTAGTGAAATTAGGAAATCAAATTACAATAATTTCAAAAAAAATACCTGAAAGTCCTCATGTAAGTGAGAGGTCAATTTCAAAGAAAGGAATTTTAAAAAATAAATAAGATATAAATGTTACTTAATCAGCAGATGGATGTTTGTTATATCCATCTCCAAATAGAAAGAGTGGAAAAAATATCAAATTCAAAGGGTGAAACTATGGATTATATGATTTAAAGAAACTTATATAAATTTATTTATAAATTATCCCATTAATAATTACTCAAGCTTTAGTTTCATACACAAAAACTCTAAAAATTTTAGTTGGAATATTGAAATCCTTATTTAATTTCTCCTTGTTTACTATTTTTAATTGAGTCTTGCTTAATAATGTCTCAAACTCTTTTTCATATGTGATTTATCCAAAATCTATAGTTGTGAAATACTTGATTTTAGGTTTAATGTATTCAACGAATTACAAGAATGTTGAATTTTTTTTACTATCTGGTTGTAGAGTCAATATGAAATATATTGATCCTCCTGGATTAAGTAATGATTTTGCCAATTCAAGTGCTTCAATTCTCTTAGGCATAAGCATAAATGATGAAGAAAAGACAACTGCATCAAATTTACCTTCCTTCTTTTCAGACACTTCATAAAAATTTTGATATCTAATTTCCAATTTACGTCCACCTAAATTATAATTTCTGAAAATATTATTTGCCTTTAAAACATAGGCTTAATCAATATCCACTCCTAAGACTTCACAATTTTATGGTAATTAATTCCATATATGCTTTAAAGGTGATCCTGTTCCTACACCAATATCTAGGATTCTTTTTGGATTTTTTTAGTTCATATAAAAGACTAATCTTTCATAACTATATTTTGTTAAGAAATTTGATATGATCATATCATAAATAGTTGATGGAATAACGTATAGAATGTGTAGAATTTTAGTCAAGAGAGTCTGAATGAATGATGCCATTAAATAAAATATTAATTTATAAATGAATGATTAAAATAAGTATTTAAATATTTATTCATGATTAATGGATGATCAATAAGATTAAGTTCCAAATTTATATTTTTTATTAAATAAGCAATACTATTATAAATATTAAAATAACATTATATTCTTAGTCTTCTATATCTACTTAAAATTAATATAAATAAGATAAATCAAATATGTTAAACTAGAAGTTGTATTATATATGTATTTAATATTAAATATATATTCATTAATGATTATGATTTTCATATTATTATTAAATCTAGATCAACTAAAAAGATATTTATAATTTATTAGATCAACATATAATTTATAAGACTATATGTATTTATAAGGTTTAAAATTTGTATAAGATTTATTTATCTATTTATTGACTTATAAACAATATATTGAAGGTACACATGACTTATTATATGTTGCTTATCTATTGAAAATCTGAATAACTTATATGAATATTTTTTATTGATTGCTTAGTTACATATATAAATAATATATATTAACAAAAATGGAGCAAAAATCTTCAAAACGAATGGTTTCATTGGATTCTAATTTTGAGCATGCTGAATTCATTTCAGCTCGTACTGACACAAAATAGCGCTTAGGAGAATTATTTATTTAACACCCTACTAAATTAGAAAGTATCATTAATGCAAATAACTCTTTAAGTGTTTGGTCTTAGATAAGTAAGCTCCAAAATTCCCAAATTTAAGCATCCTAAACCACTTTTTGAATTACCAATGAGTGATACTTAAAGATCTTTGACACATCAGACAACATCGATTATTGATTGTAGTAAATGTAATTAGAGTCTCTCAAAGATGATAAATAATAAAAGCCATCATGAAAAATTAATTCTTTCTTAACCTACTTTAGTAGCAGAAGAGAGGAAGGAAATATAAGTGTAACCTCCGAAAAGATTAGTTAGTCATCATGGAAGATAAAAGAATGAATTACCTCCAATTCTAGCTCATCCTCATATTTCACCTCCTCCTTTTTTCTAATAATCACCAAAGACCTAAAGAAAATAAAAAACTATGGGAAAACTTTCTTTTGGAAGAATCTCTAAAAACTTTGATCATGAACTTATGTAAGTCATTTAATCAGAACTTCAGAAATAATTCAACAATAATCTTCAAAAAGAATAACCTACTATTAAGATGCTTTAGAAGCATGTATTAATATATGACATATATAATTCAGTAAAATCTTAAAAGGTCCAAATTAATCTCCCTAAGTCAAGCCATCAAGGAATTTAAGAAGTCCATATAGACTGAAGATAAGTCAAATACTTTTGAACTTTTCAAATTAAAAGAGAAAGAATTAAACTAATTAATATCTGGGCATAATTATGAAATTTATTAAACTATTGATGATATAATATGATTAATAATATTTTTACAATTTTTACTATTTATTTAAGTCACTTAAATTATATTATTAATTGTAAAATAAAGATCTTCTATGAACTTTATTTATATTAAATAATTCCATATGTCTTTCTTTATTAGAATAAAGAATAAATTGATTATTAAACCAAATAAGTAGTTTTTAATAATATTATATGATAAATGATTATAATAATTATTTCTTTTTAATATCATAATACTATTATTTTCATAATTCCCATATCTCTTAATATTCTTTCAACTTCAATATTCATCTATGGAGGACCACAAATGAAATATGTTGTTGAGTTATTTAAATCAGATATATGATTAATAAATGTTTGTTATGTAAATCGATTTTCTATAATTGGACATTCTTTTAATTTAAAGTTACCTTTCACGATCAATTTAAAATTAGGACTATCCAAATATTACTATAATGAAAGCAAAGCAAAATAGATATCTCTTCCAATCTATTTTAATTTATATATATTTTACTAAATCTTCAATAGAATTGACTGCCAAAAACATTGTGATTGTAAATTTTTTAATCTCATTGATTCTTAAATCTATTAATTTAGATGCCTCTTCACCAAGCTTCATTTTTACAATATGATTATATGAAACTCTTAATTAATAATCAAGTATATCTAAAAATGGAAATAATCCAGTTCCTCCAGCTATGAAAATTAAATGGGAATTATTCTCAATTTAAATAGAATTTCCAAATGGACCTTCAATAATATATTATCCTTATCTATTATCTTCATGTATATAATTAGAAAACCCATTTTTAGTTTCATATTTCTTAATTATCAATGGAAGTTCATCTTCAAATTCTTCTAACTTTGGTATATCTTTATGAATTGGTTGTAAATTAATAATCTTTTTATATAATTCAAGAATGTCTTTTCTGTATTTTACTCTTTGATTAGTCATGCTTAATACCATAGTATATTGTCTTTAATGAATATCATTATTATCATCTGATTTAATAATGAAATATGATCCAAAAGTGTCTAATCCATTAATGGCATTTCTAAGTTGAAATTATTAATTTGTGAATTCAAATTTAGCAATTAGAAAAGTGTAGGGATTTACTGTAGCTAAAGTCCATATAGCTTTTAATTTCTTAACTGGTCTTTAAGTTGTCTTATTATAGAAAAGTTCTAAGTCTTCATTAACATAAACACCAGTTTTATATTTTTATAAGGCTTATAATGTATAAAGACTATGACGATAAGGTTTAAGAGTGAGTTGAAATATAGGATAAGCTCCAAGAACATATTTGGTAATATCTTAACCTTAAATTAATTTCCAAATGTAATTCCCACCAGGATGAACCATTTATGATAAATCAATAATTTGATTATGATATATGCACCACAATTTATCTGAATTCTATTCTGGTACTTCGAGATCACTTTAATTAATCTTATCTAGCAAAGATTCTTAATCTGGAAGAACTTTATGTTTTTTAAAGTAAGAACTACTGGAATTGCTTTTAGTCATCACCATTAATGTTCCTCTTTAATATAATACTTCTAGTATAAAACGAATGGTTAAGACTGCTCCAAGAATAAGCATAAATCTGATATCATTATCCATGAATAATCCAGCAATTATTTATAATTTACCAATTGTATATACAATACTTCCAAAAATAGCATGATATGATGGTTTTACTGATACTTTCTCATTTATCTTATAAGAAGTTAACATTATATTTTACAATATACCACCTATACATTGAATGATCATGCAAAAGGCTAAGATCATAAAAAATACTATATGGAATTTATTTTTTATTGACTCATCTTTAAAATGTTTCCATTCCAATATTTCCCAATCTGTATTTAACATAAAAATTGCTGTTGTTAAGGAACTAGCAATTATCATAATAAACAAAAATCCATGTAAATATGTTCTATATCCCCAAGTCTTAAAATATCTACCAACAATAATTGCCAAATCACTAGCTATACCCCAACAAATAAAGTTAGTCCATTTGTGTAATTTATAATATTTATTCTCATCCTCTATATCTACATCTATATCTCCTCCTTTATCAATTAAATCAATTTTTACATATCCATAATTACCTTTACCATGACTTGAAACCTTCAAACTTTAATCATTCTTACCATGTGCCCAAATAAAATCAACACCTTTTTATTACATCAATTCCTTATCGTATTTGTCCCCTTTAATATAGATTACTTGATTATACCTGTATTTGCTTTTCTTTTAAATTTCACTCCACTCTTACCATTCTCATTATAATAATAACCCAGAATTTCTATATCATTTGTACCACCTGATGAAACATCTGTTGGTGGCACTTAATGCTTAGAACAATGTGAATCTGTTCCAATAATTACATTCTTATCTATCTCAAATACCCAAACATCTGCATCACTCATAGATTTTCCTAACCCAAATGAAAAGTAACTAATCTTATCGATCTCAATCATCATTGTTACTTCTTTTTAGTCTTAACTGAATTCAAAGTAGAAATCAATAATTGTGTCTACAATCACCATTATATATACTAGACTCTGAGATTTTTGCATGAGTTCGTGGCTTTATAATGTCATTACTTGGATCATGATAATAAAATATCTTCGAACCTAATATAATATCTTATATTAATCCAAGAACTAAAATTCTTAACATTCTTATATCTAAATAAATTATTAAATAAACTATTATTTTTATTCAATATATTACAATAAATATAGAACATAATTATCTTCACCTATTTATTAAGTTAATTCAAATATTTAAACCTTTTTATTCAATTATTTTTTTACAATAAAAATAGTTTATTCTCTCAATATCTATTTACATATATATATAAAAATAAATAAAAATAAATATATGACTTATAATATACTTTTGTTATGGAAATGATATTATTATTTATTAATAACTTCATTACTAATTTAATAAAATGTGAAATCAAGTATATATAATTTTACATCATTTCTTAATTAGTGTCTTTCTTTTTTCATCCATAACTTGTCTTCTTTTTCTCTAGTTTTCTTATTCTAAAATTATTCTTTTTCTTTCTCTCACTTTTCTTTTGATTTCATAAATTGTTTTAATAAATTAATCAGTTGGCTTAGTTGGTGATTCTCCAAACATTTAACATAATTCTTTATATTTGTTTTCCAAACTCTTTAGATTTGCCTTCTAAACAATAACAAATAATTCAATTTCATCATAAAGTTAACCAAATATTGCTCTTGCTCTATCATCACCTCCTTAATCACTATCTCTAGCCAAAACTATTTATTGTTTGTTTTATTCAAATTGTTTCAAAAATATATACAAATTATCCATCTTTCTAGTTTCTTATGATAATGTATCTAATTTTGTTAAATCAGCATCCAAATCAATCACAAATCCAGATTCTTCTACTTTCTTTATAACATACATCCAAATATCAAATTACTTCTATTTATCTGAATAACATGTTACTTTAGGAATACAATCAAATCTCAATCCTTAAGATTAATTATTTCCATTTAAGATTGATCCATAATAAAACAAATATTTTATTACAATAAATAATTCCTTATCATTTTTTATTTGATCAAATACTGCATCAAACAGCAATAATAATTCTTCAATCACTACTTAATTTTTTAGTGATTCATATTTTGCACTTAAACCAATCAATCTCTCTTCATAACATTTAATTTCCATAACAAACATACAAAATTTATCTGCATCACTATAATCAGTTATTCTTTATTGTAATTCCTATAAATCCCATGTTTTTTCTTCCTTCCATAAATTCTTTTCATTTTCTTTTGGCAAACAATCTATTAAAAGTGTCACCTTATCTTCTGTTAACTTTTCTTCATCAACTATTCTAATTGCTTATAGTATTTCCTCTATTGGATATTTAACTCTTTTCAAAGCCATTTGAATAGCTTATGCCCTATTTGGATCCTTTGGTCCACTACCTTTTGATAATTTTGTAATTGGCTCTTTTTTTAAAAACATAGATTGAAAAACAGCTGATTACATTACTGATTAATCAATTGCTGATTTTGCAGCAAAAATATCTATAAATTCTCCTACTTCAAATTTCATATCATCATATTTAAATTATTCCCAAATAGTTCCTTCAACTTTATTAATTGGTATTGGATTCCAAGTTTGACATTTCTTCATAGCAATATCAATTGGTATTATTTCAAATTTTGGTTTTAATTCCTTTTAACTTTTTATGCTTCCAGGTGGTGGGGGTGGAGGAGGTGGAAAACCTGGTTTACCAAAAGGTGGAGGAGGAGGTGCAGGTGGTCCTTATTTATCAGTAGTTGGTGGTGGAGGAGGAGGAGGAGGAGGAGGAGAAGGAGGAACAAATGAATTAGCATAAAGACTGGCTTGACTACATTAATGAGGTGTAACAGCTTCAAGTGGAGTTTAAGGACTATCATCAATAGATTTTTCAGAATTTAAACATTTTTCAGATGTTACTTCTTCAATTTTTTTATCAAAATTTGAAACATTATCATTATCATTTTGTTTTTCTTCTTAAATTTATTCTAATTATTATTTATTTAATTAAATATTAGCAAAATTTACTGAAGCCTTTAAAGTAGATGTTTTAGCATTTTTAAATAAATTTTATTTATTACTTAAAAATATTGATTATTTTGATGATTATTAATATTAAGTTGGTTATTATTATTATTAAGTTGATTATTATTATTAAGTTGATTATAATTTTTCATTTACTACTGAACGAAATGCATTATAATTTATTTATCCTTAACGTCTTGATTCTTCTAATTCTTATAATAAAAATTCTTTATCTTCTTCTAATTTACTTATTTTTTCTTCTTATATTATTATCTTTTTTTCAGCTTCTATTAATTTTCTATCTAATGTATTTATTTTTTATTTTAATTCAAATATACTCAATTCAGATTCTTTTCCTTATATTGTTTCATCCTAAACAATAAATTCCTCCTCAATTATTAAACCTACATTTTATTTTAAGAGTTCTATCTCTTATTACATATCACAATTATCAAGTTTGTAAATATATTTAGATTCTCTATTAAAAATTAATGGATATTATTATTCATCTTAACTTTGATAAGTGAAAATAAGACTTGGATTTTGAAGATATTCTTCTAATTTATTTGCCAATAATAAATCTCTAAAAGATGAGCCAACTTCAAATTTCTCATAATATTCATTAATGAATTCTGAAAAGCAATATTTGGCTTATAATGAAGACTCCATTTTTTCTAGATTAGCTAAAATAACTTTTTCAACTTCAATTGAATTCTGATCACAATGTTTCTTAAGTAATCTAAGTAATAAATAAATAACTTCTGGATCATCTGTGACTTTTAAATGATGGTTAATTTTCTCAATAGAACAAGTTTATTCAGATTGATTTAGACAATTTAAATACATAATGAGAGACATACCTTATAAATCCAAGTTGGAATCAAATATTAAATCATTACTCTCTTGTGGTCCTGATGCAATAATCCATTAATAAGCACATGCTAAGTCAAATACATCATGTGATTTTAATAGATCTTAGGTTTTTTCAAGACTAAGATTTATTAATTTACCAGTGATTCTCATATATTCATGAGCAATAGAGTATTTGACTATGGCTTCTAGAGAATTGAAACGTTTATGATCTTTTTCTGACATTTCTACATCACTTAAAAAGTTGTCTATATGTTATTGAACGACAGGACCAGGATGAATAGCAGATATTTTGAGTTCAACAATTTATTTGTTTTATCTTAATATGCACTCTAAATTGATAGGTAATTTTGGTGCTGTGGATCTGATTAAAAATTGCATAAAAAATATTATGTTTTGCTGCAAAATTAAAAATACAATTCAAAGTACAACTAGAAATTATGAGTTGTTGGATGAGATAGGGATGGGATCATATGGAAAAGTAAAGTTAGCAAAGGATGTTAAAAGTAAAAAGAAATATGCAATTAAGTTGGTTTAGAAATTTGAAAATATTTTTAGATTGAGAAGTAGAAAATGGAAGAGTTTCATGCAGAAAATAACATCTTAACTGAGATAAGAATCTAATCAAAATTACATCATCCGCATATAGTAGAGTTAGTGGAATACTTTGAGGACGAGAAATTTATATATTTAGTGCAAGAATATTGTAGTAAAGGAACTCTTAGATAGTAAATTTGTAAGAGAAGATTGTAAGAAAATGAGATTTACAACTATATATATTAATTGAATGAGGCATTAATTTACTTACATCGACAAAGGATTGTACATCGTGACTTAAAGGTATTTTAGAAACACCAAGATTTTAGTTAGATAATATATTATTAGATGATAATGATACTATTAAATTGACAGATTTCAATTGGGCAACCAAGTTAAATAGTTATGCAGCTGAACCAACTAATTGTGGGACAACTCATTACATGCCTCCTGAGATTGTATTGTTGCAACCACATACTGAAAAAGTAGATAGTTGGTCTTTAGGAATTATCATTTTTGTATTTAATTATTATATAGAAAATAGGAATTAGTATTTTAACATAGACCTTTTGAAGGATTAACCTAAGAAGAATTGTAAAAATAAATTATCTACCATAATCCATTAACAGATTGTAAATCAATTCCAACTGATTTAATTATGTTACTTAATTGTCTACTCACCAAGAATCCTATATATAGATTGAACTGTGAATAAGTTAAAGTCAGTCAGTGGTTCTAAAGATAACATCACAATTCATTTTTATAAGCAGACGAATCTGTCAACCTTACTAATATCACTTATAATAAGAATGACAATATTTGATAATTAATATGATTAATGATTTTACTCAATTAGTTGGATGGCAAGACTATTCACAATCCTCACACACTAATTAACTTAAACTACTTTCTGAATCTATGGAATATCCATCTCCAATAACCTCTTTTAAAGATAGAAAGTTATTGCCTAATTTATGTCACATAAGACAAGTGACAGAAATAAGAAGTCCCCGTAAGAAATCTTTGCAATCCACTAGAATTCAAAAAAGTCAAGTTCTATATTAAATCAAAGATGAGAGTCCTTTAAAGAAAAGACCTGCTAATCCTAGACATATTAGAGTTACTCCTTCTTAATTCAATTTTACTTTAAGTGAAGATAAATTCAATAAAATCAATAAAGATTAATCACCTACCAAGTAGAAACTTAATAAACTTGCTCCATTATTGTAAAAAGTCCATAAAGTACAGATTAAAAATAAAATAATAACTATTACCTAAAAGTCTCCACTTACTCAATTACAAAAATTATTAGATGTACTCAATGAAAAATGACTTTTTATTATAATTCTTCTCATCATATATGAAATATATATATATATATATTGTACTATATGTATGTATATATAATTTGAATCAGAATAAAACAAATTGTTTTCTAACATTACCAATGATTTCATTTGGAATCACTTTCAATACATTGAATCTAACTGTCTTTGATAATGGTCTTTAATTAATTATTTAAATTCTTACCTGCATTGTCCACAAACTACAATATCACCTTCCTTAACTGGTCCAAATGCTGGTGAAATGTGAACTGGTACATTTCTGTGTCTCTTTTCATATCTATTATATTTGGCAACATAGTGTAAATAATCTCTTCTAATAATAATTGTTCTGGTCATCTTAGTTGATATTACTATGCCTCTATTCATTATTGAATTTTCATTTACTTTAAAATAGCTCCTCTAACACTAACATTTCCTGTGAATGGGCATTTCTTATCAATATAATGACCTTCAATTGCTTCCTTTGGTACTTTGAAACCAAGACCTACTTCCTTCCAATATCTGACTCCCTTTGATGTTTTCTTTGCTAATAATTTCTTTGAGTTTTAGAAGATGCCCTCTTATTTTTGAAAGGCTCTTTATGTTTGAAGGTCTGCCATAATATAATTTTTTTAAAAAAAAGATATAAAAATTTAATACTTTAATGATCAAATTAGAATAGAGAGTAGAAAATAAAGCATAAATTGCAATCTCTTAAATAATAACATATAGATGAGTATATTATCTATAAAATCTATTTACTATGTAAAGCAATCAACTAAAAATTATTTTGATTTCTAATCTAGTGTGTATTAAATATTTCCTATATTATTTTAATATTACATATTTTCAAATTCTATTTTCTTATCAAATATGTAATAATAAAATTATTTAATGTTAATCTATTTCTCATTCAACAACACTATAAATTAATATCTTAAATATTAATGTGTATTAGATATTACATTCAAAAAGATTATATGTATTTTTAATAGTTGTGTTAAGAATATTTTGATTATTATTAAAATTATTGAGGTTATAATTATAATTGTAGAGAGTGAAAGAAAAGTATGTAGTTTTTGTGTTTATACTTTATATTTATTGAAGTCTTAGATATTTTGAACATTTCAAATTCAACTTTAAATTATTCATGTATATTTATATTAAATAATTATGGGAAATAATCTTTGCTTCTAAACTGGTGAGAGATCTTCACAGTTTCCTTAATTATTATTAAAATACGAAATAGGAAATTGTGAAATTGCATTAACAGCAGGTCCAGTTGAAAATGAAGATGTGGAATGTTTAGTGATTCCGACTGATTCTGGATACACTAATATTAAGCAAAGCGATAGACCTAGTTTTAAATAAATAAACGAGAAATGTGTTTTTGTGGCTGGTAGTAAAAGTATCGAATTCATTAATGCTAATAAGAACGCAAAAGCTAGATTTTTGCAGTTGTCATGGACAAGAATTACTCAGTAAAAAATGATGATGGAGAAGATGAAAAACAAACTATTTATGCAACAGTTTAAGAGGCTCTCAGATTGGTAAGTGAATCAAATATATTCTAAGGCTGAACAAAAACAAATGAAATCAGTTGGATTTCCAGTATTTGAATCTAAAGATCATACAACCTCAGCCACAATCATGTTGATGGCTATTAAACTTACTATAACTGAGTAAAAAATAAAATCCCTTAAAAGAATTGCAATAACTCTTGATGTATAAATTATTTTTTAATTATATTAAGCATATAGAGCAAGTTAGTAGTTTTAAATGGGTATTTTAACAAGTTTTTAAAGGAAGTGAATAATTGAGATACTCAAGAGCCTACTCAAGTTCAATAAATACATAAATAGATTCGATTTCTATTGATGATTTAAAGTCAAAGGTAAAAAGTAATACAAAGGAAGAAACTCCTTGAATTAGCCGAAATTCATATGTAACAAATTGATTTATATTGTTTAATAATTATTTATCAAATAATCCTAAAAGTTTTGGATAAAAATATTTTCCCAAACTTACAGAAAATACATTGTTCTAAATTTATCTTTACTAATTATAATATTATTTCCCTAATAAAATAAATATCGCCAAATATATTAAACAATAATATAAAATCAAATTTCTATTGGTTTATTGATTTCTGGCATTTCAATAATAGAGCTTTAATTAGCTTAGCTGCTGATTGATGAATACTCATACTTCTCTTAAAAGTATATCCAAATAAGAAAACCAGCCAACACTAGTAATAACAAAATGAATATGGTGGTTGTATCAAATATCTAAAAATCATCTTTAGGAGGTGTTTCTATTTCATTATTTTGCCAATTTTTATCAAGAAACTGAACAAATGATTCTTTAGTTCTGTTTCCACTATAATGATGTAGATTTCCTCCTTCAGAAATTAGAATCATAGTTGGGACTGCATCAATTGAAAATAATTTACATAAACTTTTTTCAACCTCACTAAAATTATTTTGTAATATACCAATTGACAGCACCAATTTTACTTTATGTTTAATTGTATTCAGCAAAACTATCCCAAATAGGAATAACTTTTTAGCAATGGGGACATGATGGTCTGTAAAACAGAATAAACCATGAATGGTTGTCTCGACCTATGAATTATATATATGTATATTACCAATGTTGAATTATTCAAACTCAGATTGGTTGAGTGATTTGACTTTGGTATTCTCAGAAAAAGAGTGCTTTGAATATGCTTACACAATTAGTAATATTAATATATACATTTTAATAATAAATTAATCACATTCTTTTAATACCTTTACCTTTCTATTTTAATCTTAAAGTATACAAATCCTCAATTTATTAAAAGAAGTTATGGGAATAATTATGAATTACTCCAGCTAGATCTAAAATAAATTAAGCTAACATAACTTAGTTTTAATAAATGATTCTTTGTTCTTGAGCTTAAGTTTTAGATAAAACAAACATAATAGTTTTATTAATGTGTTTATGTTCATCTGGACTTTAAGAATCTTAACGATGTGTGAAGCATGTTTTGGTACCTATATTTCTTTATGATTCTAAGACTACAAATTTTTAATCTGGAGATATCTCATCTTAATCTAAATTAAATATATATATAGAAATATTTACTCCTTCTTAATTTTATTGAATTAGTATCATATGCATATTAGTCATTTGTAATTTAATAGAGAATACAACTACTATTAACATCTACTGAAGAGATATCCATCTCAAAGTTCTTGGCTAACTTACTTAAACTTAATTTAAAATCTTCAACTGTAGTTCTACTTTCATAAGTGTCTTAATCTATAAAACTTCTTAGATTTTCACAAATTTATAAATTGCTTGTTGTAAATAAGGTATCAGAATGATCCCAAGGACCTGAATGTAATCTGTTAAAACATATTTGCATGTCTTCAATACTAATTAAATACCATTTATTATTAATTTAATGTAATAATTTGAAGAAAGAGCTTTCAGGTAATAATTAATATGTGAAATAGTTTTCAATAAGGTAAAGTATTTAAAAGTAATATTTGATATTTGGTTTTGGAAATTTAAGAATTCCCATTAAAGAAAATAATATTTTGCTTTCAATCTTAAATTTACTTTAAAATTTTAATTCTTAGATCCTTTCAAATTTTTCTCTATATGAAGTTTTAAAAAATTCATCTTCTTATTTTTTTATATATACTTCAGAAGCATCTCTAAGTACTGCATTTTAAATAAGTAAATGATGATTTGAAATATTGATATATTTTTTATGAAATATTTCATCCTTCTTAATTTCATTCCTTAAATGATTCATATATTCTGTAGTGACATGTTGTACATCAAAACCATCATTACTTTACTTAAATTCTAAGAAAATTTAGTAATCTTTGAAATGTTATTTATATAGAGCACCAACATCATAGGGTTTATATTCAGGTGTTTTTATTCTAATAATAGTTTTTGAATGTGCAATTTATACAATTCTAACTTAAGAATCTTCTCTTGTTTATAAATTGTTTTCATTAAAAGTATCCTATTAAAATTATTCTGAAATAGTTCTGAAAGCTGGATTGCCTTCTTTTTAATCTCGATTATCATTTGATTAAAATTAAATTACATCTGGATTATCATCATTTAAAATTCTAGTTTTCTTTTTTAATTAAGTAACACCAGAAATCCCATTAATTTTTGTATCTAATTAAGCTTCATTTGAAATTTCAATTTCATCTCCTATCTATTCATCTTCTTATTTAATTGATAAAGATACAATAGTAAATACTTCCCAAACAAGTCCACTAATTAAAGCTAATAAAAATATAGATAAGAATTCAAAAGATCCAATAAAAATCATTGCTGAAAACATATCTCCAGTATCATAAGTTAGTTCAAAAACAACTTAATTCCATTCAGCAGCAATGAAAAATTGAAGCATCATTAGATATGCACCTGCAAATGATTTAAAATCAGCATATTTGCAATCTCCCCATGAATATTAGAATTAGCTTGGATCACATTTAGAATTGGCATAGGGATTATCAGGTACTGTTTCTACATTACCATATACATATATTCCAATTGTAGCATATATGAAAAATACCATTTATACTGGCATCATCAATCTAAATATAATGGGAATGCAAAATAAGATTTTATATAATAATCTTCTTACAACATCTAAAAATTCTACACCTTTTAATAAAAAACTTATAATTTTAACTGATCTAAATGCTCTAAATAATCTAAACACTTTCTATATTTTAGCTAATCTTAATATTCTATTAGCTTTTATTGATTGTACTATATTCCCAGTTACAACATTAAATAAAACATAATCAAAAATAATTTAAAGAATTACCAAAGAGATATCAAAGACATTCCATCCCTCATTAAAATATTCTCTAATTCCTATGGCAACAATTTTAACTAGACATTCCAATGAATAAAGTACCAAAAATATTGTATCTAATTAATTGAATATATCTAACACACTTAGATCTTCAATAAAAAAAGCTGCAATAATTAATATACAATTTGTTATTGTTACTACCAACATTATTGTTCCAAAAAGACTGCCTTCAATAAATCTCTACAATCCTCTTTGATTAACAAATGCCCTTAATCTTTCCCAACATTCTAAAGGTTTGGCTTAAGGTAGATTAAACCTAGTTCCATCTTGTAAGACTCTTAATAATTAGTAGAATTCATCGAATTACACTTTATCACTAATTATTATTGTTTTTATACTTGAAATCTTTGTCAATTTCTCCAAATAATTGCAATAATTTATGTTCTGACAATTAATTTCTATAAAAACCTCTAATGAAATCTTTAAATTAAGTTTCAGATATATATCCTTAATCTTCAAAATCTAATGAGATAAAACTAGCCATCATAGCAGACTTCTATTTTATTATATCACTAATTGCAATTTCCATTCTGTGATTTCTAAACCCTTCATAAACAACTGCTAATGGAATGGGAGCAAATAGAAATATAAACAATAATAAGTAAATGATAAAGAATAATGCATAATATGTTCCTTCCATCATTGGAGGTATTAAAATATCAGGATAAAAATCAAGTGTAGCTGTCATTAATAACATAGAAAAAAGCTTTAAAAAATTTCCATAATCTTGTGTTGTTTTATCAACATTATCCAATTCTCCTATCAAATTTATACCCACAAATGAAAATATTGAAATTATGAATAAGTACAACACAATCAATAAAAATAAATCTCGACTTGCTTTCAATATTCCTTTTAAAGTTCTTCTTAAATCTTTCGAGTATAGAGGCATTAAAAAAGCTCTCAGAATCCTACTAAATCTAACAATACTAGGGTCACCAAGATGTACAAAAAAGTCAAGTAAACAAATGCAGAAAAAGAAAATTTTAAGTTGTCTCTTTAAATTAAACTTGAATCCCAATCCTCCTTTCTTTTTACTTTTCAATAATATTATAGTAATTATAGTGTCTAATCCAAAAAATGCCAATAGGAATCCTTCTAATCCATCTGTTGCTGATGATTCAAAGAAGGTCATCAATTAATAGATTAAAGTTAATAGGAATTGGAAATAAATCCAAAATTACTGATTTTCAATTATCCATAATATTTTTAGAAATTTCTTATTAGTTTCATCTATATCATTGCGTATGGTTCTTAAAAAATAAGCATCATAGATATGTCTTTCAGCTTTTGCAATTCTTTATTAGAATGTAAGAGTTTTTACAGTTTTCTATATTTCTTCTGCTAAAATATCATTCTTTTCAATTAGAGTATCTGGAATATCAGTAATTGTGATGGAAGAGCGATAAAGAGAAGCTTAAGAAGATTTTCTTTTGTCACTCCTTTTGTCTTTTTTCATTAATCAAATTTATTAATAATTAATGTTATGAATTAATCATCATATGATATATGTCAAAACTAATCTTACTTCCTAAAGTCTATCATGTCTTAAATTTAATTTTAAAGTAAACCCAAATGATTGTTTAAGTTTTTTGTTTCTGTTTAAAACCTTAAAATTAAATTGAGTAGCAAACATAATCTAATCAATTTTATTATTTTATGAATATAAAAATATTTTTTCTAATTCAAAAAGAAGATAAAAAACTTATATTACAATTAATTAATAATACTATTCATTTATTTCTAAATTAATAATTAGACAAGCAATTTATTGTCTTTATGATTAAATATCATTTTGCAATATTTAAAATAAGATTTATATCTAAATTTATTTACAATAATTGTTATAATTAAAATTACTAATTAAATTATGAATTCTTTATATATAATTCATAGATATATACATATTTTTTAAGAATAATCAGAATCTTAAAATGATTTAAACTTATTTCATTTACTTCTTAATATATATATATATAAATATCATATATCAAATATATATGAAATATGATTAATTACTCATATAATAATTAAATAAATATATATAATATGCAAGAACTTCTTGATTAGTTTTTTGAATTATTAAAATAGACAGATGAAGCAATCAAGATTTAAATTAGAGCATTAACAAGTAATAATGTGGATTTTTAGGATACTAAATCTAAGTGGGAAGAAGTATAAGTCAAATTGTTAAAATTACTAATTTAAACCTATTGTATTGATTAATAGATTAGTCATCATCTTATTCCTGATGATGTTTGGAGCCTAATTTCATAAATAATGAAAAGAACTATAATTGATTGCAAATTATAATTTGCGACAACAAGAAAAAAAATAAGATTACTTTAGTAATAATGGTAGAAAAAGGAAGACGAAGCTTTAAAAGAAATTTGTGTTTCATATTAAGCATAGAATAGACCATTTAAATGGAATGAAATAGCAAAAGAATTAGCATAAAAATTAAATCAATAAAATGTGAAAATGACAAAAATAGTAAGAGATAGATGGCTTAATAAATTAAATCCAAATATTCAAAGAGGTCCATGGGAAAAAAATGAAGAATATGAATTATGTAAATAGTTACTTAAGCATGGAAAGAATTGGATGATAATAGCTATCGAAATGAAAAATTCTAGAACAGAAAATTCAATAAAGAATAGATATTTCAATATATTAAGAAAGTTAGAGAAGCAAGATGTTCCTATATTGAGTAAAACAAATATTGAGAAGTAATTAACTAAATTTTAATTAAATGAAAGTGTCAAACTTGAATAATTTGGATAATAAGAGATTAGCTTTATATTATATTAATTAAGTAAATTGGAACCAAATATTATAAAAACTAAAGAAGAATTTAAATCAGATAATAAGGTATAGAAGAAAACCAATGGAAGCACTTAGAATTCTTGTTCTAAGAAACTTTCAAAAGCTGATGAAAAAGATGAAAAACTACATGCAAAAAACATAATCAAAAAAGTTTTAAAATAATATGAATAAGATGAAAATCTCGATATCAATAAAATGAAAGATTATTATTAAGAAGTAGTAGCTTAAAAAGGTGATACTGTAGAATTGGATGAAGAACCAATTAGTGATTCTGAAAACTTATCAGAAGTACAATTTGCAGTAATGGGAAAGGATTCATAAAAATTACATTTATTTCCAAAATCATAATTAAAAGTAGTAATGGAACTTATGAAATAAAAAAAGGAATAGAAAAAAGATGTATAATCATCATTAAGTAAGATCTAATCTCTTCCACCTCCTCTTCCAAAATTAGAATAAAAATTACCGTAACCTCAGTAATAATAATAATCTTAACCATAATAACAATAGTAAAATCCTTAATAAATTTTTCCATAAACCTCTATACCTCCTTAACCATAAGTTCCAGTTTAATTACCTATAGTCCAACCAATCATGTAACCAGTTGCTCTTCCAACTCCAGTAATACCTATATAATAATAACACTCTGGATAATAATAATAACATTAACAATAGCAACAACCATCACAGTAATAATAACAACAATAATAATAATATTATTAACTTGTATATCCATCAAATTTTATGTATCCTTAAGTATAGATGGCTCCAGTAGCTTAAATACCAATATTACCAGGTTAAATGATGGGATAGATTCCAGGATAGATGGTAGGGTAAATTCCAGGTTAGATGGTCAGCTAAATTCCTGGATAGATTGTTAATTAGATACCAGGATAAATGGTTGGACAACTTCCAGGATAAATGATGGGTCAAATTCCAGGATAAATGGGTTAAATGGTAGGCTAGATTCCAAGTTAGATGGTTAGTTAAATTCCAGCCTAAGTAGTATCAACGATTCCAGGTTAAATACCATAAATAATTTCATAACTGCCTCCTTAAATGATGCAACAAGTTCAAGGATAAATTCCATAAATGGTTTAACCAGGATAGATGGCTACTGTGTAAAATGGGTAAATACAGATGTCATAAATTGCATCAGTGCCTTAAATAGCATAAATGCCATTACAATCACTTCCTTTAACAGCAACCTAGTCTGTAGGAATGCCATAATAATTCATCCCAATAATGTATTAAGTATTTTAAGCCAATTAGATATACCCCTTAGCCAGTATATTAATAATAATAGTAATCTTAGGGACAATTAAATTAATAGTAGAAAACAAACTCACAGTAATAGTAGGTTCCAATTATGAATTACTAAATTCCAATGATGCCATAATATGGAGATTAGTATTTCCAGTTTATGAACATGAATTAAACTAATTAATAAAAATAGCCTAAGTATTCATAAGTTAAATAAGAGATGGAGGAATAATAATAATAATAACAAAATCGAAAATGAATAAATTAATAAATTTAATTAATTCATATCTATCCTAATTTTAAAAACATTAATATAATATTGCTCTAATTTCTAATCTTTGAGTAAATTCAAAGTTTATTTTATATATTTTCATTCTCTTTAAAATTATTGGTGTTAATAGATTCTGTCTAATCTCCACCATACTTTTCCAATTTATGATTTAAAAAAGTTTTCTGATATTGGATATAAAATTCATTAAATCAACATTTTATTATTTTGTAAATCTTTATAAGGGATCTTCCTTAGTATTTTAATCTGATGTGCAAAATGATTTCATTTTAAAATCATTTAGTTAGTATTTATAAATGGTAATCAATTAAATTTTGGTTGTTAAACTTCATCATATGATTATATTTTCTCAATTACTCAATCTGAATTTTTTATATACTTAAATTTCTAAAGCTAATTTACTAAAAAAACCATTATTATCATTAAATAAAATATCACTTGACATATCTATTATCAGATTATTTTGTATTTAAATATTTTTTAATTCTTTTGTTTTTTTAAACATCTGAATTTGATCTATATTTAATCAATTGAGTGCCATACTAAATAGGATAACCAAAATCTTCACATAAAAAGGTTAAATTAAATTGTTATTTTTGAACTTTTAAAAATTCTTTATATACATTTTAAGTTCAGATATTGATAAAATGCTTTCTATTAATAATGAAATTAAATTGGAGAAGTAAGTTTAATTAAAAAATTGTTTCAACAATTCTGATACATACTATTGAAAGTATATTTTAAATTCATTACTGTCATCCTTTAATAAAGTTTTTTTTTAAATTTCCAATTGAGAACTGACTAAATAGATGTATTTTCTCTGAAATTATTTCTAATAAGGCTACAATTTTCTATTCATCAGTATTAGTGATGATTTTATATTAATTATTCATTGTATTCACTTCCTTTTCTACAATCTTCTAATTTAATATGGGATAAGAGAAAAAGTGATTGAACACATCTAAACCTTATTATAAAACACTGTTTTAGATAGTAAAGTAATAATTGTTTGATTATGCAATTCAAGCTTTTGTTATTAAATCATCATTGATTTCAATATAGGGGATATTATTTTCTTGTATACCTTGGTTTTATTTAATTTAATCTTCTAATCAATTAAGTCTTATGTTTCTTCTTCCATTAAAAAAGAAAATATTAATTTGTGATTTTAAATAAATAAATTAAAAAAAAAAATTACCTTAATGCTCTACGCAACAAATAGCTTGTATTACAGATAATTCCTCACCACAACAGGAAAGTAATGAAAATATTCATATAATCAAATTAGGAAATCAAAAGCACAATATCAACCATAGCATTAATAAACAATTGCAAAGGGATAAAACTCTGAGCATCCAGCTGCTTAAAGTGCATGATTTATATATTCAAAATATATTACACATATCTTAAATGCAAATTATTTATTTGAGTTGCTGTTTTTAGTTACCTAAAGTATTTTTGGGTATTTTCTCCACAAATTAGATTATAATGTATTTGATTGAATTTTGATATTATTATTGTAAAAGTATAATATTCTTAGAAAAATTTTAAATAGTATTCTAAAAAAAGACATTAATTAAAGTCAGAGTCATCAAATATGTAATAACACTGGAAATTTGATAAATTTTCATAACTATCAATAAAATCTTGATATATTTAAGTCTAAACAACAAAATGAATTTAAATAATATAAAAATATTCTTACACTTGAAATGAAATGTTTAGAAAATAAACCAGCATCATTATCTTATTAATTTCTAGATAAATTAGGTGAAGGGTATACATAATATTAAATGCTTAAGTTCTTTTGGATATATTTGGAAGGTTAAGCAAATCTCAACTGGTCAGATATTTGCATGTAAATTAGTAAAAAATACTATGAAAAAAGAGAGGACTCTTCTTTAAAGAGAAATAAAAATATTGTAAATGTTAAAAGGAAAAAAGGGTAATTTTTCATTTAATAACGAAAAGGATTTACCCAATTAATTACATCTGGTTAGGATCTCAGAAATACATACTTCATTATGAATTTACTTGGACAAAATTTAGAATAGATAAGAATGAAATGTGTTAATTTTGATACTGCTTCTATATTGAATACTGGATAATAGATGATTCAATTATTAAAAGATTTACATCATTAAAATATAATCCATAGAGATATTAAACCTGAAAACTTTGTTGTTTTTGAGGATAAATTATATTTAATTGATTTCGGATTATCCAAATTATATATTTAAGATGGAAAACATATAGAATTCAAAGAGAACAAGGGAATGATTGGAACTGCAAGATATGCTTCTATTAATAGTTTAAAAGGCAATGAATAATCAAGAAGAGATGATCTGGAATCAGTAGGTTATTTGTTAATATACTTATATATGGGTACATTGCCATGGAATAATATTGTAGCTGATGACAAGACTACTAAATATTATAAAATACAAAGAATGAAAGAAACATTTAGACCAGAAACATACATTAATCTCCCTCCTGAATTACCAAAATATCTTGAATATGTAAGAAAATTGAAATTTGATTCATAACCAGATTATGATTATCTATTAAGACTATTTAAGAGAGGAGATGAAATAACTATAACTCCTAAATTGTAAATTTAATAAAACCATATAATAACTAAATCTAATTTAGTGAATAAAAAGAAAGTTGAAAAAACTCAATGTTTGACTACACGAAAATTGATTAATTAGATTGAAACAACTAGTCATCGGATAACTTTTGAAGAACTTAGTTCAGATGGATCAGATATAATGGAGGAATTAGACAACAATGAAATAATTTAATTGAAAAATCTATCTGTAGGTAGAAAGTAACCAAATATTGTAAATAAAATGAACAAAGTTAGAATGGGATCAGACTAAATATTTGAAATAGAAAATAAATTAAAGTATTAGAATCCTATATCATTAAAATAACTATAATGATTTTATTATTGATTATAAATATAAAATTTAAATATATTACTAACAAATGGACTTTTAACTTTCATTCTAATTTATTAAATTGTCATAGAATTATGAAATAAGATTATCTTAACCAAAAATAGTCAATACTCAATTATATTTTTAGAATAAAAATAAGGAAAATGGAAAAAAACTAAGGGATGCTAATCTATATTATCCCTGTAGAAATATTTAGACTAATTAAAACTTTTTAGCTTAATTTATATATATAGAGCCCAATAAAAATTCTTAATAAGAAATAGAAGTATTAGATTTGTTTTGTAAGTATCCTCACACAAATATAATCAAAATTTTTGATCTTATAGAAAAGGATCATTGGTATGTGATATAAGAAGATATAACTTTGAATTTAGAGGAATTCATGAAGATTCGATAACAATTACCATTATCACTTAAGATAAATTTTTTTAATTAATTGATTTCAGGATTCAAGCATTTAAAATTGCATAAAATAATATTAAGAGACTTATAACCTAAACATATTCTAGTAAAAACTATAAGAGATGATGAGTATATACTTAAAGTAAGAAAATAGTCTTTATAATATATTTTTAGATATCTGATTTTAGGTCTGCTGAAATTACTGAAAATGGAAATATATAATCTATAAATGGGATGTCTGATTTTGCAGCACCAGAAACATTCATAGAGGGAGAAACTTTAACAAATTCTTGTTGTGCTTATACAGTATAATATTTATAATAAAATAGTTGGGAATGCTTTTATATTATATATGTAATGATGGAAAGATACCTTTTTAAACAGAATCATATTAGGATTTTAAATAGAAGCAAAAGGAATTTTGTTAGACTTTATCAATTTAATAATATTAAAATAAAGATGATTATAAGTTGAGACAATATTATAAAGAAATGCTTATTTATGATAAAAATAAAAGGAATTAAACTTTTTATAATGAATTCCGTTAAGATTATTTTCTATTGGATAATCTATATTTTTTAAAAAGATCATCTTAAGTTGGAGAAGGATAATAGGGAACAGTTGTTGATGCTATTAATATTGAAACATAAGAAACATTAGTATGCAAGATGATTCAAAAAAAAGTATTATAAAATGATTAAGATATAAGAGAAATATAAGTCTGTGAACATCTTAAAGGGGAACATCATTAAAACATAATAAAAATAATAAAAATAATTAAAGATTCATAATGGTATTTTATATTTTTGGAAAAATGTGATAAGAATATGAAATAATTCATTTTAGAAAATTAGAATAATTTAACAGATTTAGAAATTATTGATTTTTTATCATAAATAATTTAAGGGTATAATTTTCTTAAATAGAAAAAAATTGTTCATAGAGATTTGAAACCAGAGAATATTATGATTAAATTTGATAACAACAATAATAAAATTTATAAAGTAATTAACTTATATATTTTAGATCATTGATTTTGGAGTATCTAAAATAGTTTCATCTTAAGATTTAGCATGTACAGATGTGGGTAGTCTACTTTATAAAGCACCTGAAATTTTAGAAAATGAAGATGGTTATACTAGTCAATGTGATATCTACTCAGTAATATTTTATTTTTATTTTAAGCTAGGAGCATTGATGTATTACATGATGTATAATAAAGAATACATAAATGCAAAAAGCTTTACGGAAATTGCTTAAAGTTAGAAATAATTAAAAATCCATCCATTTAAATGTCCTGATACAATGAGAGTATAATTTATTAGTTATTTAAGAATATTGATATAAAATCATTGATAGAAAAGATGATTGTTTTTGATCCAGCAAAAAGGATTAATTGGGAATAATTAATGGGTTACAAATTATCTAAAAATTATCTCGATATTCTAAATGATATTTATTGCTTTTTGTTAATTGCTTAATAAACTGAACAGTTACTTTTTGATATATAACACAAGTATAAAGAAAATGTAATGCTTACTGAAGATATTTATGCTCATAGGAGTATACTTTTGAAATTTATAGAGTTAACATTTTAGAAAATAAATCAATCATTTTAATCAAATTCAGTCTAATTTAATGAGAGTGAATATAAAATAAATTAGAAATTTAATATTGATAGGTGGAAGATGAATAATAAATGGAATGAATCTAATTAATTATTATAATAAAGATAATAAAGATTAGGAAAACTATAAATCACTTAATCTGTTTAAGCTTTGAATGTTATTTAGAATATGGAAATTAAAAATTCTGAAATGCCTTTGAATTTCAAGATAGTACATAGATTTTACATCGATTTACCAAATTTATTAAAAAATTCTATTATTCTATAAAATGAATCAATTAAATTAAAATATCATTTATTGAAAATGAGAAATTTGTTTAATGATTTTACTTATGTTTACATTTTAGGACAAAGTGTTTCAAATTAATATTATGAAAAGATTTCAGAATAATAAATGTAGACATATATCGACTCAAATAAATGAAAATTAAGTATTATATTTAATTATTAATTAATTAATAATATTATCTACAATTAAATAATAATAATAATATTCTTGATAATATTTATTATTAAATCAAAAATTATCAATGATTCAAAAGTATTTGATTTAATAGACTGTTTTCATTCTTGTTGTTCTATATTAATAATATCAATTGTAAAGTAAATTTTATATAACATTAAGTCATAATCTGATTAATTATTAAATTTATGAGTGCATATATAATTTTTTACATATTCAATAATAATTATTTTACAATAATTTAAATAAATTGCTATTTAATATTAGAAATGTTGGTAACCACTTTTAATAGAAGAATGAACTAATTATTATATTCTCTTTAAGACAAATAAGAACATATGATATAGCAAAATATTCTTGATTTATATAATTACATTTTGGATCCTGAATTTAATTAATATTTATTCCAACTTTGGTAATTATTATTCATTTTATCTATAGTTATCTATTCTATGTTACAGAAGATAAAATGTTAAAAGAGCTACTTTATAATTATGCATTAACAAATAATGCAAATTATTATAGATTATAATGGACATTAATGGCATTAAATGAGAATTCTAATTATGAAAATGTTAAAAATGGCTTTTCCACTTTTATTAATGTAATTTTATTGAAATTTATATTAAATTAGTAATTAAAAGCAGAATATGTTTTAGAACTTGGAACATAAATAGGAAATAATTAAAAAAGTACGAATAACATAGATTAAGTGATGAAAAATCGTATTAAAAATTATAGGGAAATATAGGATAAAATTATATTTAATTTGATAGAAAAAAGTTTGAGATTGAAAAAAATAGATATAGAAAACTAAAAGGATCATATGTGTAGATTTTTATCCTAGATTAATAAAATGATAGCAAATTTGAGAATTTAGGAAGAGCCTGAATTTAGGGGATTGACTATTCCATTTAATTATGGCAATTTAGATTCTTTTTTAATTATAAATTTGTTAGAAGATGAGTTTACTTGTTTTAATACTGCAAAAAGAGTTCCTTATAAGATTATTATTGAAACAGTAAAGTAAGCCATTAATTAAATAATCAATTAGTCCATCAGAGTTATTATTGATATAGAGTGTTAATTAATTATGTTAAGATAATTAACCAGAATTGATTCCTTTTTATGATATAGAAAAGGAAATGAAAACTATTTCATAGATAAAAATATATTAATAATATAATATTGAAGAATTAAAAAAGTATAATATATCATAATCTTTATTTTTAGATTAGCATTTAAGAAAATAGATTTATAAAATTTATCTCATATTCAAAATTTAACCAAAATTAAGGAAAAAGATATTTATGTTTCTAAATCATAAAATAAATCTATTTGGGGTGAAGATTGGAATATTACAAAATAAAAAATTAAATAATATTCTTAATATGGAAATTTGAAATCTCATGATGTTAGATAAATTATAATAAAAGGAGGAGATGATCTTAGAAATGAATTATTGATAATGTAAATGATGAAAAAGATTAATGAAATATTCAAATAGAAGTAACTTAAACTTTTTCTAAGACCTTATGATATTATATTAACATCTGCAAATAGTGGAATCTTAGAATTCATTCCTAATACAGTATCTATAGATAAGATCAAGAGAGATAATCCAAATCTCTCTTTGAGATAATTTTACTTAAAAAACTTTGAAAACTTTTCAGATGCACAAAAGAATTTTGCTGAAAGTTTGGCAGGATACTCATTAATTTGTTATTTATTTTAATTAAAGGATAGACATAATGGAAATATTTTAATTGATAATGAAGGTCATATAATTCATATAGATTTTGGATTTGTATTGACATTAACTCCAGGTAATATTGGATTTGAATCAGCTCCATTTAAATTAATAAATGAATATGAAGAATTATTAAATGGTAAAGATAGTGATATTTTTACTTATTATTAAGTTCTAATATTTTCAGGTAATTATAAATATAATTTTATATAGGACTTACTATTTTGTAAGAACATGTGTCAGAATTATTAACTTTTGTAAAATTAATGAATTTCAGCACAAGAAATAATCTCTTGGCATGTCTTGAAAATTTCAATATGATTGAATTCAAGAGGAGATTTCATGAAAATGTTAATTAAAAGAATCTTTATGCTATAGTAGAAAATCTAGTTAAGAAATCAAGTAATTCGTGGAAAACAATATTATATGATTATTTTCAATACTAAACCAATACTATTTATTATTGACAACATATTATTTTAAAATGAAATAACCATCCTACCGATGCACAGAAAAGCTTTGGAAACCTATAGTGAGACCACCAAAACATAATTATAGACTGAAAGACATGGGAAATGAGATTTTCATGGTTTAAGATACTGTTACTAAACGATTTGACTTTGAATTTTAAAACTCTAGAGGATTGATATTGTAATGCAGGTATTTAACTAAATTATTGACAGTTTATTTGAACCAATAAGAATGTAAGACAAACCACATCCATGTATGATCTATTTACATGGGAACTCTAGCAGTAGAGTGGAAGCTTTAACTATTGTTGAATACTTGCTCCCTAACAACATAGCAGTCTGTGGAATCGATCTATCAGGTTATACTCTTAACTATTATTTACAGGTTCTGGATAATCGTAAGGTGAATACATTTCCTTAGGATATTATGAATCAAGAGATGCTAATGACCTCTATGAATATCTAAGATTAAAAAAAGTAAGTGAACTTCATAATTATAAGTCTAACAGCCTTTTATTACTTAAATTGGATTGTGGGGTAGATCTATGGGTTCAGTGACTGCCATTATTGCAGCAACTCTCAATCAAAATTTCAAAGTTTTAGTGTGTGATAGTCCTTTCTCTAATTTAACTCATCTCTGTTAAGAATTAGCATCAAATAGTTATAATATACCTAGTTGCTTTTTTAATTGTTTCTGGTGTCTCGTGAAAGCCAAAATAAGAAGAGAGGCCAAATTTAACATTGAAGATCTCAATATCTCATAAGTTATTCAAAGTATATAATTCCCTATAATAATCTTACTTAGCTCTCCCTAATGATGTATCTATTGTTTTCTTATCAGCCAAATAAGACCAATTGATTATTGAAAAACATCCTAAAATTCTGATGGAAAAATTTAGAGGAACTAAAGTATTGAAACAATTTGAAGGGACCCATAATTCCAAAAGACCTTAAGATATTATGAAAGAAACAGTTAAATTTATCATTATGTAATTTGATAAATGTTCTATGAATTCAAACACAAGCTAAGGTGATACTAAATTATCTAATAACACAAAAGATTAGATACCTATTCCGGATATTGATGCTCCCCTTTTGAATTCAGAAAAACCATATTTATCAAAAATAGATAAGTGATTAAATCTATATTTACAATTATAATATGTATATTTTATATCAATTATAAATATTATAAATATAAATATTCAATTATTAGTCCTTTTATGTTGTTTTATCATATTTTAAATATCATCCAGCACTTTAATCTTACTCTACTAAACTTATTTTTATTAAATAATATAATCTTTAGTCTTAATTGCTTCTCTCTCATCTTGAATTCTTTCATTCTCAATCATTTTCATCTTATCTTCTAACTTTTAATATATATGAAAACTTACATATCTTTACTCATTCTATAATGTTTTCTGATTTTATTTAGATTTTAGATATTTATTTTTATAGATTTCTATTTATTCCTCATTTGCAACTTATTGTTTTTACATTTCCTATATAAATATTTTAGATTCAGTTAAATGATCCTTTTATAAATTTAATTGATTTTATAAATATTCTATTTATTATTCCATTTATTATTGTTTCTATTATATACATATATTATTACTTCTAAATGCTATTAATTAAGATAGGATATATCATTATCTGATTCATACAATAATTATTACAATCTTTTATTGTCTTAGTTTAATTATTCTAAATCTTGCAATATTTATGCTTTCTCTTCTTGATCTAATTGATATTGCTAATCATACTGAGTCAATTTATCTTCATGAATTTTAATTAAAGATTTTAATTATTCTAATTCAGACTTTAATTATTTAATATCTTAAATATAACAATTTGCTTCTTTTATTGCTTAATCAGTTTTATTCTTTTGATCATCTAATTGTCCTTATAATATTATATATTCTTTTTATTTTTCTTAAACTAAATTATTAAATGTAAATTCTTGCTGCTATTTTTAATTAACTAAATTATCCAATTATTAAATTTAATTGCTCATATTTTTGATCTTCTCTTTTTTTTTATTAATTTATGTATTTAATTCTTGCTAATATGTTAATTTATCAGATTATAATTTATTTATGTCTTATTAATGATGTGTTTCATTAATTTTAATCAATTTTTCTAGATCTTCATTCTTAATAATTAAATTATCAATAGTTAATTGTAATATTTTATTTTCTTCAAAATGCTCTTTTATTTTTGATTCCAATATCTAAATAGTTTATTTATCCTCTTTTATTTCAATTTCAAGATATCGAAATTGTTCATCTTTGGATATAATAGCTTATTTAATAACATTATTTTCATCTTTCAATTATTTATATCTTTTTTCTTGATCCTTGCTAATTTATTTATTTGTAACTCATACATTTCTGTAATTAATGCATCATAGAGTCGTTGCACTCTATCCAATTCCATCTAGAATTAGCCTTTTTACTCATCCATCTTTACATCAAATACTTTTGATTGATCCTTTAATAATCTAATTTTTGTTTTCTTTTTCTAAATCTTAATTTTCAATTGATTTAATTATGATTTCAAATCTTCATTTCCTTTATTTTACCAATTTAATTATTCTCTCTCATATTTTTATATTATTTCTTCTTTCAATTATAATATCTTTTCTTAATCTTTTCCTTCCTACATATAATCTCTCAAAGCTGCCTATACTTTTGAGAGACTGCTCTTACTTTCAATTTTGAATTGAGATCTTTTAATTTATTATATTTTTCTCTTGTTACATAACCAGTTTATTCTTTCTAAGCATTTGGAGAATTAGGTCCAAATGGATCTATATTATCTCTTTTTGTTTGATTTTAACGATTAAAAAAATCACTACTAGACCCTTAATTTGTTCTCATTATTTAAATATTAATTTTTTATAACAGTCATAGTAAATAATTAAAATGGATTATAGAATTAACTAAATTTTGTTATAAAGAATTTTTAAAAGTTCAAATAATGTTTTTAATTAATTCTTTTTCCATATTTAATGAGCAGTGATAATTTAAGAAAAGGATTGATAAATGATAGCTTTGGAGATTTCGGAAGTTTCGTAGAGACCCTCATCCCAGAGGAGAAAAAAACAGCAAGAGAAAAAGCAGGATTTTTATGGAAATTGTTTGTATCCTGGATTTATCCAACACTGTAAAAATTTATTCATAATTTAAGAAAATTAGCTTAAAAATAACCTTTAGAAGTTGAAACTATATAGCCACTTTCAAAGACAGAAAAATCCTCATATCTATATGAGAAATTCAAAAATTAGTTGATTATTACTTAGAAAGGAGAAAATACTTTATTTAAGGCTTTGTTTCGCACTTTCCAAAAATAAATCATAATTACTTTTATATGGTTGGTAATTTCAGTTGTTACATCTGTTGTCATTCCAATAATGATTAAAAGCATTATAGACTATATTACAAATTAAGAAGAAGATTATGTTTATGCTTCTACAATCATTGCTGTTATAATGATTTCAAGAGCAATTAATATGATTTCAAATGCTTAAGCAAGACTTGAGATTGTAATAAAAAATTGATATTTTAAGAGATCTTTCGGATTTGATGCCTAATCTGTACTTTCGGTAGAATTAATGAGTAAAAGTCTAAGAACTTCATTTTTAAGTAATCCTCGATATACTACTGGAGAAGTGATAAATTTAATGCAAGTAGATGCAGGAAAACTATAATTTGTTACATATTATTTAGGTGTTGCTTTATTAGTTCCAATTTAATTGATACTCACTGTATATTTGATGTTTGTTTATATTGGATTATCATTTTTGGGGGGATTTGGAATTATGATATTGACAGCAGTTTGGAATACATTAATAGGAAAGTTTTTAATGAAATATTAATAGACAATGATGAAAGAGAAAGACAAGAGAACCAATTGTGCTAACTAAATATTTTCATAAATTAAGTTTATTAAAATAAATGCATTTGAAGATTTCTTTAGAAACAAACTTTTTAAATTGAGGAAAGCTGAAATTGATATCACTAGAAAGCGTTATTTTGGAACTGCTTTTTATATATTTTCAGTATGGTTAAGTCCATTATTAATATTAAGTGGAACATTCCTTATGCATATACTATTAGGTCATCAATTAAGTGCTGGAAGTACTTTTGCAATAATTAGTTTATTTTAAATGTTACAATAACCTTTATTGTAATTACCAATAGCAATTAATGAGGTTATGGCTACAAATATAAGTTTAAAAAGAATATAGAAATTCTTATTTACTGATGAATTATAATCTGATTGTATATAATTTGATTATTATGGGGATGAAAAATCATTGGAAATAAAAGATGGTAATTTCTATTGGTCAGCCCTTAAGAAGGAAGAAATTGATGAGTAAGAAAAAAAGGAATAGGAAAACAAAAAGAAAAAGAAATAAAAGAAAAATAAAAATAAAAAGCTTTAAGTAGAAGAGTAAATTCAAAAGGAAAATGAGAAAAAGCAAGTATTATTTAATATCAATATTGAAATAAAAAAGGGAAAGATGGTTGGTATAATAGGAGATGTGGGATCAGGCAAAACATCAATTTTATAAGCAATAATAGGGGAAATGTTGTATAACCCTGAGAATCCACCTAAAGTTACTATTACAGGGTCATTGGCATATGTAGGATAGAAATATTGGATATAAAATTTAACTGTAAAAGAAAACATATTATTCGGATTAGAATATAAAGAATAAAAATATAAGAATGCCCTTAAATATTCTTGTTTATAATAGGATTTGAAGATATTAATAAAAGGTGATGAAACTATGATTGGAGAAAAGGGAATAAATTTATCTGGTGGTTAAAAAGCAAGAATAAGTTTGGCTAGGGCTATTTATAGTGATGCTGATATTATATTATTGGATGATCCAATAAGTGCAGTTGATGCTCATGTAGGTAATTTTATTATGAATGAATGTTTAAATGGATATTTAAAAGATAAAACAAGGATTCTTATCACTCATGCCTTAAATAATTTACAATATGTAGATTATGTATATCTATTTGAAAATGGATCAATAATTGAGTAAGGTACATTCTAAGAAATACAATAATCAACTAGTTTTAATTCAATATTCCAAAAATTATACAAACATTAAAATCATAATGAGGAGGAAGAAACCATTGAATAGAAAGTTGAGGAGCTTCCTTAATTGGCTAAATAGGCATCTTAGAAAGAGGAAAGTAAGAATGATTAAAATAATGAATTGATGTTGGATGAAGATAGAGAAAGAGGAAATTTGGCATTAGAAACTTATAAGCAATATTTTAAATTAACTGGGTATTTTAATATATGTTTGTTGGTTTTTATTTAAATATGTTGGATAGGATGTTATTTTGGTACTTCTATTCTAATTGCTCTTTGGACTTCTCATGCAGAGGAGGATGAACATATAGACAATTATAAATATTTAGAAGTCTATTTTTATTTCTCTTTAGGATAAGGAATATTTGCATTTTTGAGACCTCTTTTATTAGTTTCTGCTGGAACAAGAACATCTGATAAAATTCATACAAGAATGATAAAGTAAATATTAAATATTAAATAATAGTTGTTTATTATATGCACCTTAATGCTCATTTTTTGAAAGGGTACCTTTAGGTAGAATATTGAATAGATTAACAAAAGATTAAAATTCATTAGATAGTGAAGTATATTGGGGATTGAGTTGGTTTTTTGTGTCTATTAGTTTATTGATAGCCAATTTGACTATTTATGTATACTCAAGCACTGCTTATATGTTGATTCCATTATTTTTTTACTTTTGTTTATGTTGGTGGATTTAATAATTATATGTTACAGCTAGTAGAGAATTACAAAGATTGGAATCAATTTCTAAAAGTCCTATTGTAAGTTTCTTTGGTGAATGTATAAATGGATAAAGTTATGTGAGAGTATTCAAAAAAGAAAGTAAATTTATAGAAAAGCATTGTGATAATATGGATGTAAATAGAAGAGTGTTTTTAGAATTAATAGGATCTTAGACTTGGTTTATGTTGGTTTTAGGATTAGTGAGTTTAGTTGTAAATGCAATGGCAATAGTTTATTGTGTATTCTATTCATTTTCTAATCCATCTTTGGCTGGATTATTATTAACATATGCAACTTAAATAGATGGTAATGTTTCAGAATGTGTTCAATCATTTAGTTAATTATAATTGGGATTGGTATCATTTGAAAGATGTTTGGCATTTACTAAGATCGAACCTGAACCTGGATATAAAGAATTAGTTGATAATCATTTAGTGGAAGTATCTCATTAGGAGAATTACTTAGATCATTGGCCAAAAGAAGGCAGAATAGATTATATAAATTATTCAGTCAGATATAGAGAAGGATTGAAGCCAGCATTAAAAAATTTAAATATTACAATTGATCCTTAGGACAAGATTGGAGTTGTAGGTAGAACTGGAGCAGGTAAATCTACTATGACATTAACTCTTTTGAGAATTTTAGAGGCTTTAGAAGGGAAAATCATTATTGATGATGTAGATATATCAACTATTTCATTAAAATAACTTAGAGAACATATTACAATGATTATGTAAGATTCAACAATTTTTGATGGAACCTTAAGAGAGAATATAGATCCTTTAAATTAAAGAACAGATGAAGAGATCATAAAAGTTTTGGAGTAATGTTGTTTGAAGGAATTGACATAATAGAGAAATGGATTAAATACTTAAATTAGTGAAGGAGGAGACAATTTGAGTTCTGGGGAGAAATAATTAATATGTATTGCCAGGGCTGTTTTGAAAAAAAGTAAGGTGGTTTTAATTGATGAGGCAACTGCAAATATTGATGTTGAGACTGAACATAAAATATAAGAAACAATCTTGAATGCATTTAGTGATTGCACTGTTATTACAATTGCTCATAGAATAAATACTATTTTACATTGTGATAAGTAATTTATATATATTAATATGTTAGAATAATTGTTATTGATTAAGGTGAAATCAAAGAATATGGCAAGACTCAAGACTTATTATTAGTAAAAGATTCAATATTTTATGGTATATATTAAGAAGCATTAAAACATAACAAAAAATGAGATGAATATAATTATTAGTATATTTATCAATTAAAATTCTGAATATCCATAGATGGTTCTTGGAAGGTCTTAATTTAAATAAAATGGCCTTCAGTCTTTCTATCGATTGATGGAATTTCCACAATACAATGAGATTAATACTGAAATTCTTCTGGATAACATAATTCTAATGTTTTTTTAGTAGATTCTGATACTTATACCTTCCCTCTTTCACCCTTTGATTCCATTTTATTAGCTATTAATACATCTGGTCCATAAATATCATATCTTACAATATCAGTTCCAAGAACTCCTCCAATAATTTTACCAGTATGTATACCTATTCTCATATCTAAATCTGAATTATTAATTTTATCTCTAACTTTACTAATGATATTAATCATTTCAAATGCTAATTCTACAGTATTTTTAGCCTCCAAAGCTGGATTTCTATCTTTAGCATCAACCATTCCCATAACAACATAACAATCTCCAATAGTATATAATTTATACACATTTTTGTCTTGACAACATTTATCAAATTCAGTAAATAGATTTCGTAACATAAATACAACTTATTCAGGTGCTACTTTACTTGAATATTCAGTGAATCCAGCAATGTCAGCAAATAATAGTGTGACATCTTCATGTTAATCTTTCAAGACTGCTCTAGATTATTATAATTATAAAAATTAATCAAGCATATGAGTTGGTAATTAATGTTTTACTAATTAATCTAATTATTCATGTTTATATTTTAATTTGCATTTTTAATTATAAGCTTCAACATTCTTCAAAAACTTATAGATTTAATTTGATACAAATATTAATTAGAGTAGACTAGCATAATAAATTAAGGATTTATCCCAATCATTTACAACAACTGCAATAATATTCATACAAATCATGACAATACTTTCCATCACTTTATATTTCATTTTTATTATTGGATTTAATTAAGTCAAAAAAGACAGAAAAATTCCTATGGCAATACAAACTTCTCCTATTATACCTTCTTGTACACTAAAAATATGCATGATCCACCATATTAATATAAATATGTAGAATCCTATAAAGTATTTCTATTTGAAAAAGTGATTACAATATTGCTCATTAAATAATAAACATATGAATATCAATTTAACAAATACTATCAGATACCCCTACACAACATTAATATACCAAACAATTATCTCTCTAAATATAGTTTCTATTAATATTGTTGATGTATTTTGTATCAAGATTAGTATACTCATTCCAAGTTCTAAAAGTATTACCAATATTTTATTCTAATTTCTCAATTACTCATAAAATTCTTATATAACATCTTCATCTACATCTGAATGAAAATCTAAATATAATTTTCTTTTATCCAAAATCAAAACATCCATCTCTTTAAATTCATCTTCAGATTAATGGATTTGTTTTAATTTTTCTTTATCCACTTCAATTAAAGGAAACTCCAAAGTATCTTCAAACATAAGATTCTCCCTTGCTAATTTCAATTCAAGAGCTTCAATAAGATTTTAACCTGTAATTGTTTAAGGTTATTATTCTTTTATTTGAGGTTGTAATTAATCACTCTCACCTCTAGAATGATGTTATGATACATTGTTATTGTTATTACTATTATTTAAAGCAATATTAGGATTATCTAAATTGATGCTAGATTTATGCATCAATTAAGGTGTAACTATCTTAATGCTGGATTAAACAATAGTAGGTTTACGAGAATTTTTAAATTCAAATATGGATTTCCGTTATCTACCTACATAATCATCACGATTTAAAAATATCTACATATCATCTTTAAATTTCCTCAATCTCTTCCTTGAAATCTTCTCTTTTATTACTTCCTATACCAAATAAGTATTCAATTAACCTTTTCCTTTAGCCTCCACTATATCCAAAGTAAAAGTGAAATCAGGACAAGATGAGACTTATTTGAATGCCTCTTCAGATATCTTAATTTGATTATCCTATGCAGTAGAACAAACTCTACTTGTAGTATTGACAGTATCACCAATCAATGAAAATTAAGGTTTATGATATCCAATTACACCAGCAATCACATTACCATAATGCACTCCAATTTTCACTATAATATTTTCAGTTTAGCCAAAACTCTGTGATGAAGCAAATTTCTACATTTCAAAAGCTACCTGTAAGGCTCTAAGAACTGGATTAATGTTATTTTAAGATATTAGATTCTTTAACCCAGAAGCTGCCATGTAAGTCTTACCAACAGTTTCAATTTTCTACAGATTGTATTAATTACACAAAGAATCATATTGTCTGAATAAAATATCAAGTAAGTGAACTACATTCTATTACTATACCTTTATTATAGTATCAAATTGACAAATATCACAAAATAAAATTGCAACTTCACCTTGATTCTCTTATATATCAAACTCACCTCTCTAATTTATCATGTTTCTAATGAACTTAGGCATTAAAATTGACAGAGTATCGCTTATAGAATTGATTTTCTAATTCAATTACAAATTTTAAATGAATTCCTGTCTCAAATTCCTTTGAACTCTCAAATGCATTCCACTACTTAATGCTGTCTACATAAATGCAATAAGATAATAATTGAGCATTATATATGTATTTATATTTTAATTTATTGATGTATTGTTGGCACTGAATCTGATAATAAAACTAATATTGACTATGATACAATAGAATATTATAGTTAAAGGTCTATCATCTATTAATGGTTGTAGCATGAATAACTGCATAATAAGCATATCACTTAATGAATTGTCATTCTATTGAAAAAAATAGATATCATATACAATCTTATACAAGAGACGGGATAAGATTAAAATTTTAGACAATCTGAAATGATACTTTTTAAATACAGATGTATATATGAATAGAGCCATCAATATTTAAGTACCATTGTATCCATATGAAAAATAAAGTAACCAAGTATAATTTTAATTTTTATTCACAAACCAAATCTATAATAATATTGCACCTTCAACAAGCATCCAACTCAATGGATAATACAATCTATAGTATTCTAAAATAGATGTTAATTCATTCAATTAATATTTTGTTTCTAATTATATATTCTTAAATTGCTGAGTAAATATATTAATTTTAATACTCTTTTCACTTAGAGCCATGCCTGATAACATTGATCTTATAGAAGAATCCATATCATCTTCATTTTTAAATAATTTTAATGCATATTTTTATATATTTAATAAAAGTGAGCTATTGTTTTTTTTCTTTGAATAATAAATTTCAATTGGTTTCAATAGACAACAAATTGAAATCTTGTCTTTTACAGAAAACATTAATCTATCAATATTATATGGTATAAATTAAAACAATAATAATTAGAGTGTAAAAATAATCAGAATAATGAGTATGATATAAAAAATACTTTGAACACTTATTAGATGTTCCATAATTTGATAATATGTTTCATCAAATATTTGAATATAACTTATTAAGGTTAATAAATAGAGTAGTATTAATAATATCCACCAATAGATAATATTATCATAGATCCATTTACTTTATTCAATAACAATAATAATTGTATACATTTAGAGAGATTAAATAGCATTATCAAAATTTCTACCATCATTTGTGTAAAATTAAATGTACTTTTATATGATTATTATAATGAAAGATTCAAAGATAGAAAATAATAAGACTTTATAAATAAATAACCAATATTTATGCTTTCTAAATTAAATCCAATTCTGATTATAAAAGTATACTAATTATTGTTTAAAATCTGTAATATTTCGACTGTTAAGGATTGATTATTTGTACAACAACAAAGAAGGTAAAATAAACATAATAGATTAGAAATATGATAATGGAGGTATTTCATTTTGTACTTCCATGATACATTGGAAAAATAAGCAAAACATAATCAAATAGCATCTATAAAATGCATATATCATTAAGTTCTCCAGAAATTCTGCATGCTTTCTACTATCATAAAATAATAATGTAACTAAATTATTCATATCCTTGATAATTAGATCTGCTGTACTCATATATCTAACTTTAGTATATATAAACTTTTCTAATTCTTTATTACAATAGTTTAAATTTAATTATTTAAATTTAAATAATTTATTAGTAACTTAAGAATTACATGTATTAGTTTCCTTTTTTAATCTTTCAATTTATTCCATCTTATCTATTTTATTATTTTAATTAATCCTTTCATTTTAAATTTAGATAGAAAAATCTGAATTTTCCATTATAATTGAATCATTGGCTTCATCACCAACTACTAATATTCTTCTTCTTTGTAATTATTTTTTCTATAAAATCTTAATTAAAACACCTTTTTAATATTTATTCATAGAATATCCAATAAGATGAGTGCAAAATGATACTAAAAATGCCAAATGATGATACAAATTTTAATCATTTTCAATAATTTCAAGTGCTTTCCCTTCAATCATAATACAAAATGGTTTAGTTTTAGATAAATTATTATTAATACCAATTAAAACACCTCTTGTACTAGCTCTTCTAGCAACACTAACTGATTTTCTCTTATTATTTTTAGGACTACTAAGTTTTTCATTATTTTTTTTATCAGTTTATTCTTCCCTTAATTATTTAATCAAATTATTATAACACCATAAAATATGTTATTTAATTTATTATGATATCATATCATTAGATTCTATTTTTAGAATTTAAATATTTTCTTTTAAAATATTTGATTTATATGCAATTGGTAATACTTTATTTTTTGTATCACCACTGGCAATCCATATAGATATATCTGCATTTTAATAATAATTGATTATTTCTTTCAATTATCTTTTAATCTTTTCTTATACACCAACAATTAAAATAACTTCTAATTAATTATTTTTATTTTTAATCTCTTCTAGTGGATTCTTTACAAATAAATTATAACTATTTTAATCCATATTATATTTATAATAAATTATTGGTCTACATCCTCTTTATATAATTTTATTGATTATTCCATTCCAAACATCCTTATCTTCCTTATCCATATTAATACCATCTATTAATTCTAAACCATCTTCTCTAATATATTGAATGTATTCAAATTTATCATTAAATTAAAATGCTAATAATTTATTATAATCTGTAATTTAAGTGATTACACATAATTTTGTATTATCTAATTGAGTAACTGTTACTGGTATTTCCAATAAATTCTCTTTAATTTCAATTATATATTTATTTTTACCTAATGTTGATCCAATAAATTTATAATCATAATTCTAAGCTAAATTAATTTATAATTAATCAATTTGATTACTAAATTCTTATTATAATGAATCTAATTTCTTTAAATATTTTGTTTAAGTATTATGACAAATGATAAGTATAAACAATGATTCTTCAATAACTCCTCTATATTCTGGAGTTAATGATTTATTAAATATTTCTTTTTCATTACTAATAAAATCATCTTATCTCTCATATTGAATGTTAAATTCATCTGTTTTATAAAATCGATCAGCTGATAATTTCTTTTTTGGTTCCATTTTTTCTAATATTGGTCTTCTTTCACTGAATTTACGTCTTGCTGTTTCCTTAATTGGAGATTAAGATTTAATCATTCTTTGTTCATTCAACTAATTAATCATTCCTCCTAGATCAGTTCCTGATTCCCAAGAATCTATTTAAAATAGTTTTGGTGGTTTGGTTCTATGGATCTCTTTCAATTTATAATGATCATCTGCTATTTCTTCAGCATTAAAATTGGCTTCATCCTATTAACTTGTCTCACGTATATCTTACTCAAAATTAGGTTCAATATTCACTAAATTATCCTCCAATCTCCAAGGTGTAATTGAAGTTCTTTTAGTGGGACTCATGGGTCGATGATGGGGTGACACTTTAATGGATGAAATTTAATTAGGTGATAAAGATTAATCTTGAATAAATAACATTTCTTAATTATCTAATACTTCTTTCTAATACTTTTTCCATTCAGTTGTATTTTTAAATGTTTTATTATGAATTTCATAAAATGTTTCATTTATCAAAATTAATTTAATCTTAAATAATGGTATGGTCATTGTACAAGTCTTATCAAAAATGACAGAATCCACCAATGATAAATCAGCTATAGGGGTTGCATTTAACTTACTATAAACTGTATTTAAGTCCATCTTATGATTCTAAAATATATTGAATTCTTCTTGACTATCATTATTCTAAATTCCTTTCTACTTTTTAAATTTAAATAACTTCTAACTTGAACTTAAAATTTATAATATATCCAATAATCCTATCAAATAATAAGGAAACATATTCAAATAAATCAAAAAGTAATTAGCTAAATATTATATTTTCCAACCATTATTAATATATCTAATTGATTCAATCATCCAAGATCCAAAAGATAACAAAATTATTAATATTAATGTGAATTTATAGAAAGTATCAACCTTATTATCAAAGAAAGATTTTGTTGATTTCTCAAAATTACTTAAATGATAATATTGACAATTTAAACCACAACTCAAAACAAGTCCATAAATATAATCACAAGTTTGTAATTATTATCCTCTATATAGAATATTCTCTTTTTTTATATCAACTGCCTAAGGATCATTCTTCAATCTAATAAATCCAGTATAAAAGGATTCAGATTTATAATCTTTATCATATGTCACTTTCCCGCTCAACAATAATCGATATTCAAATCCATTTCCTTTAAATTAATGCATTTTAGGTAAAGATGTTAATTCGTTTGCACTCTTTATTCCTTCATCTGTTTATCCATTAACACATGTATTATTAACATAACATCTTTCTTGATTTGACTCCAATATTAAACAATCTGCAGGACAAATCTCATTTCTCTTTAATATTATTATGTCTCCAATCTCCAATTCCTCCCATCTTATTGTTTCTATTATACTAATTTTTGTATTTTCATTCAATTCTACCAAAGGTTATGGAGATGATGGCATCATTCCCTTATCTGCTCTTTAAGTTGATACAAATTAAGTCTTATTTATTTTTTATTCATATTCCATTAAACTAATTTTTTTGTTTTGCAAAATTTTCTTTAGTTTCTTAAACACTATCACTTGTCTTTGATTTATTAATCTATCTTCTTCATGTACCAAAATTATATAATACAATGTTTTTATTAAGTACATCACTATACTAAAAATAAATGGTATAACAAATCCATATATAACCTATGAATTGTCTTGAGTTATGCTAAGACATATGATACTGATCAGAAGGAAGATGTAATTGAATGGTCTTCTTAAATATCTCCATATAATACTCCCAAATGATTGTATAGTGGAGATTTTATTTTTTAATTCAGAAGAAGAGAAGCCCTTTAAATTAACTGTGTCACCATTTTCAAATTCTATCTTGTTTATTAAATTGTACGATATACTTGCTTAGAATATGAGTCATCGTTCTTTTATTTTGTCTTTGTATATTTTCTATGCAGGTATTCATAAATTAACTATGATAATTTCATAATTTTAATATATAATTTCATACAACAATTAATGTTTGTAACCCTTTTCAATTAATATATTATCTTTATCAATTTACTCACCCTCCGTCATCACATAAATACCTTTTAATTTACTTTTACAAAATATCATCTATTTTATTTGTAGATTCACAATAACTAAATCCTAAAACATATATCAAAATAGATAAATTTTATGTAGACTATAAATAATTATCAACAAAAGACGATAACTATATAAAATTAATTAAATTTAATTTTTCGTATTATATAATATAATCGCCACAGAATAAAAATGTTTAATTTCTTGTTTCATCAATACTTGAATACTTTTTTGTATATATAATATAAAAAGCATAAAAGATTCATAATTCAAATAATTAGAATCAATATTTAAATTTAATTTAGATATATTCAGAATACAGAATACCATTATGATAATATTATTCACAAGTATTTTATAAATTATCAATTTATCCTTCTTAAATTCTTAAACTTAATCTATTATTATTCAAAAAATTAAAAAATCAATAAAATTATGATATAAATATATTATTTTTTAAGATTGAAAATATTATATATATTTGACTATTATTTTATGATTTTTTCATTGTTTTATCATTACGTATAATATCTTAATTACAATGTCTTTATATTAATTATTGAGAAAATAAAGTAAAAAGAAAAACAATTATTTTTAATTATTGTTATTTCAACATCATAATTCCTTTTATTCTTTTATAATTTCTTTATTACTAAATTTTTATATCATTATGATACTTAGATGCAAATTATGTAATATATATTTCTATATAATTTTAATTTATTATAAATATTAGAAAATTATATTAAATATTCTTTATAAATAGATTAAATAGTACTTTTTAATATTCATAATAGAAATACATGATAAATAATGTTAATAATGGTATGTCTTCAAAAGTATGTTAACAATCTTTATAAAGGTTATATATTAGTAGTCATTTGATGAAATGACTGAAATCTAATTAATTGCATAATTTATTTATATTTTTCATTTCATGTTCTTTTATCCTAATATTCGAATACAATCCTGAAAATTTTATTACAATTATTGCAGTATATCAATCAAACGTTAAATATTCTATAGTTTGAAGCAAAACAAGATTTTCTTTGAGGATTAGAATATTCTAAATTTGAATGAAGCTTTCTAGTTTATATTAATTAGAGTGTGTAATAAATAAAAAGGAGGGAGAAATAATTAAAAAATAAAAAAATTGGTCGGGGCGGGAATTGAACCCGCGACCGTTGGCTCATAAGACCAACGCTCTAACCAACTGAGCTACTCGACCATGTACAATGAAAATAATACAGATTTTCATAAATATCTATTAATTTCATAAATTATCAGTTCAATTGATTAATATTTAAAATAAAGTTTTGAATAGTATAATGAATATTTGCATTAGTTTATAATGGTTATAATAGATTAGAATATATAAGATATTTAATCATAAATTTGTTGTTATTATGTGCAATTTATCATCTAATTTATAATATCCAATATATAGAACTGAATGAGTTATTAGATATATTTAAACAATGATTTTTTTTTGTATTTTTAATTAATGTATCTTTTATGATATCTATTTAAATTATTCATATAAATACATTAAAAATATGATTTATGTAATTGATATTTGCAACCTACATTTTTGATGTAGACATTAATATAATAACATATATCCTTTGAATGAAGGTTTATAATGATTTTTAGGATTATCAAAGTGAATATAATAAAATTAGATTTTGTATTGTAAAAAATAAGATTTATTGATTCTATAGATTAAATTTATAAATATAATTTATGTATTATTTCAATCAATTAAATAATGAGTATGTCTCTTAATTAGTCCAGCACTGAAATCTAATTAAGAAACATCTGCCAAATTTGATTCAGCAAATGAGATTTATTCACTTTACGAATTAGATTGTATGCTTATTTATTTACTCTCTTTATTATTTTATTTGTTGAGATTCTTATAAAATTTTTCAACATCTATTCCTCTTGACTTCATTGCCTTCACTAGCCTTATTAATTTATGCTTTTTCTCTGATATCGAAAGCAATTCTTATTACATATCCCTAATTTATTCTTTATATTAATTGCGATCATTAAGCTTTTCTTTTCTTACTTTACCTTTCTTAATTTGATTTAATTCATTCTGATACTTTAAGATTCTGTTTTGATTTTCATATTCCTTTATTTTGTTTTCTAAAATGACATAATAAAATTACCCAATTTTTACTCATTCTCTATAGATTATTGTTCTAATTGTTTTAATTTAAGTAATAATTAAGCCTTTTCATATTCATATAATTTCTTTTAATTGATATGGTAATTCTTGATAGTTTTTTTGATTGCTTAAATAAGTTAGATCAGTGTTAATGATAAATCTTATTCGTTAAGACACAAGCTTAATCCTTCAAGTAATCTAGTCAAAATGATATTCAACTCTTAGATATCGATATCTTTATCTATATTTTCATAAGAAGACTAAATCAATCTGATTATTTCTTTTTTTGAAGCTTAAGATTTGAGATTAGATTATTCAGTGAAATAATTTTAGAAAGAAAGCCCATCTTTATTTTAAGGTGATTAAGTGGGTTATCTACTCTTTCATATAAATCAAATGATACCAATCGTTTTTGTACAATCAAAGACCTATTATTGAGTTAATATTTAGATAAAGATTATGATTTCATAACTACGTATAAATAAACATATCTCAAATTTTAATATAATGCTTTTATCTCAAACAACTTAATTTTTATGGAACAAAAAATTTAATCAATTCATATGGCCATTAAGTTCAATAAAATTTCATAATCTCTATTATGATATAATATTTAATATCTATAACCTATTTTAATCACAAAATATATAGACTCTCTAATTAAAATATCATCACCATTAAATTAGTATCCTAGAATGAATTTAGAAATTATATATATATATATATATATAAATTTAATGAAAAATAGGCATATTAGTTTGTATAGCTATATTGCTTTCTTATTCGTTATGTATGGTGTATGGCATTTGACAATACAATCTAAAAAACATGGAGGGTATAATGTTAGTGAATTGTCTGATCTCATCTCAGAATTGAAGAATACAATCTAACCTCACATAACCTTCAATGTTTTAAATATTTTTACAGAAGAAGAGATGAATACATTTAATTAAACAATACATTAAAAGTATTCTGAATTTACTATTGAATTTAATATTGTCAATGATATTCATTAAGTTTAAGATTAAAATGGGTATCTAATATCATACTATAGTATATTAGATTACTTATAAATATATAGAAAGCATAATATACATTTTTATTCATTCAGAAATTGGATAAAATAACAATTATGACATAAGATTTAAATGACCCTTCAATTTTTAAAAATTTAAGAAGATATTTAAATAAGTTTTATCCTCTTGTCGAATAAGAATCATAATTAGAAAGTAGATAATTTTATGTAAATAGACTTTTGATTTTTGATTTCTTTATAATAGGTAATCAATATTATTACTAATTAATAGATAAATAGAATAATAGTCAATATACTAATATAATTAGTGATATAGAAAAGAGTATATTAAAATTATAGAATTATTTTGGATTGCCAACAGATAATATAAGAATAAACTATAAATTTATAGATGCTTTAAACATTGAAATTGTTTAAAATCAAACTATGTTAGAGAAACAAAAAATAAATAATTTTTTAGATTAATCAAAATAATAACATAATATGAATTGGAAAGAATATTTCCAAATGAATATTTTAACTATTTTAACAGATGATAATGTTTCAATAGATTTAGATAATAGTGAAAATGTATAATTTTATTTTTCAGAACCATAAAATTTTATGTTTTAAGTAAATTCTTAATAGATGTTGTTTAAAAATATATTTAATACATTTATATAAGTTTTTTAGTTGGAAGACTAATAGGAAATTATGATTGAGAATTAAGATTTTAAACCAACCTTAGAATTAATTAGAGATTACTTTTAGAAGAGAGAATTATATAGACATATTTTAAATTTCATAAAAGAATTACAATATATTCAATTTATTTAATAGGAAGGAGAATATAAAATAAGTCTGAAGAGTTAAAAAGAATTTGAAAATCGAGTCTAATATATTAAGGATACATTAAATAATAAGAATATAAGTAAAACAGATACAGTAAATATTTTGATTGATGATTCCTTTTCTGATCTTGATACTTTTTCTTTTGAATACACGTAAAAATATAAATAAAAATAATTAGTTTGGGAATGTATTTACCTTTGATTTTACCCTTTGCATATCCAATATTATTGAGTATATATGATGAGTTGTCAAGTAAATGATAATAAAATGAATTATTTATTAATATTGCTTTATATATATTAAAGTACCATATTATCATTATTTACAATCATAATCCCAATTTTATTAGCAGAAAAGGGATGTACATTTGAATAATAAGGTATGTATTCATTAATCAGCTATCCATTTTATTTTAAGTTTTTGTTTGCACCAATTATTGATTTGTATCAATTTTAATTCCTAGGCAAAAGGAAAAGGTAATTATTCAAATTTATAAAGCATAGTTATATTTTACCAATAAATTTATTATTATCAGTAATACTTTTGTATTTATCCAGAATTGACATTTTAACAAATTATCATATTTTATGGATATTTGGATTCATTTTGTGTTTGTTTTTAGGAATTCAAGATATTGCAATTGATGGATTGGCAACTGATTTATGTAAATAATAAGGAGAAAGTGCTGCATTATTATAAAATATTGGTTTTACTATTGGAAATTCATTTCTTGGAAACTTTTTATTTATTGCCTTGTATTCATCTTAGCATTGCTCACTTGAAACATTTTTTATGATTTTATCAATATTAGGTTTAATATTGACTATTATCTTATATTTATATCTATTTGAATAGGAGGAATAATACAAAAGGACAACAAACTTTTAAGATTTAAAAAGTGTGATAAAATCATTTTTTAAAAATGAAAACATGATTACATTTTCATTATTGATCTTTTTTGAAAGGTATATATATAATGAGATAGATTAGAACTGCATTGTCATCTTTGGATGCAACATTTAGATTAAAATTAGTACAATTCAATATCAATAAAACTTACATTTCATTTATAGATACAATTATATTGCCATTGAAAATAGCAACTGGATTAATATATCACTAATACTTTTATAAATATGATTTTAAGTATAATAATGTAATATATATATATAGATATTATGGAAATATTTAATATTTGAGATTAATTTCAACATTTTTTGCAATTATAACATTATTGTTAATTGATAAATTTGAATTAGATGGTCCATACAGTTATATTGCCATATTCTTTTCAAATATGTGTTGGTGGATTTTATTTAACATTACATACATTGTTAGAGTATAATTGACATTTATATAAAATTAAGGGTAACTTTTAAATGAAAATTACTACTCCTGGAGTTGAAGCTACAACATTGACAATTCTTAATAGTATCAGTCAATTAGGAGTTAGATTGGCATTTTCAATAAATTTGATAATGGCCAATTATGTAAATTATTATTGGCTGTTATGTGCTGGATGGATTATACATTTGCTTTATTGCTTCAGATACTCAGAAACCTATAGAAATTTGTACATGTAACCCATTCAAATGTGGTATTTAAATAAATAAATAAAATAAATTTGATTTTATCAATAAACTATATAACATATTATTTCTGTTCATAAAATTACATTCTGAAAGACATTTTTCTGTGATTCTTTTATGTTTATTAAATTATAGTATTGATTTTTACATTTTTTATATTCAGTCTTTGTGTTTAGATATAATAATTGATAAGCTATATATTATAATTTAGGTTAGTTTTTAATATAAAGAGATTGGAAATTTAACAAATTTGTAAAGATAAAACCATCATATTACTAAAAGATATATAGATTCATATTCTGATAATAGATTTTTAGTTATATATACAATTGATTATGTCAATTTGAATAATATCTTAAATATTTAATAAGTATGATTGTTTTTATTGTTAAATATAAACTAATGAATATAATATATATATATAGATGCATCTTAACAATAATTTTGGAACACATTTTTCAAGATATAATTTGATGAAGAATCAATAATACAAATAATTTAAATAATATAATTGCCTTCATAATTAAGAATAATTAGATTATTTAAATTATTTAAATTATTGGGAATGGCTTAAGAACTATATAAGTTATTAGTATTGGCTTATACAAGTACAGAAAATACAATTCGACAAAATGCTGAATTTTAGTTGATGAGTGTGGTAATTGAGAATATCTAAAATTTCTAATCTATTGCATAGATTGCTAAGAGTTAAGATAATAGTAAATAATAAATTAAATATTAAAGTGCAAAGTTAGGCAGCCAGTTTACTGAATTCAGCAGTGTTAAAGATGTTATCAAGTAATGGTATGATATTTTGCACTAATTAATTTAGTTGAAATATAATTGGAACATGCATAATTGGTTTTTGATGTGATAACTTCTTAATAGACTTCATTAAAATGCAAGTAATTATTATAGAAATCAATGAGTTTATTGATTAAAATAAAAAAAAGTAAAGGATTTATGAATATAAATGATTAGCAATTAAACCAGATATAGAAAATAAAATGAAATAATTGGTGAAGAGTGATTAATTATGGGAAATACAATCAGGATTATTTTTCTTCAAAACATTGATTGATTCTTTAGAATTATCATCATATAATTTAGTAATAAATTAAGGATTAGATTGGATAAGAGATTTCTTTGATTTAATATATCCAATATTTAAGAGATTAGATGAATAATCAGGAGATTTATCTGAAGAATATATAACAACAATAAGATATTATGCATAGATAGTATTGGAATTTTGTGAGAAATTATTCAAATAAAAGGCTCATAATAAAGAATCATTAATTCCACTTTAAAATGTAATGTTTAAATTAACATCATTTTAAATAACATTATTTGCTATATTTAAATACTCTCCTTAAAATAATATACTTTAAAGTTGTATAATTTCATGCACAAATAATGAATAATTTGATAACAGAATAAATGAAATAAAAATGTATGGATTAAAATGTCTATAAATATTAATCAATTCTTTATTAAGTAAAAGCAAACATGAATAAAAGAATAGTGTATTCTATAATCAACAATCCAATTTAACTTAATTATTACTTTATTCTATATTTGCATACACAAGATAAGCAAGAATTTCAGATATTTTATAGTAATTTCTAAAACTATAATTAGGAAACAATTTTTACCTAGTATTTTGAGTAGTATACTTAGATTATTGGCACATTTAGGTGGATAAGCTGAATTATATCCTTAATTTCAAGATTCCAAGAATCCATTGATAACAGATATAATCTATCCTTTTTTAATTACTACTAAAACTGAATATTAAATAATGAAAGATTAACCAGAAGAATTTGTTAATATTGCATTAGATGTTGTTGATAAACAAGAATCAGATTTACCAAAAACAGCAGCAACAACTTTACTTGAAACTTTATGTGATCATATAGATGGATCAACATCTTTCTTAGCTTAAATGGCAATTATTATTATATCTTCTGCAATTTTAGAATTATCTCAATCTTAATTAAATAAATAATAATAGCAAATCATATTGGCAGATATATAAAAGATATCTAATAAAAAATTATTCTAAGAATTTACTCCTGTAGATAGAATAGAAAGTAGTTTGATGATTTTGACTATTATCAGCTATTTAGTATAAAGAAGATAAGATATTATATAATTGATGGAATAATTATTATAATAAAATTTATAATTTTTTACTAATACTACAGAATAAATAATCAAAGTTAGATTTGCTTTATTTTTTGGTTATTATTGTGATAATTTATTTAAAGTAGAAACTTAATTTTAGACTATGTTAAATTATATATAATTATTGATAACATATGCTAAACCATAAGAACCTGTTGTATTATATTAATCTATTGATGCATTAAAAGATATCTTTGAAGATGATGAATTGAAACATAAAACTGGAAATTTAGTAGTTAATGTTTTTCCATCTTTAATTAATGGTTTGGAATTCAGTACTTATGAAAAACATTTTGAAATGATTGGAAATCTACTCAAGAAATTTCCTTAAATCTTTGTTAATAATGAAAATTACATTATAAGTTTAGTATAAATATTAGTCAAAAGAATAATTCAAGAGGAAATATTTATTAAAAAAAATAATGATTCAAATAGATACATTCATTTAAATAGATGTTGGAATGTAATTAGATTATTACCAACTATTAATGAATTCTCACCTCTCCTTCTCATAATTGAATAAGCTATGTAACCAATATATGAATCACTTTTAATTGAAGAAAACAGAATGAATTTTGATGATGAATTGGTATTATTTATTTCTTCTGTTATCTAAAAACTCTAATCTGTATCCTAATTTCAAAGATAAATCTTGCCATATTTTTCTTAAATCATAAAAAAACAATCTGGAAGATTAGGCTATTTATATGAAACTTTAAATATGTATATTTATTATGGAAGGAATTATTTTTTATAAGAATAAGCATAACATACTTACTTTAAATTGTCTCTTTAAACATTAATGTAAGAAGAAGCCTTTGAAGATATTGATCTTGCAGAAGGAGCACTTCTAATCTAATTAGGAATTTAAGTTCTATAGAATGATATCAATTAAACATTATTAGCTTAAGTATTTTAATAAGTACTTTAATTAATTGCAAAAGAGAATGTTACTGGAATTATTAGATCTAGAATTACAGCCATATTTTTGGTTGCTTTTTATTTTATTCCATAATTATCATATTAGATATTGGGTAATCATTTTCAAAATGTATATTAAAAAGTATTGAACACTTAATATCATCCAGGTTATGATATTAAATTGTTCATTATTACAATATGTAAATTAATTTAATAATAACCTGAATTATTAAATATTGATTTGATTTTAAAAATAATTAAGAATTTGGAAAGTTAAGAAAATGAAGAGAAACCAGAAAAAGATGATTTTGAGTAATTTATTTATCAATTATTTAGTGATGATATGATGGATGATGATGAAGAAGATGATATTTTAGAAGAAGAAGAAAGACAATAAGCTAAATAATAAATTGAATAATTTAAAAGTGATTTATAAAATATTGATGAATTCACAGTTTTCAGAAATACAATATTGGGTTTTAAAACTTAGTAAAATTTATATTTCTAATATTTTAGAAATCCATAAATTATTGAATTAATTAAACAAAACCTGGATAATTCTACTCAATAAAAATTAAACAATTATTTAAAATATATGAGAATTGATAATAGTGAAAGTGCAAGAAAAGTAAAAGATCATATTTATTATTAGGTTATGACAACTGGTAGAAGAAAACCTCGTTAAATCATATGAAACAATTATATGTAAATAAATAGTTTTTCATTATTAATTAAGATATATCTTATAAACTTATTCCTTAATAACTTAATTTTATCAACAACTTTCTAACCATTTTAATTTTCATTAAATATATTAACAATATGAGTATTATATAATTAATTATATAAAATATAGAGAATGAATTAAAGAGAAAGAAGAAGAATATATTCCTTATAAAATAGAGATCCAATTAATATCTTGAAATCTCGTATAGATGTCTCCATGGATAATTTATAAAAGAGAAAGACTTTAAATTCTGAGTTACCTTAATTAATATAGAACAAAATGCAAATGGCTAATTACACAGCTTCTATGTAATTATAACAGAAAACTAAATATGAACAATTATCTTTAAAGATTCTAAAGGAACCCTATAGGGCATTAAATATCAAGTAAAGAATGATAACCAATCATTTTACGTTATAGTAAAAAATTTAAGACACTATAGCTTATGATTGCATCAAACATATTTTATCAAATACAGATAATACAATAATTAAGGGATAAGTAATACTTCCTGTTTAAAATGAATAATAATATACTATTCCAGTGTCAAGATAAGGTAGTAGAGTAGTGAAGTATGATCATTATGGATTAGTATTTGGAGGACATTCTCATAGAGAGAATATTGAAATTCATGCAATTTCATTATTGAATGGTTAATGGAAAAGGAAACAAGAATTTTGTTAATCATAAATAGAATAATTGAAATTAAGATAGATTCTAAATCCAAATTTGAGATTAGGTTGTTATTTTAGTTTAAATATTGATGAAAATAAAACAATTTATGCTTTTGGTGGAGAGAAGAATACAAATAGTAGAAGGACAACTAATATGGTAACTAAGATAAGTTTAGAAGATGATAGATTAGAATGGCAATAATATCAAACTTAAATTGGTTGTCGTAGAAATCATAGTGGAATTTATAGTCATAATCATCTTATTATTATTGGTGGACTAGATGATAGTGAATTAAATACGAAATTTTATAATGATTTTTAGATGATAAATTTGATTAATATGAATTGTACTCAATTTTATCCAAAGTTTTATTAGAAATAAGTTATTTAAAATGATCATCCTTTTTAATTAGGAATAGCCTATCATAGTGCAACTTTAGTAGGTAATCCATATTTAAGAATGAATTATGATTTCTCTTCAAATACAAAAAAGGAAGAATAAGTTGATTAATTGTTTACAAAAGAAGGCATTTATATTTTTGGAGGGAAGGATAGTGAAGACAATCTATATAATGAGTTATATCAATTAATTATTGATACTTATCCATCAGTATTATAGATTGTGGAGACTTTAGGTTAGAGACCATCTGGTAGAAGATCTCATAGTATGAATTATGATGAAAAGATAAGTGCATTATTATTATTTGGTGGAACAAATGAAATGGAATGTTTTGGAGATTTGCATTTGTTATTTTTAAAGAATTATACTTGGTAGAAAGTATAATTACAAGGGTATTTGGAATATCCATTTAGATATGAACATTGTAGTGTTTATAATGAAGATAAGTTATTTATATTTGGAGGTTTAAGCTAAAATGGATTTTTAATGTATAATCCTATTTAAATATAAATTAAATTTAAAACTATTCGTAAACATAATTGAATCTAATTTATACATTTTTATTTATAGTAAATATACATTTCAAACATATGTAAATAAATAAAGTCTGTTGTTTTGGAGCAGGTTATGTGGGAGGACCAACAATGGCTGTGATGGCCTCTAAATGTCCAAAACAAACATTCGTTGTTTATGACATAAATGAATAATAAATTAACAAATGGAATAACAAGCAATATCCAGTATATGAGAAAAATTTAGATGAATATATAAATTAAACATTGGATAACAATTTAATATTCACATGTGATATTGATATTGCTTTAAAGGATTGTGACATCGCCTTTTTAGCTGTCAATACTCCAAGTAAAAAGTATGGACTTGGAGCTGAATCATCATTGGATATATCATACATAGATAGTTGTCTATAAGAGATTAAAAAATACCCTTTAACTAAAAAGTTAATATTAGTAGAAAAATCAACTGTTCCAATTAAAACTTGTGATTATATAAATGCTGTTCTAAAGGATAAGAATATTTGTGTTCTATCTAATCCTGAATTCTTAGCTGAAGGCACTGCTATCCAAGATCTTCTTAATCCAGACAGAGTCATTATTGGTGGGGCTATTGAATACGCTTAGTAATTGGCATCATTGTATGAATAATGGGTACCAAAGGAGAAAATCATATTCACTAATATATACTCAGCTGAATTAAGTAAAATTGTTGCAAATTCTTTCCTTGCTCAAAGAGTTTCTTCAATCAATAGTATATCTATAATTTGTGATAAAATTGGTGCTGATGTTAATGAAAGTAATTTGATCAGACTCTCTTAATTTATTAGTTTCTTAATGCGTAGGGAGCGATAGTAGAATTGGTAATAAATTTTTGAAGACATCAGTTGGATTTGGTGGATCATGTTTAAAGAAAGATCTCTTATGTTTAATTTATTTATGTGAATCACTATAATTGGATGAAGTAGCACAATATTGGAGATAAGTGTATTTACTAAATGAATTTTAAAAGCAAAGATTTTATAATCTTATAATTACATCTATGTTTAATAGTCTAAGAAATAAAATTATTGTTATTTTGGGAGTAACATTTAAAGCTAACACCAATGATACAAGAGAAAGTGCTTCTTTGATGATTATTCAAAAATTATAAGAAGAATAGGCAATATTGAGAATTTATGATCCCTAAGGTAAAATAGATAAGTTGGAATAATATTAAAATTTGGATGGTATATTTTAAGGGGCATCTGCTATAGTGATATTAACAGAATGGGAAGAGTAAAAATGATAAGATTATTATGATAGGTTTACAAAAATAGATTATGCTCAAGCTTATGATTAAATGGCCAAACCTTCTTATTGTTTTGATGGTAGGAATTTATTATAAGGGGATATAATGAAGTCTCTTGGATTTTTATATTACGGATTAGGTAGAATATGAATTTGAAATATTTATATATCAAAGTATGATTTATTTATAAAATTATCTTTAATGTCTGAAAAACAATAGTAATATTGGCCTATTTTTACAGAGAAAGATGAGATCAAAACGTTTTGGAATAAGAAATCTATCAATTTTGCTAAATAAACAATCTCATATTAGCAACTAATGAAAAGAATTAGTTGGAAAAGTAACAAACCTACCGAATATGAATTTATATTAAGTGAAGAAGGAGTGTTATTTTATAAGAAAAATAATAAAGTGAAGGGATATGTTTAATTGAATGAAGATATTAGCTTAAAATTGATTGATCTAAAGATTTCAAACAAAAAAACAGACGCTGTTAAGGTTATAAGAATCAAGAGAACTAAAGATATATTTATATATATATGGAATTAAGATTAGTATTATATAATTGTATTACTAATTTTAGTTAGTATACCTTTCAATTCCTGAAATATTTGTGTTAATTTTGTTTTGTTTAAAATTTAGATGAACTCTATACATTATAAGATATTATAGGAAAAGGTGGATTCTCAAAAGTGTATACTCTTACACCAAATATCAGACTCCCAAATCAACCCTTCAATTATGCTGGTAAAGTTTATAATAAAAACGAATTATTATCTAAAAAAGACCTTAAAAAATTTTATCATTTCATTCGAAGCGAGTGTTATGTATTAAAAAGAATCAATTATCCTTATGTACTTAAACTATGTGAAATCATTTAAATGGATGAATTACTAAGTATTAATTATATTCTATTCATTTTTAGTTTTAGTAACAGAATACATTAAAGGAGGTTCCCTCTATCAATATTTAAAAGATAGAAAACGGCTAACAGAACTAGAGTCTACTCAGATCTTACTCAAATTAGCATTAGGCTTGTAATAAGTTCATAAGTATTTAAATTTCTTTATTGATTAAGTCTAGGATATGTTCATAGAGACATCAAATTAGAGAATGTTCTTATAGATAAAGATTAGTTGAAATTAATAGATTTTGGATTTGCAGAAAAAATATGTAGAGAAAGACTTGTAAATGGTTAAGGAACAGCTGGTTATATTGCACCAGAAGTGTTTATGAAATAACCGTATTAAGAAGTAGGGGATATTTTTAGTTTAGGAGTCATATATTATTCAATATTATCAGGTAAGGCTCCATTCAGATCTAATTCATATGATGCCTTACTTAAGTTAAATAAAGAATGTTAGATTGACTTTTCAGAATTAAGATTCCCTAATATTAGCTAAAAGACTATGTATCTTTTAAAAGCTATGCTTTAAAAATAACCAGAAAACAGAATTAATTTGTAAGATCTCTTAAATCAACTAACTATTTCTTAAATCTTATCCCCTACACATAATATGGCTTCTACACAATCTGTAGTTGATGGCTCTGTAGGTTTAAGCTTTAATCATTTGTAATCTAAAAACACTTTAAAATCATTTTATTAAAATAGTCAAAATTCATTCACTGACAACCATAGTTAAATCTCCGAATAAAAACCATCAAAACAATAAAGGAATAGAAGATATAAGAGTTAGAGCTTAGATAAGAAAGGAATGTTTTTTAAATCATCATCTTTTAAACCATCACTTAGAAACATATATCAAATTAAAATTGAGTAATCTGATGATAATATATCATAAACAGATTTAGAGTAACCAATACCTTAAGAAAATCTTCGATTTCTTTAAACTTCTTATCAAACATTAAACTACAAAAAGTTTATTTGATTTATATAATAATGTGTATTTATAAATATATATCAAGTAGAGAGTTTTCATAATAAACTTTCTTTAAATTATTTTTCTTTTATTTTATTCACATACCAAAAATTGATGATCTACTATTCTAAATTAATTAAAAATATATTTATCTATATATGATATTCTATAGAATATATATATTCATATTAATATATGTGTAAATTTGATTTTTTAATAGTCAAAATTATATGTTAATTAATATTATCATAGATTAATGTTTGAATAGCATACTATTTTATTAAATGCAATAATATTGATTGGACTTTATTTAAAAATAGTGCTGTCTTAATGTGAAGTAAGAATATTGGCAAATTAAGATATTTTGAATGCTAATAATAATGATAATGTATTAATTGAAAGAGACTCTTAAGAGAAATTAAACTTTCTGGATGATTAAATTTAATAGTAAATTTAAATTGTATTAGATTAAAATGAGAAGATAATATCAACATAGTTTATTGAGTCTCTTTATGATGATTTTGATGCAGAGAAATGGTTATGTTAATTAATTTAGATTAAAAATCAATATTACATCTCTTGTGTTAGTAATATTTATATTGATGATGAAGGTAACACTAATTTAAAAAATGAAGAAAATATTAGATTAAATATTGAAATATCTAAAGATGATTAATGTCATCAATTTTATTTAGAAGAAAACTTAGAATTCTTAATATTTTGCAATACAAAATAAAATTTAAACATATATTCTGTGAATCTATTAAATTAAACTAAGATTGAATTATCCTAAGAATATATCTTTGAAAAAGGCTATTTTTGTCCATCTTTATAGTTTCATAGAATTAATTTTGGAAATTACCTTATAGCCTATATATAATGTGAAAATTGGCAAATCCTTAGATATCAAGATAAAATAATATCTGTTTTATCTAATTCTTAATTAATGTCTTAAATATAAATTCTTAATTCAGCAGAATTTTGTAGAGAGTAAATAGTGCTAATTGAAGATCATACTATTTATTTATTTAGATTAACAGAATCTTTTAATTTTTTAAATTCTGAAACTAATAATAATCAAATTTTTTATAAAGTCTTATTTTCAAAGTCATGTCATTTAGAATACTATATATTAATTTAAGCTATAGATAAGCACAAATCATTATATGAAAAATATAAAGAAATTCAACAATCTATTGATTAAAAGGTTATTTAAATTTATTCTGCATTTAATTATTTATTTTTTTAATACTATAATAAAGTATAAATTTTTTGGCTTGGAGATTAAACATTTGAAATCATTTGTTTTCCTTAAAGTATAGTTTTTATAGATTAGTATAATTTAATCTATATAATTGATAAGTAGAATTAGTTGATTAGTTTTTATAAAATTAATAAATTGTTTAACTATTTATAACCTACTAAAAGATATGTATATGAAATACCAAAATCATATTAAAAAATTTATACATCTTTATGTTATGAAATTGTTTATGAGGATATTAAAACAAAATCTAATATTATAAATTATGAGTTCAAGAATGAATGTCAGTCAAAAGAGGAAATCATTGTTAAAAAAGATAACTACAATTTTCCTAATTATTAGGATTTTTTAAATCTTGGAGAATACTAAAATACAATCAAGTATATTATATAGAATGTATATTTGAAAGAATTTTGTCCTGTTATTGAATAATATTTAGAAGAAAATGAATTATTGTATTATCAATCAAAAAACTTAGAAAATTATGCTATTCTTAATTCAAATGATACTCTCTAAGTTTTATTTTGCAATAACCAAAGCTCATTAGAAAAAGATGTTAGAAACTACCAGGTAATTCAATTTTAAAATGGAATCCTTTTGATTAAGAAAAAGTTATAAAATACCAAAGTTATTTATTATTCAATTGGTCTAAATTAACAACATTAAATTTATATAAATTCTTAAATTTAGGAAATACTTTAATTTAAATAGTATGTAATATTATAGACTGAAAATTAAGAAGATTATCTTTTTTTGGATATTTTAAATGCTAGATAATGTGAGATTTCAAATAAATTAAAAAATATGTTAAATTTATTAAATAAAGATTAAATTTAAAGTAAAATGATTAGATTTTATTTTGATTAGTTTCCTTTATTTTAAATTTATTAAATCAATAAATAATTGGTTATAGAAAAAGCAGATTAAATTTATACATATAAAATTAATGACATAAGTGTCATTTACACTGGTGAATCTATGAAATTATCACATAATGAAATACTTATATATAAATATTGTGTAATAGCTATACACAATAAATATAATATAATCAAATAATATATATTAGATGATTCTCTAAAACTATTAGAAAATTACTAAATAGAGGATTATGATTTAATTAGACCAATAGTATTCTAAAACTCAAAGGAATTTTTAGTAATTGCATTGATTCAATAAGATTAAAATTATTTGTTTATATTTTAAATTTATTAACCTCTTAAATTAATAAAGATTTTAAAAATAGGTAAATTAAAATTTCATTTAATGAATAATCTACTATATTATTATAATAAAGATTAAGAAATCCAGATTTTTAATGTCAAATATATTACAATTTCATATATGAATCTTGTTGAAAGTTAGAAATAAATAGTTTTAAATGAAAAAATACCAATATTATTTAAACATTAAACAGAGGAAAACCCACCAGATCAATTATATTTGGAAATAAAAGTTAATAATTATTGTAGAAAGTTGAATTCATAACAAAATGAACAAATAATTTATGTTGAAGAAAAAGAGATGATAAGAATTGAAAATATAGATATGTTCTATGGTCCTATTGATTAACTATCATTAAGAAATAATCCTAAATTATAATTGGTAGGGCCATTTTTATAATAGTAAGAAATTGAAGAATGTCTAATATAACAAGAAGTTTGTTATACAAATATGGTATTTGAATAAACTGTTAATGATGAATAATAAACATTATTCTATAGTTTAAGGTATTATAATAAATATAAAATTCTGCCATTTTATTCTATTAAAAATTTAAAAGATAATGAAATCATTACTAAAAATGCTTTCATTTTTAGAAATAATTTAGTATTATACTTCTCTGAAATAAAAAAATTAGTATTTGCTGATGTTTTACATTTTAATAGGACTTAATTGAATTAATAATATGATAAATTAGAATTATAGGGATTTATAAAAGATGACTTTAAGTAAGCTTAATTTTATCAATCAAATAGTTTGATATTAATAAAAACAAATTAATCAGAAAAATTACTAAAAGTAACTCAAAATCAGATAGCTGAAATTGAAATAAATTTTAGTTTATCTAATATTCTATTTATTGAGAATTCTGCTAATCAATATATAGAAATGAAAATCATAAATAAACTAGATGAATGTTATTTCTTATTCAATATTTTTTAGTTAAAGAGTACTGATTTACTTATAAAAGATTCTATTAAAATTGAATAAGATAAAATAGAAAGTATTCTTTTTACACAAATTGATATCGAAATATATTAATTACAAGAATATTTTAAAAACTAATTACTTGAATCATATCTAATTGAAAATGAAATTGAAATAAAGATCTTACAAATAGGATTGAGTTTTTCAGTAATAAGCAAAATTACAATAAATTTAAATAAATAGAATAATATTTATGATACTATCTATGATATTTAAAGGATAATTAGGCATCCAAAATCATAAGAATTGCTAAATTTTGAATATTATGATAATAATATTCTAATTTTATCTAATTCAAATAATAAAAAATCATTTTTATATGATTTAAGATAGATTAAATAATTTTATGATTATATTTAAAAAATAGATGATAATTTGTTAAAATTATATCCTTTAAATACTACACATTACTTATTTTATTTTAAAGAGATCAATCAATTCATAATAGGAGAAATAGGATTTGAAATCTAGAGATTAGAAGACCTAGATGATGTTGAAACTTGTATTATAAAGGCTTCAAATTAGGTATCGCAATCTTAATTCACATTAATAATAAAAAGAGTTATGTTTTTATCAAAAGAAACTAAAATAATGACAACATCTGCAATATTATTAGGATCATTCTATTTATTAAGAAGAAATAAATTAAAACAATAAGAAATTTAGAATCAGATATCTATAAATTCATAAATAAGTCAATTAAATAATGAATGATTGATATATATATATTTAGATTCTAATTCTTAAAAATAACATTTGAGTATTTATTAGTTCTATATTACATTTTATTAATTATTATAGATTATTTTTAACAATAAGAAAACCTTAAGTTTTATGATTTTGTATATAATATTAATAAAAAGAATAAAAATGAATTAATAATCAAATGTACCATAAAATGTTATGGATTTTTACTTAGACCAATAATTTGAAAGGAGGTTTATTGAAAAATGTTGGGAGGAATCAAAAGGTAAAGCTTTTGAAATGGATGATTTGATATGGAAAGGTTAGGAAAATACCTTTCAATAAAGTAGTTCTCAAGTAAAAGTATATTGAATCAAAAAGAATGCCAATGCTAATTAGGATTGGTTTGAGGCTAGTTAATTAGACAAACATGTGTCAAAAATCATGTAATAAGTGATAAAGAAGAAACCCAGATAGGCTAATAATTTTGTAGGAATTGAGAATCTAGAGAGTGATAGCATTATAAACATCATGCTGTAATTAATTCATTAAATTCCTTAACTTTATGAGTTTTTGTTAAGTATAAAAAGTAATACTTCTAATGTAAAAATCTATTAAATTGAATTAGAAATCTGGATAATTTTTAAGATGCATATAATTGTTATTAACATAATTGACAACATCTAATACAAGTTTGATCAGTTCAAAGTAACTATTGAATGCCTCTATTTGGAATCAAATAGATAAAGATTATTTAGATATCTAAAAAGATCCTATTCTGATATTTTTCTTTATTTTAACAAAAATCGATTAATCTTATAGAGAATTAACTAACAGTCTTTTAGGAAAAAATGAGAATTTTTTTATCAGAGAATTCAATTCTATATTTAATACTATAATTATGAACCAATAGATATAAGAGAATATATACATATTAGTGACAGAAATGAAGTAAGTTAGTGTTTTTAGTTTTTTATATGAATAATACAAATAAAAAGTATATGCATTACCATAGATATTATGCATTTAGATAAAAAGAAATTAGAATAATATTAGTAAGATAAATATAATAAATTTAGAACTTGAATAGGCATTCGATATAAATTAAGTATTAGAACTTGGATTTTTGAAAATTAATTTTTAAGGATAATAAGTTAATAATGAAACAAAGATATATGATTTAGAAAAATTACAAATGGATATAAGAAATTTTAGTAATACTATTCAAATGTTTACTGAAGAGGGAACTTAATAAGATATTATTAAAATCTTATAATCAAAATTACATACATTAGAAACTTTGTCAATGTAAAAATTTGACAATATATAAAAATAAAAATAAGCATTAGAATTCTCATATCATGATAACAACACTAAATATGCAGTTCATTCGATTACAGTTCAAAAAGGTTAAGTTAGTAATTCTTCAATACTCTATGTCTATAATTTCAAATCTCAAAAATGGTTAAAATTTTAAAATAGTTAATGTATAATTGTTGAAGATGAGGAAGTTACAATATATTCTTAAAAGCATGCTTTATTTGTCACCTATATTAATACAAATTTAATACCATAATTTATTAAACATTAAGAGAATTTGATTGAAATTGGTAATATAGTATCAGCAAATGATAGTTATGATTTAAATTAAAATCAAAATTTAAGAAATTTAATACCTAAGGATATTTTAATGGAAGCATACAAAATTAATTTAGAAAACAAAAAATAATTTAAATGATTTTTATGATTATTATTTATGCAAGTAAAGGATTAGATTATATATTCTATTAATATAATTATTCTTAATATTCATATATTAATCATTTAAATGAAGAAAATATTTATATTATTTTTATTAGTTTAAATTATATAAGATTATTGTTGTATTCATATATAATTATATATCCAAATTGTTAATAAATAAAAATAAAGTTAGATTTGTATAATAAATAATGATTTTATAGAATTTTGTTTTAATCATTTTATAAGTATTAATTTTATAAAATATGGATGATTAGATTTAAACAATTAGATAATTATAATTAACTATTTAATTGGCTTCCAATGAAAATAAAGAACTAAGAGAAAAATGGTTATTGTTGAGATCATAATATGATCCTGAATTAGATACTAAAATAAATAATCTTGAAAAGACTATCTTATTTCAATAATAATAAATTGCTTAATTATAACAATAGAAACTAAATAGTAGCAACATAAAAGACTTAAATGATGAAGATGAATAATATTAAATTCAATAATTGAATTTGAAAATAAATGAATTAAATTAGTAATTAATCAAATATTAAGAAAATGTCTTTCAAATTTAATCATAAATAAGAAATTGTTAGGAAGAATTGTCTGATTTACAACAAACTTTAAATTAACATTAAGTAGATAATACAATATTTAAAAAGAAAGCTTAATAGATGGAATAATTATTATCAAAAGTTAGAGGATAGGAACCATAATCCTTATGTTATATAAATGAAATTGATAGATTAACAATAAAATTATAATAATTATAGAAAAATAGCTAAATAAAATCAAGATTAACATATTAAAGTTGATAATATTTAAATAACATTATAAATCAATATAAATATTAATAAATTCTAATTAAACTACTCCTATTTAGATAAGTTAGAAATTATAAAGCATTATTTTAATTTCATATATTTTTATATAATTCATGGATTTATGTCATGATATTCTTATATTCAATTTTCTAATAATCATTCTTGATAATTCCTACTTATTGAATTGAGAAACAAGGAAGAAATCAAAGTAATTCTTATGATTTTGAATAAATAAAAACTATTATAATATATCTATGTAATTATAATAATTTGAATGTTTTAAATAGAACAATTTGTATTTTGATTATTAATTTATTCAAATATGTAAAGTGAGAGAATAAAATCGAAAAAAAGAGTTAAGTATTACGAATTTCTATATGATTCTAAGATTGGTTCAGGTGCTTATGCAAATGTGTATATGGGAAGGGATATTTATAATGATTCAAGTACTTAAATTTGATAAAAATAGCTGTGGCAATAAAAATTATTAGTAATAATTTAATTAAGAGCGATTACACATCTCAACAAATAAAGAGAGAAGTTGAGATAATGAAATCATTAAATCATTAGAATATTGTGAAATTATTGGATGTATTTCATAGCACAAACAATATATATATAGTGACAGAATATTGTAATGGAGGAGACTTAAAAACATATTTAGGATCAAGAACATTAAGTGAAGAGAGAGCCCTTTAAATATTTAAATAAATCTTAAATGGATTATAAGAATTATTAAGGAATGGAATAGTTCATAGAGATTTAAAACCTGCAAATATTCTACTGTAGGATGGTATATTCAAAATTACAGATTTTGGATTTGCAAAACGAGTATAAATGGATTCAACAATGTCATCACTTGTTGGAACCCCTTTGTATATGGCACCTTAAATCTTAAAGAGATAGCCATATACAAGTAAATCAGATATTTGGTCTCTTGGATTGGTTTTGTATGAAATGATTTACAAAATAACTCCTTGGCATTCAACTAATGTAGTTGAATTATTGAATAGATTAGATAAAGAACCATTAAAATTTCCATTTTAACCATAAATTGAATTATTGACAAGATAAATAATTATAGGTTGTTTAGGTAAAGAAGAGAAGGATAGATGGGGATGGGATTAATTGATGAAAGCAATTTAAGGGAATGAAAAATAGTAATTAATGAATATATATATGACAAAAGAATTGTATTATGTCACAAAGAAATAATAAATGCATAAACAATAATCTTAATAAGATTTATAAGAATATTGTAGAACAAGTAGCACATAATCATCTCCTATAAGATCAATTAGTACAAAGAGATAAAAAACTATTACTAATGAAAATAACAGTAGTGTATTGTTATCTGAATTGATAAAGAAAAAACAATAAATCTATAAGATTTTTGAATTACTTGAGAAGTAACTTGAAAAATTACCAATATTAAAATTGGATTAATTCAAATAATATTTGTAAGAATAGAGATCAAGATTAGTTTGTGCTAACATTGAATAGATATATAATAAAGAAGATGAAAGAGAATTAATTTAGTAATAGAAGATTCTATAATAATATTCAAGTAATTTTGGTATTTAAATTATGATACTTCTCCTTAAGAGTTATCGTAAGATTATTATAAATAATTATTAAACAGGCACTTTGAATTTGGATTATGCTGATAAATAAACAATTGAAAATTGTACTGTTTTAGTTTCAAATCAATACAAGTGATTATAGTATATTTATATATTATTTTAATTTTAATGTCAACATCAAGATTAGCAATTCGATTATATACTTATAGAGGTTATTCTGCTCCATGGAGAGTAAGCATTATGCTAAAATTGAAACAACTTCAATTCTAACCATTTTTTGTAAATTTACCTAAAGCTGAGTAATTATCAAATATGTATTCTTAAATCAATCCACTTTAAGTAATTATAATAATTTCTATCTATTTATAGATTGTTCCTACATTAGAAATTAATGGATAATTATTACATGAGAGTATGGCAATTGCAGAATACCTAGAAGAAGAATTTCCAAGAAATAAATTATTACCCAAATCTCCTTTAGAAAAAGCTATTGTTAGGTAATTCATAATATATCTTTAGATCTATGTGTGAAACTGTAAATAGTGGCATTCATCCATATCATGCATCTAGATTTTATAAATATGTTCACAATTATGTGAGTGATATAAATAGATAAGAAATTTCAGAACCTTTCTTAGAAAGAGGATTTACAGGTTTATATTAAATATCATTTATTATAGCATTAAATACTTTAGTAGAAAAACATGGAGGGGATTATGCTTTTGGGAACCAAGTGACAATAGCTGATGCATTCTTGTATCCAGCATTTAGAGGAGATGATGTATCATATTTAGTCAATTTGGATAAATATCCAGCCCTTAAAAAAGTTGTTGAGAATTTGGATCAACTACCAGAATTTGCATATGAACATCCAGATTCTCAAGGATGACATTATTAATATGAATAAATATTTATTACAATATGTAAATTTCTTAGATTATTGTATGTATGATTTTTTAGGAGGACCAAAACCAATATAGATAAGATGGATAGTCAATATTTTTAAAGCATTAACTTTACCATATATTGTATTGTTGATGTATTATATGTAACACTTTGAATTTGGAACTTATTTATATGTATTTTATTGTTTTATTTAACTTTTTAGTTATCATTACATGGAAGTTATGGGATACTTTGGATAATAAAAGATTATAGTTTTCCAGATTAGAATTTCTAAAAATACACAACAATTCCATCAGCAATTGGTGGATGTTTAATTTTAATTGCTTATTGGATTTTACCACTAATATAAGTAACTGGGTTTGGTTAGAATTAAATTAAACCCAATTTAGTATGTTTCATAATCATATTGTATGTATTTGGTATTATTTTAATGATGTCAAGTGATTGTTAGAAATATTATACATTAAAATACAAGAAAGGTTTAATCAATGATGGATTATTCAAAATGAATCGAAATCCAAATTATACAGGAGAGATTTTAATATATCTTTCATTTGCAATTATTACAAACAATGCTTTAAGTTACTGTATTGTTTTTATGTCATGGATTTTTATGTTTTTTCCATTTATGTTGAGAAAAGAAATTTCATTAAGTCAAAAAGAGGGTTGGAATGAGTATTATAAATAAAGTTATCTTGCAATTTGGAAATTCTGTTAATCTGATATTATAAATATTGGATTATATAATATGATGATTATATTTATAATAGTATTAATTCTATGATGAAATTAATAATTATAATATTTAATATAGAGTTTTTAGATTACTATTTGGAAACATGATCAATTTGAAGATGGAAATATTTTTATAATTTTTAATTTCTTATTTATTCAAATGTAATTAGAATTATTATATTTAAAATTATTATATGTTTTAACCAAATATCAAAATATTTCTTCATACATCAAATTAAGTACTCAAATACTTTCTCTTAAACTTGTCTTATTAATGATTTCTCAGATTTATCATTTGTAATAACAATATCTGATTTTTTTATTTTGATTTCTGCCTTCATTTACGATTCAATTCTTTATAAAATTTATTCTTCAGTCAAACCACTTCTTTCTTTTACTCTATAATAGAATACTATAATAACCTTTTAATAATTTCTTCTTGACTAGTCACAACTACTGTAATAATTGGAAAACAGAAATACTCTAAGACTTTACTCTCAAATAAGAGTGGTGCATCAATAACTACATATTAATCTTTTTGAACAAAACATATTTTCCATATGGATTTAGCTATTTCTTTAAAAATGAATTTATTTGTAATAGCTTGCAATTATTTCCTTTTTTGACTATCTTAAAATACTGAAAATGCTAATCAATACTAGTTACCCACTTCTGCTAACTTCTATCTATCAATTGGCTATCCATCTTGTTGACCTGCTAGAATAGAAAGTCCGAATCTCTGAACAATTAATTTATATGCAGGTTTACCAGGTTCAACAATGTCTCTGGCAATTTGATCACAATCGATTACTTAGACTTTAAGGAATTCATTGAAGTATTTAGCTATGGTTGATTTACCACAACCAATTCCTCCAGTAATACCTACAATTTGAACTCTTCCAATATAATGTTGAATCCCAAATATTATGATTAGGGTTATTATGAATCTTACTATTTTGTCAAAGAAATCAAAAAAATTCCATGTAATCAAAACATTGAATAAATAAACTGCAATGAAAAGGAATATCTCATCAACTCGATATCTATAATTTATATGTAATAATGTGTTACCTTCTTCTAAATTTACGTTTGTTTAGGTTGATAATTATGCATAATAGACATAATAAGGCTAAATAGAATGGATAACATATATATTCTATTATATGTATTTCTATATGTTCAGAATGAATAATCTCTTCAATTATTACTTATTCTTCACTATTTAATTATTCCATTAAAATATTCGTTTTTTGTTTTTATTAATATATTATGAAATCAGCATTGCTTCTTTTAGTCATTGCTTTGGCAACAGCTTCAACAGTTACAGACCTCACTTAGAGATTATCAAACTATGCCGATCATCCTTTTGGATCTTCCATGATTAACTTAGTCAGTGTTAATATGAAAACTGGTGGATCACTCAATGAACTTAAATAACTTCTCTAACAAATCAAGGATGAATTAATTGCACTTACACAATTATAAGATTAAGAAAATGGCACTTTCACAAGAAGATCTCAAGTTGACCTTGCTAAACTATAAGCCACACTAGAATAAGCTTAATAAGATCTTGATAATCAAAGATAAGAATAATCCAGTCTTAGTAATGAATTGACTACCCTTTAAACCAGAGTTAAAGAAGATTAAGCAGCCCTTGACAGAAATGGCAGAGGCAGCTCTGATGCTTAATCTAGACTTGATGCTGAAAATGCCGATTTTGCTACCAAATACTCTGATTATAATGATGCTATCTTAGCATGCAAAGAGGCCTAAAGATTATTACTTAATTTAAGAGGAGAAGGTGCATCTCTTATTTAATTAACGTATTATTAAATATTTATATATAGTCAAGACACTAAGAGCAATCTTATTTAAACTAAAGAGAACTTCTAAAAGATCAAAGAGATTCTTGAAGCTCATACAAAAAAGAGTTCACTCACTCTTTTCTAACCAATCATTGAAGGTTTGGCTGAAATGACCACAAAAGTAAATCCAGAAACTTTGAATAATGTTTTGAGTTTGGTTGCTAGATTAATTACTGCCTTATAAGAAGGTTAAGATTAATTAGAAGCTAATCATAAGACTTAAGTAGAAAATCTTAGTAGATTGGGAGATGATTTAAGAAATGAAAAGCAAACTCTTTAAGTCTCTTTAGCTACAGCCAACAATAGACTTAAAGAAATCCAATCAAGATTAAATGAATTAGATGGTTTAATCAATATTTCTAATGCTATTGTTGAAGTCACCTAATTAAATATCTAGGATGCCACTAGAATCAATGAATTAGAAGATTAAGAATACAGCAATCAAAAAGTTAGCAGGTATCTATTATTATTATTCTAGATAAACTGAAATCGATATAGTAGATAGATTAATTGAATATATCAATCAAAAACTATCTGAATGATCAATAAATCAAATGCATATATTCAATTTTTATTAATAATCCAATTATATTTAATATTTATTTCATAATCTCATAAGTTACATACCTATTGATTTTTATAGAGATGCCTTTTTTTATTTTTAAATGCTCGTCTTCTTTATTGGTTATGCTTCTTTTTTACTTTATTAAGACTCCTCTTTATGAGATCTTGAAATATGACCACTAAAAATTATATTATACAATTTTTACCCTAAAGAGCAAGCCTTTTGAAATGTTAAAGGACAGAATTTACATTTATATATCTTTTAAAATCGATTCAAATTTTTGTTAAAGGTAAAGCAAATTTCTCCTTCATCAATTTCAGTATTTCTAAAACTTAACTTTTATTATGATTGATTTTATAGTAAGTGACTCAATCTTCCCACTATCCCATTTATGTTTTATTAGATATATACTATCTAGAGTTTCTCAAAATCATCAGGTTTACCTAACTCAACTACTTATTAATAAGAATTATATACCAATTTATTCATCTTATATTTCTTTCTTTAAATTAAATACTTTCCATTAATTACTGTTATTATTAGAATAATATTTTTGTTATTGTTTCTCACAGACTTCCTACTCAATTGCTATATTGTTGTTCTTACAATTCAAGAAATTCAGCTACTATATTTTAATATCTTGCATTTTCGATTCCAATTTTTCCATTGTCAAATCTAAAGCAATCATTTATTATTGTATGTTTCCCAATTAATTATAAAAGTTTTCATCATCCTCTCCTTTCTAAAGTAAAAACTCAAACAAAATCTTACTTGTTAGACTTAACTAAAAGTCCCAAAATAGGGCATTGCTTTTTGTTATTTAGCACTATATTCTTTTTGATCAAGTAAATCATCAAATGCTGGAACTTAGCTATTTGCCTTAGTTTGCTTTGAAGAATTGTTATAAACTTATTAACTTTGTCTGGTAAAGATCGATCTCTATTACTTTGCACTTGATTAAAGATATTAAGATGAATTCCAATAATGACCTAATATCAATCCTCTTCTTGGAGTATATTATTAATTTCTATAAGAAGTATCTGAAGGACATTCAAAAATTTCTTCTTACTCAATAAAATTTTGTTTTCTACTCATTTTATATTTAAACTTGTTTTTTAGTTGAAATTTATATAGTTAGGAACAGGCTAATTTTTCAGTCTGATTTCACTTTAATTATAATTTTATTTTATATTATAAAATTTAATTACTTAATTCTATTGAAATAAGTTAGAATTTTAATGTAATTCTAGATGAATTTACAAAATCGATTCTCAGTTATTTAAATAATATTATTCAATCTAATTTATATTTATTCTTAATTTAATTGATGACAAGTGTTATTTAGTCTTCACCTAATGAACTATTTAAAAATTATTTAACTATTGAATATTGTATAGCCATCATTGCAAAAAACCTATATAAACCAACAAAATACTAACCTAATATATTTAAGCAACAATTATGTCAAAACTAATGATAAAAGGCATTCAGTTAGAAAGAAAATAGTTACATATGCAAGGATAAACTTTTAATTCTCCTTCTAAGGATTGTTTCTAGTAATTAAGTAAAAGGCAAATAATGAAATGAAATAAAACTTAATAGAATCCTGCATTTGATTATCTGATATAATTTACAGACTGTTAGTTAATTGCAATAAATAGTTTAGATTACTAAATGAAGTAGTCTGATTAAATTGTGTTTGATTTTAAATAATAGAGAGATGATTAGAAATATTATTGTATTTATCTAATCTATCCTAGAATTAATTGATTAATTTTTACTTTCTCATTTTTTAGTGTATTTTAAAATACTTCAATAGCTGTAGTGAAATTGATACTATATTGATTCATTTTTTAAAAGTTATGAGTTAATAATTCAATGAGTTATTCATCATATTTTTATTGCTATTTAATATTATTAATGGAATTGGTTATTTAATTGATATTATTGAGTATGTTATGATAATTGCAGAGTAGATTGAATTGATTCAAAAACATAGTAAATATCATCCTAGATATTTAAAGTAGAGATACCAATCATGATCACTCAAGGATTCGACATTTTGATGAAGTGATCTATTGTGCATTTGATAATAGCATTTCATCATTTAAAGGACAGCGAATTGTTAATATTGATATTATTATTCATTTTGACAGGAGACAGCATTTAGACATGAAGAATAAGAAGGTATGATAAGTTGTAAAATTAGAAGGGATGAAATTTAAGACTTCATATTAAATAATTATATTATATAAAAGTAGAACTATCTAATTAATTATACATATAAAAAGATTTGTTGATATATATTTAAACAAGAAATTGCTTAATCAATTCTTATTTATTATATTTAATTAGTGTTTCTTTATTTTTTTTAGTGAAATTTAAACAAGCATATTGTCAACACATGAGTATTGTGAATGCTTCTGAAAATTTAATAAACATAAATTCGCCTGACAATTCAAGAGCTACATTAGTATAGAAAAGGTGTAAGATAGATGCAGATTGGAAGAGTACATTCATGTTGTAAACAATAAGAAACAAGGCAGAGAAAAGAGAAGTGTTGATGAAGTGTATAAATAGAATGAGATAATCAACATAAGTAAATATGTGTAGTAATGATAGGTGAAACAGTTCCATTCATTGACTGAAAAGCAATTAAATGTAATAGATGATTTTGGATCAGGACATTCAAAAGGAATTATTAATAAACAAATAAAAAAGTAAGAAACACAATTTGAATAAACTTATTTTGAATCAAAGTTTTAGATTGGTAAATTAAGGGGATTAGTACTTAGATATATAGAGAAACATAACAAAAATTAGGAATGGTCTATAAAACCAAGTCACCCTTTCATTATTATTTGGAATATGTTTAAATTATTTTTTATGGTTCATATTTTCATTTTATTTCCATTAATTGATGCATTTGGAGTAAAATTGGAATAAATGATAGTCCAATAATAATAAATTTTTCTAATGGAATGGTTATTTCTAGTATGTATTTATTAATTATAAATAAGTTATTTGATATTGTATTAAGATTTAATGTACAAATTTATAAGAATGGATAATTGATTAAACAACACTAATATTTAGCATTGTAATATTTAAAGAGTGGATTCTTTTTGGATGCTTTAGGTATTGTTGGATTTTCATTGTTTCTGTTTCAAGATATATTATATATCAAATATATCTATTTTTTTAAGATATCTGAAATTAAAAAGTTCATTAAGTTCTTAAGATATGAATTAGATCCATAAAATAAATACAATAATCATATCAAATTGATTACTCTCTTTGTGACCATATTCCTATTAGCTCATATTATAGTAAGATAACATTTAAATTTATATAGGCATGTTTATGGATAGTTGCTGGTCACAAAGAACCCAGTTGGTTAAGTAATAATGATTTATAAGATGATTAATGGTATATCTAATATCTATGGGCATTCTATTTTGCAATATTAACAATGACTACAGTAGGTTATGGAGATATAGTTCCAGTTAATGAAATTGAATTGATGGCTTGTATCATGATTGTATTATTATCCAGTGCCATATTTGCATACACTCTTAATACAATTACAACAGTTCTTAAAGATATTGATTAGAATAAGAGTTAATTTAATTAAGAAGCAAGAATTATATAAAATTATTTAGTAAAAAAAGGTTGTGATACAGATTTATAAAGAAGAGTGTAATAATATTTGAAATCTTTATTGAAATGGGGTTTGGGTGAATAAAAATAAAATGAAGATAGAATATTCTCTAAATTAAGTCTACCTCTATAATAAGAAATTAATTTATAAGATAAAGGTCAAGTGTTACTCAAATTGCCATTCTTAGTAAATAATTTTAATATTGAATGTATTAAAGAATTAATGTAACATATTTAAGAAGTTTATTATTAACCTGGTGAATTAATTAATCCTTAAGATGGAGTTTATTTATTATATAAAGGATAAGCAGAAGTATGTTGGGGATCCAAAACTAATCCTAAACATATTTGTAATATATTTTAAGGTGATCATTATGGACTATTAAATTTATTTAATGTAGATCAACCTAAGTATTTTCTCAAAAGTTCAGATTTCTCTATTTTCTATTTCATACCAACATAGATATTTAAATAAGTCTTGAAGAATAATGATAAAGAGGTTTTCTGTATGATTAATGATTAAGTAATTTATGAAAATTATTCAAATCTCTATTTATATTGTCCACTTTGCAGACGTGAAGGTCATCTCATTTGTTAAGATATTATTTATAAACCTAATAAAGCTATTGCTATTGCTAAATCTAATAGATATACTATTTAGAACAGATAGAAATATAAACGTTTCTTTGTAAAATAATAAATTTTGAGAAATTACAAAGAAATGTAAATAGAAACCTGTTAATTTATCAATGATAAAAGGGAAATCATGAAAATTAAATATAAATCAATTTTTGATTCTGATGATGCAGATGAAGATCCTGAAAGTTTAGAATTATAATCCTCTCAATCTTGGTAATTTGATGAAGCTTAAATGGATGAATAACAGATTTCTAATCATATCAAACCAAAAATTACTATATAAAAAAGACAAACCCCTAATAAAAGATAAACAATTCTTGGATTTTTAAGAAAGAATACATAAGATGTTATGTAAATCAATTTATAAAAAATTGAAGAAGTTGATACACCTCATAACAATAATTGTACTCCAAACTCAAAAGATAAATTGTACAATCTTGATGTTATGAAATCTTTTATAAAATATTTCAAATAGTACAATTATGACAACATTATTAAATAAATCAATAAAAAAAGAAAAACAATGAAGACAAAAATTAAAAGATTACCAAGATTCTCTTGAATTAATATAATAATATTCCTTTATTTTCATTCATTATTACTTACATCAATTTCATAGTTATTTTATAATTCTTCAAATTATTAAAACTCTCCTCTAATACTTTAATCTTCTATTCCTATTCCAACATACCAATGTATAAATGCCCTTCTCTAATAAAGAATTTATGCTTTCTTATGCATTTAAATTAATTATTCTCCTACTCCTGTACTTCTATGTATAAAAACCATATTCTATTTACAACTTGTGATCTATTAAAATTATTCTTTATTTTTTATTATCTACCCTCCTTATTATTCTGACTAATAAATTGAGTATTATTTATTTTCAACTAATTCAGATAAAGTTCTCGTCAATAATGATTAATTGATTTATTCAGCATATAAAAATGCTTATTTATAATAAGGTTTTTTTGAATTGCAAATATAGGAGTTTTAGGATATAATATCTGTTAATGAATTTTAATTTAGTTTCTTAGAGTAGTCTTTTTAATCATAATTAATTAGAGGTCCAAAAGAGCATGACCAAAGATTTAGTTTATTTTTATTCCATAGATTCATTTTAAGTATTTACAAAGACTTTTATTAATTAAATTTTAATAAAGATATTATTGGATGTGTAATAACCTAATTAACTTCATTATATGAAGGAAATTCAATATCTAATTGATTTTCAATCATATTATAAATAGCTTCATTTTATAATAATATTACACCATCAAATGATTCAACCATTGAATTCAAACTCATTATAGAATTATATGATTCAATAACATTGTTATTATAATTTGGAGATGGAATCAAACAAAAACTAAAACTAATAGACTTATTATATTCAGTCCTTAATAAACTTGAAATAAGAGTAGTATATCCAGAGCCAAAGCCTCCACTAATAGAATGAGTAAATAAAAAGCCAGAAAATTTATCACAATTTTCTATTTATTTTCTAATTTCGTCCTATATTTTTGGAATTAAATCTTTTGCTACACAATAATGTCCTACAGTATAAATATTTCCTGTATCTTCTTTTGTATAAAAGAATTGATTAGGATTAAAATTAGGTTCATCATATTTTGGAACTTAATCATCTATAGTATTTATAAAAATTGATCGAGGTTTATAGGATTAGAGAGAATTTTCTTAAAAAATTGAGGGGAGATCTTCTTAACGATGTTAGGACAAATTATACCATAGTTTTGATCCAATATTAGATCCTGCTCCTCCAATATGGATAGTAATCAATTGATTCATATGATTGTAGATTTTAATAATGAGTTAAATGAATTAGATAAATACTAATATATTATTATATATTTAATGTATGCATAATTATCATGCTAAGAGTCCTTTTCCTTCAGAATGTAACCAATTAGGCATTGTTGGTTTAACTTTTTTTCCCTTAGTTGTTGATTTCTTTTCAACTTATTGTGTTAGTTCAGATTTGAGTTGAGAAACCAAGGATGAATCAAATTTACTCAAGTCTCTATTATTATTAATGGCTTCTAGGGCATAGAATCTTTGGAAATCAAATTTTTCACTTAAATATTGAATTTTTATAATACCCTTCTTTAACAATGGATCCAGGATAAAGATCAATAAATCTATTGACATTTATTTCAAATTATCTTCTGCCTTCTTCTGTTGCTAAAGAATTTAGATTAATTAATCAGTACTTAATTCTGCTTTAAATGGTTTAGGAATATTAGCCAATTCTTCCTTTGAGTATTCAAGACCCTTATACATGACTTCATTATAAAAGTATCTATCCCAAGAGTCAACTCTGAGGAGACCGAAAAAGAGGAACCATTCAAGAGGCAATATTTTCTATAGGATTGTTCCTCTTGCAGTAGGTGTCATATCACTCATGTAATTTTGATAGACATAATTGTCCCATTCATATATATTTTAAACGCTATCAGCCAATGTTCGCTCTCTTGCTTCTGCTTATAACCATTCAGGTGCTGTAGATCCTCTTACACCTCTTTCGACTTTTGAGAATCTTGCCCTCCTTTTATTAAAGAGAATCCAAGTATAGGGATGGAATCCTTCTCTTTAAATATGTTCAAATAGTGGATCTCTTCTTAATTCTCTATCTTAAAATAAAAGTAAATCTTCTAATGCTAATCCTCTATCCAAACCAATGTTTCTCATCCATCGATAGAGGAATCTAAAAATGAAGAGATCATTGAATACCTTGCAAATAAGGGCTCAACCATCTTATAGATGAGACCAGTCCATCCTTAAGTGAATAATTTGACTGCTGATAGTGTCATAGCAGGTGTTCGTGGCTCAGAGTACCATTTTCTGGGAGACCCAATAATTCTTTGTCTATTAAGGGCACGAATGTTGACTAATTATTCATAGACGAGTTTCTCTAGTCTAACCATAGATGTAAATTAAATCTTTTTTTTATTTATATTTACTAATAAATGGACTAAGAAGCATTAATGAAAATGCTACAAACTTTAATGAAAGATTAAGGAGAAATTAAAATTGGAAATTTTGTTATATAACAATAGGAACCTAAAAGAAATAATACAACATTAATTTCACACAACAAAGTTGATATTCCACAAATCAGCAAAAGCCAATAAGACATAGATTACATAACAACTAAACCAAATGATTTTGTGAACGATCTATTTTTCGATGAACCATTGCCAGATTTGGATCAATTCATCGAACAGGAAGTAGTATCAAATATTACAATCGATTCATAAACAAAGCCTAATAATGTTTAAAAATAGTTGTTCTCTAAAACCTATTAGATGATAGATAAATTCAGTCCAAACCTTAAAGAAGAATTTGAAAGTGCTTTAGAATATGATTTTGAATAATTACTCAAACCGAAAACATCAGAATGTTCCTCTGACACTATGACTACCATTACAGATACTACATCCAGTGACCCTTTAAGAACCTTCCTCATGTCTCTTATTCCCATGAAATCTTCTCTCTCTCCCACAAAATAAACTTAGATTGATTTTTTATTTTTGTACTCTCAACCTCTGTTACAAATCACAAATAATTCAACTAAGAAAGTGTTATAGAAATTGGAAATTAACAAAGAATTGAATTCAATTAAAGAAGTATTTATAGATGTCAAAGCAGAAATTAAATTTATGGCAACGCCAGCAAGAATGGATAGATTTGGAGAAGCCCTAGATTTGAATCCAAAAGCATTGCATTATGCAGGACATGGAATCTACATGGAATCAAATTAATAATCATATCTCTTATTTGAGTAATTACATGGAGTAGCATAATTAGTTTCAGCAAATCAAATTCTTTTATGTCTCTAAAAACTCAAATCTCCAATTTTATTTGTGTTTGTAGCTAGTTGTCATTCAAAACTAATAGGAGAAGTATTTCATTAAGCTGGAGCTGAACATGTTATTTGTGTACATACAAAAGAATAAATAATGGATGAAGCCTGTTGTGTTTTTGCAAGATCATTCTATCATAGCTTAATTAAAGGATAATAAACAGTATGTTAAGCTTTTTTAGCTGCTAAAAATTAAGTCAAAGTTGAAGGGAGATTCCCTTATGCAGAAGAAAATAAATTCCTTTTGCTTACAAAATCTCATCATTAATGTTCAACATGGTTACTAAGAGAAGGAGAGTTTAAAGATCTTACTCCTCACTAAAATTAAAATAATCTCCCTTCTCTTGTACCTAATTTCACTGGAAGATCTTAATAAATGTAAGAAGTTATTGATAAAATAATTTAAAATTAACTTATTAATATCAAAGGAGTATTGGGTATAGGCAAAAGTGCATTAATAAAGGAAATTAGTATTTATATAGCATAAAGAAATATTTTCAAAAATGGAGTTGTTTATATATAACTTAATTAATGTGATAGTTTTGATAGTGTAGCTAGTAGATTTGCTTAAATATTCATGCCAAATTTAGCATTACAAAGTAATTATGAAATCAAATAATTGATGGTCACTTAAATAATTTAAACAATTAAAAATTAAGAATTCCTTCTAATTCTTGATAATTGTGATTTAATAATGCATTCTAATGATCGTGATGTTTTTGTGGATTTTCTTGAATTAATTTTAGCAAATTGTAAATGTCATTTATGTATCACTAATAGAAGTGAAATTCTTTAATAAGGAAGAGTAATTAAGATTGAAGGATTACCATAAGAAGAAAGTGCTTAATTATTTATTAATTCATCTTCTAGAGAAATAACTATTTAAGAAGTTGAAGAATTATTAGGTTGTAATGATCTTCTTAATAAATGTACTTTGAATGATAAACTATTGATCTCCAAATTTTCAAATCATGCTTTATTTTAAATTTTAGATGGTCATCCTTAAGGGATTATATTATCATCAGGATTATTGGAGAATTATACTCTAAAAGAATTATATCAATAATTATCTTATAAATAATTGATGGATTTACCTATTTCAAGTAGAGTAACTGAAGAGGAAAGAAGATCACTTAGAGTATCATTAAATTTAAGTTGGGCAAACTTAGTGGAAAGATATGAAAAGGCTGCTATTTTTTTTGGTATGTTAGGATTATTACCATGTGGAATATATAATGATGAATTAAATGATGTTTGGGGACCAGGATGGGAAAAATTGGCAACATAATTAATAAAGAGTTCTTTATTATTATAAAATAAGAAAAATACTAAAACTCATTATTGTTTATATAATTTTACTGTTAAATTTGCAGAAAGTAAATTGGAATAAAAATGGAAAAGAGTATATCATCATAATATTGTTAAATTATTACTAAAAAAATCATAGACTTATTATACACAAATAGGTACATAAGCACATGATTTAAATAATTAACCAAATGAAGATTTTTTAGCAATTGAATAAAATATAAAGAGTGCTATATTTAGAGAATTTGAGATTATATCTAATGGTTAATTTGAGATTGAACCATTAAAATAAGAAAAAAAAGATGTTGAAAATGATGATGAAACATTCAATTTACCTTTAACTAAAGAAAATTTAGAAATGATGCAAAAAAAATATGAAAATAATAGTTAAAAATCTCATCTAAGTTCTAAAGTTGGTTTTACTGGTTCTGTTATATCCAGTTTTAAATATGATTAAATCTCTGATGATCATATGACTAATGGACCAAAAAGAAAATCTTTTTCTATTGCCAAAGTTGGTGTCACAATTAGTGAAGAGGATGAATTATAATCTAATAAAGACTATTCTGATAATGGAATGAGTATCAATTATGTTGAATCAAAAATATTTAAAATCAATTCCAACAATGTTAAACCTGAACCCATAGATGATTCTAGCAATCCTTAAGAATATTAAAACCAATAACTATTTTAATAATCTTAAATACCTTAAGCTATTTAGAGTGATTAAACTTAAGTTCAAAAAGTCATTGATCCAAAATTTGTTAAATCTTCACCTAATCCTAATCCATTAACTTAAAGAGTTACTTTTCTTGATTAATAAATCAAACCTATTACTCAAGATGTTAAAAAGTAAAAATATGAAGAAGATGAGAAATAACATCAACCTTTATCTAAAAGATAAATTATTCCTAAAATGGGAGATAGAGCAAAATCAGGTAAAGCCAAAGAAGAATCAACATCATCTGCTCAATAACCAAATAAAAAAGATAAAATTTAAAAACTAATCTTATATTATTGTTAAATCTTGTTACTTTAAAGAAGATATAATGAATGTCTAAAATTCATTAATTGGGCTTATTAATACTTTTATGGAGATTTATTATTTACTGCTAATATTATCAAAACAAAAGCATGCATATATTATATGCTTAAAGAACCCAAGAAATCTTAATAAGCATTTAAATAAGCAAAGGAGATGTTTATTAAGAAGGGTTGTACATTAGGTGTTGCATGTTGTGAAGCTGCAAGTGGTTACATTTCATTATAAGAACGTAGTTTACTCTAAGCTAAAGTTAATTTTGAAAATGCACTTTAATTTTATGAATAATTGAATCATGATTTTGGAAAACACTTTTTAAATAGATGGCTTCTCTTAGTTAAAAATAAAATTTCTAGTCTTAAAAATGATAGAGCCAAACATATATAATAAGAAAAAATGTTAATTGAAAATCTTAAACAAGAATTCAAAAAAGGAATTAAAGTGGATAATCTCATTTAAAAAAAACATAAAGGAGGAGTATTCATTTTAAGATGGTTAGGTGATACATTATCCATATTTATGGAAATAGCTACTGTAGAAGATTCAAAATAAAAAGATATTATGAGTATTTTAAGAGTTGTAGAATAAAATCCTATTACAAATTATAAAAAAAATTCAAAAAAAGTAGAAGATATTGAAATCAAACCTACAACTGGTACTAATGCTAAACCAACTAGTTCAAGTAGTAGTACAGCAACTTTAAAAAGATTTAATAAAATATAGAGACCTCCTGTTAATAAATAATTAAATGAAATAGTAGAAAATGCATAATAAGAAGAAGATCCTACAAATACATCTTTACAATATATACAAAAATAATAATAATATTCATAACCATAAAAAGCATTTGTAAAGAAGAATGTATAATTATAGATGATGCCTTGCCAAAAAAAAACAACCAAAAATTAATGATCAAAAAAACTCAATTATTTGATATATGCATCATACCTTATTTTATTAATTCTCTTTCTGCTTTCACATATCCAAATAATGCAGATAACACTTATAAAGGTTCCACAGAAAATCTAAAATTATATTACTATATATATATTACCTATGTAAATACTTTTTGTATTCTATTTCTTTAACAATTCTCTATAATTCTTAATCCTCAAATTTTTTAAACAAAATCTCTTTAGTTTCAATATCTTTTTAAATTTATTAGTATTCTCTTATTAATCTCTCTTTATCCTCAGATATAAAAGATTACTCTAATATTAAACTAGATTCAGTTTTAAACATTTTCAAAATCTTTTTTTGTGCTTCAGTGTAAATGATATCATTTAAAGTTTATTTACTTTAAAAAATTTATGTAAGAGTTCCTTAGATACTCTACTTTTCTTCTTTATTTAATCCTTTAAGTAATAGATTAATTTCTCCACTAGATTTCATTCTTCTATCCCTTAATGTCTTTCTTTTAATATCTTCAGAATCAATTTACGAAAAATGATTCTTGGATAAAATGGATAATATCGAAGTATTTAAATTATCTTATGAGGTTTCTAATCTTCCATGATAACTTCCAAATAATTGATGAGCTCTAATAAATAAATCATTTAATTCAACCATTTTTTTGGCTTTTTAAATTAAAAATTCTCTTCCCTTAGAATCAAGATAGGAAGGGAAATTATCATCACTTAATTTTTCATTTGTATCCCAAACAGCTTTAACAATCCAACATAAACCTTATTTTCTACAATCGAGACCAATTTTAAGTAATTCCAATAGAAATCCTTAAATAGATTTTAATAATTCTTTATTATTTTTATTTAATTTAGAGTTTTCTGTTTCTAATTTTTCTATTTATTTAAAATTAAGTTAAATTTATATTTTGTATTTCTTATAACTATCTTTCATAGTTTCTAATTGAGAGTCTATTTCTTATTATTTTCCAACTGAGGCCATATAAAAATCTACATTTGAAGATTTGAGAGATTTTTATACTTATCCATTATTATTATTTCCAACTTTACCTAATTCTTCTTTTAATTATTTTTATATATCCTCAATAGATCTAAGTCGATTATAGATTTCATGATTTTCCATCCTTAAAGTTTCTAGATCATGTTCATTTTTAGTCACAGTTTTTTTTTATTTATCTAATTTTGCATTGATCTATTATAAAATTGAATTGGTCTATTTTTCATAAAAGACAGCTCTTTCATTTGCATTTAAAAAATTAGTTAAATGAATTTTGATTCTTGTATGTAAACTATTCTTCAAACCATCTACAGTATAATCAAATATCAATGTATCAGTTTATTTCTCTTCATGTGATTATTTCTATCTAGCCTATTCAATATTAATTAATTCTTATGAAGTTAAAGTAGATCCTTATTAAAGATACTTATCCAATTATTTTACTAAACCCATATCTTGATGTAATAATTCAGCTTTCTTTAAATTTGATAACTTAGCCAAATTACCTTTGACTTTAGCCTAAAAAAGATTTTATTTTTCAGTTTATGCAGATTTATCATCAGATGATTGAGATTACATCAATTTAGGGAATGCTGGTAATAGTGTAGTACCAGCTCTTTTGTCTACAGCTCCTCTTCTAAATGAAGATATTGATACTGCCTTTTAGATTTAGTTGATTACCTATTCTACATTAAAAAAATAATATAATACTTTCTTTTTCAATTTCTAATTACTTTTTCTCAAATTCTTACTATTTCTTTACTTTTACTTACTTCCACCATTAATCTAAATTTGCTACAATCAAATCATCACTATCTGGTTTATATTATCTATTTCCCTTAAATTATTCTTCTTTATGAAGTACAGGTTTTACTTACTGAGTATTCTCATCTTCATCCAATATTTCATAACTAAAATAAATTAAGTAGTTACATTTCTTATAGTAATAATTTACCACCAGGTTCATTTAGTAATTTGTTTCTTAGATTAGATTCTAAATCTGAGCGTTTTACTTTTTTATGTAATTTAATTGGTTTCTTTGTTAGATCCTTTGGATTAGTAGTTACAATATCATTCTAAATATCAATCTATTATACCATATCTGGCTGTATTATATCATAGAATTAGATCGAATTCATTTCATCATTTAGTATTTTTTTTTTCATGTCATTTAATACTAATTACTCTATTTGATAATGGTTTTGTGGTTTGACTTTATATTATAGAATCTCTGGAGTTGACTAAGAATTTTGCTTTTTAGACATTAAATATATTTATAATATTTCATTAATTTAATTTGCGCAAAACCCAATTCTTTTATCTATCTTATACTTTTTTAAGTATCATTATTAAATATTTTGTAGGTAACATCATTCTTTTATGTTAATTTTTATTTTATAATTTATTAAATCCCCATCTATAATCTAATTTCTTAAAAATCTTTTCTAAATCCTACAATCCATATTAAAAAGATTTAAATTTCCTTTTCTATCTTAATGAGTGTAATAATAATATTTTTATGCTTTATTTCAATAACTTATTTTTAAATTATTACAATAATTCAAATATAATTGGAGATTCTTATTTTACAGATTGAATTTGTTAAAATGAAAATTGAATTTACTATTTGAATACCTTCTATAAACACTTTTGCAAATGCAAATTCTTATAGACTTTATTCAAACATTATCCATATTCAAATAATTTAATATTTACAAACCTTAATAATCGATTAAAACCCTCTCTCCTTTTTATTTAACATTTCATTGTATTAAAGTGTTGATTTAATTTACTAATATAAATCTTCTAAATTTTAGATCCAAAATTATCAAAAAATATAAGAAGTTATGTTTATTGAGACCAATATTTCAAGTAAACTTACATCAATAATTCTTCCTATTTTTATTTATTTATAAGTATCTTTCTTAATTATTCTCTTTTTGCATATTGTAATCTCTTATTAACTGATTTTAAGTTCCTTTAAAGAATAAAATATTTGATTTCCTAAAATGAAATAATCATCTTCTTCTTTCGAATGTTTTATAATACCATAAACAATACAATTGGAGCATTAGTTGCTTAAATGCTTTCACAATCAATAATACTCTCTTGTTTTATACTTAAATTAGCAAAAGAAATCTTGAACCCTTCTCCTACATCTGAATTCTCACTTACACCCATTGAACACACATCATCAAAAATATTTCTCTCACAAACTACTGATTCTTTTATCCTAATTAATTCTCTCAAATTTTTTAGCATTGGTTTTTAAAGAGCCTCTAAAAGTAATTTTGCTGCACTTTCTTAAATCATTGTATTTGGATTGCAATTCTCTTTGTTCTTTCTAAGCATTTTGCTCTATAGAAATCTATTAGAGAGATCCTTTATCTATTTATTCGCCTTGCTGAAATCAATAGTCCGAATTGTTTACATTTTCATTTTTTTATATTTAAATTATATAACGTTAAACTCAATATTGAAATGATGTATCAAAAACCCTTTCAAATTTTATTATATCATTCTTAATTACAATTAAACCAACAAATCTCTCCTATCTAAAAAAACATTATAACTAAATACTTATTAGATTTAAATTAAAAATCAATATTTATAGATTTTTAAATCTATATTACCTTCTCATAATAAGTTTCAATAAATATTTGTTATATATTTATATATCTATAAACTTATAACTAAGCTGAAATTATTATTAGACATATTTAATCAGATTTTATATGAATTTATAATAAGTTTTATTCATCCTTACTTTTTAATCTACATTATATCATGCCTATCAAATATATGTTTTTAATAATATGAGTATTTATAGATATCCTTAAAAATGCTATAATTTATTGTAAATTAATCAAATATTTAGAATGAATGACTATTATTCAATGACTATTATAGTTTGTTCCATATGTAAAGAACCTTCAAACTCTTGTTGTAGGGAATGTACCATAAAAGGAATAGTATTATTGGCATTATCAATAGTATGTATCATTTCTTTGATATTTTGGATACTCAATACTTGGAAAACCTAATTATCTCTATATATTCTGGCCATCGTTTTCTTTGTTGCTATGATAAGGTATCTAATTGGAGCTACTTTGAAAATTGAAAAATAAAGAGAAAGAGAATATACCAAAAAAGGCTATAATATTGAATTCGAAAAATAATGAAAAATTATTTAAAAATAGTTGGTTATTAAAAATAATTCTGAATTAATATCAATTTCTAAATATACATTAGAATTAGACTTTCTATTAATAATATATGTAGATATTTGTTAATTTTATATTTATTAAAATTTATAAACAAGGAATAAAATATCTAATCATATAAATAATTTAAAAGTGATCATAATAATCATGTTAATCAAATTTCAATAATTAATCAATAAGATAAACTTATGTTATAACAGTTTTTTATGATATGTATCCAAAAAGTTTTTGATATTATTAAAATAATTTGTAGATATTAATGATTGCATAACTAATTCTAAATTTATTAATATATATTTTTATATATGATTATTCTTTTTAATAGTTTTTAAATATTATCTGGTTCTAAATATCTAGAATACTTTTTCTACTAATAAATTTCTATGATATTCTCTATAATTTTATATAAAAGTAGAAAGGTGTAAATAGTGATTGAAAGATTAATTCATATTGAAAATATACTATTTAAAATTGAAATAAATCTTTGAACATAAATTCTTTTGATATTAAAATTTAATAATAATTTTTCATCTAAAAAGAATTATTTTATTCTTACATGAATCTAATGGTTTATTAATGATAGAAATTATTATTGTAAATATAAAACAAATATTTATAAAATATAATCATAATATATGAATCAAGATAATTCAAATGGATTCATATCTTCTAAATGTCCCATATTTTTGTATAAACGAATAATTACACCTTTAATAATAAAATAAAATTACTTTCCTAATTTACAATTAATTTATCAAATGGTCCTATTTATTTTAAGATTTTTCTAAAATTCGTTTTTTTTTAAAGTTTTACATTTAATGCAGCTATAGATTTTGTGTAAATAATTAAATCAATATAATTTTGTTCAGAGAAAATTTCAATTGAAATCTAATCTTCATTAAGTTTAGACAAAAAGGTCATTAATTTGATGAGTAATTAATTTAACATTTATTTCATTGTTATTATATAAAAATCATGATCCATATGATATTGACATTAAATTTGAATATTATAAGCTTTTTGATATAATTTAATAAAGTAATTAATTTTTGAATTAATGTTACAGGAAGAAAGACCAATATCTTTTGTAATAGAAAATTTAGTTAAAATGTACATTAATTTAGTTTACATTTTATAGAAAGAGTTTCTGTCTAAATTAGATTTATTGATTAAATTGAGTTGAGCTTACAAAAATTTATTTATACCATCTATGAAAACTTTAATTCCTTTTTCAAGTTTCTAAATTTTTTATTTTTAAGATAAAATAATTTATTGTTTCTAATCAATTACAATCATGAACATCAATTCTGTTATATAGAATTCAGAATATTTTATTATTAATTTTTCATTAGGCTTTTTATGGTTATTTAATTCAAGAATCTTATTTACTAGTAATTTATTATTATGAGTGTTAACTCTATTAAAAATGAAATCTTCTAAAGTAGTTCCAAATATTACATACTTTCTTAATAAAGCCTTTAAATTACTTTAATTTTATTAGAATGGATTGAATTAGGGAAATTCTGAAAAATTTGATAGTTTGATTTAAAATGACAAGTGATTCTGATCGAATGTAAAATAAGCAAAAGGGTCATCAAGCAATAAAGGAATAATCATTTCTTGGATTCTAATGATAATAATAAAACTACCTTAAGAATTATCGGTAATAGTGAATAAAAATGATTATCTATATTATTTATTGGTTCTCTATAAAACAAAGATAGCCATAAATGCAATTAAAAATGTATATAAGTATGTTTATAATGAAATATTACCATTGCTGATTTCAGCTATCAGAATTTTTATTATAAGGTTATTGATTAATTGGATTAATGCAAACTTAAAATCAGATATCAGCATTATTACAACATGCAATGTCATCATCATTTATCCAAAAAGATAAGCTTCTTAAAAGTCATAACCTGAATTAGCAGTGATCTAGTATACCATTAGAATGTGATTTATGAAGATGAGGTAGCTGTCAATCCATGACTTTTTATAATAGAGTATAACGAAAGTTGTGATAAGTACTAAGATCCCTAAACCTATGAATATATAAAGTGTAATATATTCTTCAAAGATGAAGGATAATATAGATCTGAGAACACAAATAATAAAGCTGATCAGACTTATGCCTTTAAAAACAGGAATAGTAAATTTGTATCTATTCTCTTAATATTTTAATTCTAATTCCTTAGCATTAAATGATAGTGTGAACTTATTCATAATTATAATAATAATAACTTTTTATCGAAATATTTTATAATCCTTAAATCATATAATTAATTCAAAAATTCTTTTAATATTAAATAAATAATTTGAATGAAATTATCGTCATACAATTAAAAATTTGCATCTTAAATTTTTATCAAAGACTTATATATTTTTATCTTGTATCTTAAAATTGTTATTCAAATAATTGAAGTTCTATTATTAAGATTCTAGATAAGTATCATTATTATTCAATAATTAATGTAGAATTTTTTATTTAAAAATATTTAGAAAGTTATTTTTTATATATATATTTTATAAATAAAAATTTTATAAATTAAATTCTTTAAAAACATCTTTAAATATCTATATAGTAAAAAATGTTGAAATTAAGATAGATTTAAGATTTTTAAATCTTTAAATATATAATAATAATATATTATAAGTAATATTTATAATGAAATTAATAAATTTAAATTCTATCCATAAAACTCAAGCACAAGATGTTGTCCAAGTTTTATAAGCTAATATACACTATGCTCTTTTTTTATCAGATTATAATAAATTATAATCTACATGAGCAATAAAATAATTTTATCCCTTACCATCTGTAGGTGCAGGATTAGGTGAATAATTAGTATTAGTTGTGCATGTTCTTGAAGATTAATTACAAGTAAATGATGATCCTGTATCTGTGATGGTTTAAGTATCATCACTAATTTAAAATAATTTGAGCTTTGTTTAGTCTATAATAATTGAATCTGCCCAATAATAAATAAATTTAATTTAAGAAAAAGTATCATCATAATTATCTTAAGTATCTACATATAATACACTGCCTCCTTAGAATGGACGAATACAAATAACATCAGTATAAGCTTTAATAATTCCAAATTGTTCAGGAGGATAAGAATAAACCATCACAAAACCATTACTATTGTAAGCGAAAGCATTCCAATCAATAGTTAAAGTATGAGCTTAGCCTAGTATTTTGAGAGAGTTCTTGAAATAAGGAATAATGGCAAAGTTGATAATATAATGGTTGGATTGATAATAATTAGGTTGAAATTTTGTCATTCTAGTTAAAGCAACAAGAGCAACACTCCAAATCTTAGGTAATATAGCATTTCTAAGGGCTATAGTAGACTTATGCATAACAGTCCAATCTCTAAGTAATTATAAGGCTTAGTAGACTGTTCGTTCAATATAGAAGGGATAAGATTTTGGTTCTGAAATTAGAACATCTCGTGTATTTGGCTCTAAGTATTTATCTAAGATAGCAATTAATTTGTCTTGAAAAACAGACTCTACTGTTTCCTATGCTGCCAGCCAAGGGTTGATGGTATATAATCTGAACATGTCTTTGACACTTAAAGAAATATCTAAAGATGCCATAGGAATAGGAGTGATATCATTAGTTGAATCAACATATCCATCAAAATTCATAGTGAATCTTACAAATGCATAATTCAATTTTCCAAGATTCTTATCACAACAAACATTATCATATTATAAACTAAATGTCTCTAAGGAATCACAATCTGTATTTGCACCACCAGTTATTAATGATCCTCCTGTTCTACAAGCAGCTACTTCATCAATAAGATAACATGGTAAAGTTAAGCAGGCAGGAGTAGCAATAGTACTAATTTATTATTCTCACGTTCTACCTATCCCAATAACACCATCCTTAACCATTAAGTGCATCAGTTCCACAATTTGTAGATGTTAATGTTGAACAGAGACTTTATCCAACAAATATTTAAGCATATAAGGTTGTGATGAAGATAAAAATCAAAACAAACATAATTTAATTAATCATTTCTAAATATAAAATATAAATTAATTGTTCTATTAAATGAGATATATAATTATACAAGATTTAAACTATGTAGAATATCCAATATTCATAATTGAATATCTAATTCATTTATTATACTTATATAATAATTTTAATCTAATATAGTATACATAATGGAGTTCAAGTATTTTACTACTAAATACTCTTATATTCCTGTTCCAAGCTAAAATATTGATTATTAGAATTTAAATTTATTAAAAATAATTAGATTATTTAAATAATCATGGAACATTATTTGTACAAATTGAGCCTGTCCATAAACATCGAGGTTATTTACATTGATATCTCTTAGTAATACTTGTACAAGTTGTTAATGTTGTGCCAATGAAATATTATGTATTTATTGATAAGGGATAAATTTGGCAAGTAGTTTTTTTAGTATCCGAATCATAAATACAATCTCCAAAGGCTCCTGTTGATAATTATCTTATTAAAGTTTCTTAAAGAGTTGCTTTATTGAAAGAATAGAGATATATTAATTATGGTACTGGGATTAAAGATATATCATAAGGAAAGGTGAATATGATTCCATAAGTCAAACTTAATGGGGTGTGTCCAGATTCATAAACATTGATTTCATATACTTATGTCAACTGACCAACAAAACCAAATTAATGTAAATCATAACCCAGAAGCTAAACATATCCATTATATAAATATTATGTCCATTTAAAAGTGGCTACATGTTTATGACCTGACAATTCCACTTTCTATCTGGATAAAGAAACTTAACTTATACTATACAGTGGATAAATTGCTGTATAATTATTACCAATTATTCTAAATCTTTCTAATAAGTTATCTACAATCTACCATAATTTTGTAATCATTGGTTATTTATTTGTGTTTATTAAAGTTGTATCATCCTTTCAAAATATTAATTATAAATTACTCTCAATTATTAAAACATATAACTGATTGATTTCTCTTGATCATATGTCCAATAAGTATCGTATAAAAATAAGGATCTATATTTGATATATATGTCTAGAGTCTAATCTAATTGCACCATATTTTGTTTTAAGATCTAAATTGTATAGATTTAACTTATATATCCATATTGTGGGAAAAGAGTATTCCATAAAGCTAAGGTAACTCCATCTGAACTTTTATCAGGATATCCACTTTTGGGTTCTTAATATCTAATATAATGTTAAACTAATTCATTAGGATCATCACTTGGATCATTACATACATTAGCATATATTTGATAGTAATATGCATCCATTTCTATTGAATTGCAAATTATTGATGGAGGTATATGTAATACTCCATTTGTTCTACAGGCTGCTATTTCATCAATTTTATAGCAGTCTTCGACTTGACAAATTGAACCATCCCAAAAGCAATATCCAAGATTTTAACAAGTACTTTAAGTAACTTTACTTGAACATGTTTGATCTCCAACAAAAGAATTTACAACATTTAAGATTGCACTAATGAAAATAATCATCTATTATATTTTTAATATTAACAAATTCTGTCTATTTTTGATTCTATAAATTTGCTAACTAAATTACTATTTTATAATATTAAATAAAAATTAAGTATCAAAGTCATTCAATGTATATCATCTCTGAATTCTTTGAGTTAAACTTGGGATAATATTCATATCAAAATATTGATGATCTTAATGTGTAACTATATACCTATCCTTGAATTTTTAATATTATTATTCTACATATATATAATATTATTGATACTTATAATAATAAAAGAATTTCTTAAGATATCAAATATATAGAGTAAAAGTATTACGAAATAATTGATTATTAGAATACCTCCTAAGATTTAATTGAATTATTCATATTTTTAGACTGTTGATGTGTAAAGTTCAAAGATAAGATATATGAAATGAGTTCCCCATAGATTACCTAGTAATAATTTATATTTTAATTGAAAATAGTTTTTTTATATTATAGATAATATAAGCTATACACCAACAATTAAAGATGTCAATAATAATTAAAAAATCTAATTATTTATCATCATCATTAAAATCAAAATATAGATAGTATTTAATAAAATGATAAAACGAATTGATTTTTATTTTCTAAAGTACTTTTGAATTTTAATATGATAAATAGTAATAAAAGCAATATATAATAATATCTAAATGCTATATTAATTTAGAGTTATCCATATATAAAGTGAATAATTAAAGTAATTAATGAAATAAACTATTTAATAAGTAATTTATTTTTATAATTTCTAAATTATTTTTTAATGAGATCTATTTTATTTAATTCTAATTAGAATATATATTAATAAACGTAATATTGAAGTAGTAACAATTAAAATAATTATTAAAATAAGTTATCTAATAATATTATCTTTTATTTAGGATTGATTCATTTTTTATTAAGTTTATTCGTTATTTTGTAAATCAAATTATGAAAATATAATCATTTAAAATGGTGAAAATAATTGTACAAAGGTTTCAAAATATTTTGGAGTTAAAATTAAAAAATGTTTTTGATATGCTATTATTTAGAATAGAAATAATATTTCAATATATTAGTATGATTAAATAAAGATAAAGTTGATCATAAAAATTATTGAATATGCATACAATAATAGATGAAATGATTATAATAAATAATCAAATATAAATTGATATTATATAGTAAAATAATTTAAAATTTAGATCTATTTTTTATAGATTATTTTACTATCATTAAGTAGTAAAAGATTTAGATATTAATCAATACATGATTAATAAAGATTTAATTTAATTATGAATTATTAAAAGCCAACTTTTGATTATTTAATTATTGTATAATAAAGATTACCACAATTATGTTATGTATTTAGATAAAATAATTAAAATTGTTCTTTTTCTATATTAGATTCATAATTTTAAATAGTGATATGAAATTGTCTTTAATTTGAATAATACTTATCTAATTTATTTTATGATATATAAATATTCCAAGAAGGTTTATTAATACATGTATTACCACATACAAAAAAATGTTCTATTTAACAATTCTAATTACAACCATCATTATCTATTAGATTACCATCATCACATTCTTCTTCTAATGTAATATAACCATCTCCACAAATATTTTAACATTAATTTTCAAGATAAATGTATCCTTTATCAGGTAAACAATTAGAACATTAATGATTGTTTTCAGCACAAATTATACAATTATATGGATTAATTTTACAAGTCTTACAAATAGGAGAACATTTATCACAAGAATAATCACTTTATAAATAATATCCATCTTAACATAATACACATTCTTTTTAATAACAAATCTAACAAATTTCATTTTAACATTTAGATTGTGATAATTTACATTAATGACATCCATCACGTTGAATTTATATTCCATTATCACATTCTTCATTCCATTAAATAATTCCATCACCACATTTAGTATAACAATAATGATCTATTTTAGGATTATCAATTAATTAACAATCATAACATTATTATTATCCTATATCATAATATCCATCTTAACATATACATTCAAAATAATCCATTTATATATTTTTTCTTTTCCTATCTTATGTACATTTAGTACATTTATTAAACTCTGAAGAATTTTAACATTCTAAACAAGTGTAATGACAAGATTAACATTGTTCATTGTTTAAGAAATATCCTTATTAGCATATACATTGATTTTAGAATGTCAATATTCTAAATTATAATTAATCACAATCAATACAAGTATCATAATCTTTACAATTTTTACAAGTTTTTTTACATTCTAAATTAATAATTAATATTTACATAAACATATATCATTAATATAATCATGATAATATCCATCTTAACAGATACAATCATTTAAATTAAGAACTCTATGTTATGATAAATAACATTCAGTACATATGAATTCTTTGTATTAACATTATTTACATTTTTACAAACATTTCTTACATTACAAATTTCCATTTTATTCATAATATCCTTCTTAACAAATACATTATCCTGATTCCAATCTTCGATTCTCAGTAGATCTACATGATTAACAATGATTTATAGACCTAATACAAGTTAAACATTATTCTCTACAAGGAATACATTAATATTCTTAATTAAATATATAACCATTTTAACATACACAAAATTCTACATTTCTTATTTAATATTCATCATCACAATTAGTTAAAATAGATTATGAATTATAAATAGATTCTTTAAGTTTAATTTTAAAAGGACGAGTAATTTAATATTTAAGTTTGTTATGTTAATAACATTCACCAGAAAAAAGAAAAAACCCTTCTTCACATTCTAAACATTATTCAAAATAATTGCATTTAATACAATTTTACTTACACTATCTGCATTCAAAATTACTATAATAATAATATTATGGACATTAAATATTTTCTTATATTGTGCAACTAGATTCCTCATTACATTCTTCACAATCATGTGTACATTTTGGAGATACTATCAAAAGTTCAGATATTAATAAACTACATTATTCTTATTAACATCCTTTACGTATTATTTATAATTTAGATAATCCTTTTACATTTTAAAATTCAAAGCTTTTATTCTAAAATTCAAATGCATAATCATTTAATTCTTCAGATCCAATTATATTTATCAACGGTTTCATATCAGTAACATTAAAAGTAAGACTATAATTAAATAAATTAACTATAATCTATTCATTTACATTTGCATCTATAATGATTAATTTAAAATATATTTATAATTTTTTCTTCATTTTAATTTCTATTTGTAAATTTCTATTAATTAGTTCATATATACTATTTTCATATTTAAAATAAGGTTAATAAATTTCTAAATAGAAATGATTATTAGTTAAAATGTCAAATTTTTTAATGAATTTAAAATTATGTAAAACAACAAATCTCTCTTAAATTTTATCTAAACAAACATTATTATCATCTATTGTTCCTAATGGACATTATTTTAAACAACTTTATTTATGAATCTTGTATTGACATTTTAAATTTTAAATTTAAGTAACTTTAATATTGCCTAAAGCCCAAGCTACATTTTATAATTGTAATGGAAATCCACCTTGAATTTTAAGATTATCTATTTGTGTTACATTATAATAGAGATTATAAAATTTGCAGATTTTACAATTCTAATATGAGGGAGTGTAACAATCTTCCTATCCATCTAAGAAATTGTGAGATAAATAGATATCTTTTTCATATCCATTTATTGAATAATATAATATACTTAAGAGATAATCATCATCATATAATATATAGATTGTATAATCTATTTTTATATGTATTGGTTCATGAATATTAAGATTAAAATTATAGTATTATATTCCTTCATTTTAGATAAATGGTCCTATTTAAATATTATTATCAATAATAATTTCTTTAGTTTTATTGGTTGTATTGTAATCTAGAATGATATTTTTGACATCTCCAGTAGAAATGGTTAATAGATTATTCTGATTTACAAATTGAAGGTATCCTATATATTAATTCCCCAAATAATTTAATGTATAAGTCAACTCAGTAATATTATAATTGGTATTATAAATTCTTCTACAAGATTCTTATGTAAGTTTATATTAGTCTTCACATTTTAAACATTGATTTGTTTATAATTTACAAAGAGCACAATTTTAAGTACATTTCAATATATAAATTTAAAGGTTTCTAATCTAAAAGTTAAGACCTAATTAAATCACTATTTCGATAAAGTTTTATTATTATGCAATTAGATCCATATTACATATGTATGTTTAATTATCTAAGGAAAGACTTGTACAATAAAATTAAGAAAAGTTTTGTTGATTAAATAATTATTGTATTCCTTATTCATACTTCAAAGGTGTATCCAGTATTAATTATATATCAATCACTATTCTTGATTATATATATCCAATATTGGTTGTTGTTGAAATATTGTATATTGTTTAATATTGAATTGAATAATGATTATCATTCAAGAGTGTATATATTTATTGATTTTGGATGATTGGTTTTAAATCATCATCTAATAACATCCAAACTGGTGATGCCTATATTTATTAGATCTAATAAGTTAGAATACTAATTCCATAGAAAATTATATTCATTTTAATATTTACTACACATTAAAAATAAGTTAATTGAAGTTTGGTAAAATTATAGCCAATTAAATATATTAAACAACAACTAAATAATGATAAAGAAAAACCATTACAATTACTATAATATATAAATAATAATTAATTTTTTCTAAGTTTTTGAAACCATAATTTAAAATTTTAAATCTATAATCTCTATCTTTTATATCTCTTAAAATATATTAATATGATGAATAATAAAAATTAATTTTCATAATTCACATAACGCTAATTGTTTCATTTAACTAAATTTTCAGGTACATTAATTTAAAGTCGAATTTTATTAAGATTAAATCGTTTTTTAGTAGTAGAATTAGTAATTTGTGATCCAGCATAAGATTATTAAGATGGTAATCTTGGTGACCAAAATTATGAATGTTAATTAACTTTATCAGGAGATTTCATTTATGAAAGTAGAATGCTTCTACCAATTTCTTAATGTGGTAATTCAATAGCAGATACTCCTCTCTTTCTATCATCAGTTTAATTCTTAGGTCTTGTAATACTTATAGTCATTCTTGTATATCTATCTTGACTAAAATCATATATCAAAATAATATTATACACAGGAGATTAAATATCATTATCAACATTATTATTATATATTTATTATACATTTCCAATAGAAACTTATCTCTATTTTTAAAATGGTCTTCTCCATTCAGATGATCTAACTTATTCTATAAATCCATTTATAGTTTATTTCTAATTTAATGAAGATTATTATGAATTTGTTGGATTATTGTCTGTTGGAAAAGTCTCTCTTTAATATTTATCTAATTAAACTCTACATTTTTAACATCCCTTCAAATAACCTTATCTATATTATTCTTAGGCTTTCTTTTAATTTTTCTCTACTTAAACACCTTTTTCATAAACTTTCCCTCTCATATAATATGTAAATGTCCAATCCTTATTATTTTCCTCTATTTAATCAAGCAAAGAAAAGAAATCTTCTACAACAGCTTCATTCTTTCTTAATGCTTAAAATCTAATACTGAGTAATTTCTAAGCACATTTAAGATCACCCTTCATACATCCTTACTCAAATATTAAATCAGCCATAACTTAATTCTATTCTAATTCATCTTGTAATCCCTAATAAAGTAATAAACCTAAATCATAAAAAGCAGGTAAATAATCTAGATTTTTAGCTTAATTCAATAGAGGCTAAATCAATTGACTTCTATTCTAAAAGTTATTAATAAATAATTTACTTTATAAAGTGGTTATTTACACATTGTTTAATAAAGAAGAGCCAATTTATGCATTGCTTAAGTAGAATTTTTATTTTTAGCTTATTTATAATAAAATTCAGCATTTGAATAATCTTTCTCTAATGTATCTAATATATTATTATTGAAATTCTACAATCTTATAATTGAAGTCCATTACTATAAAGATCTCCCAAATATATCATTGATTATAAATGATCTAATTCTGCAGCTCTTTTTAAAAGAGTCAATGCAAAATTACAATCATAATTTCGATTATATGCTTCACTTGAATATTTACTTACTATTGTATTATTATCATCCTTATCATAAAATTTATCATAAACTTTTCCTTCCTTTTATTAATTAATTTAATAAATACCAAAACCAATTTAGAAGTATTATATAAACTGAATGTATTTCGTTAATCGGCACTCTTTTTAAAGTAATTAAAAGCCTATATATATGATTAATTTAAATTTTAACTTAATCATAATCTTTTGGACCCATAATCCCTTCTAAACAAATTTATCCCATTATTGCTTAAGCTATAGCATTATTTTCTTATGCTAATTTAGTATACAATTATAAAGCTGCTATCTAATCTTTTTCTCTTCCAAGTCCTGCAAATAATTCATGAGCATTTCTTAATCTATCATCTACTTGTGTTTAGATTTTAGTCGCTTAAACTGGTTTTTATTATTATGTTTATTATTATAACCTCTATGATGTCTATTTAAAATCTAATTTCTAAATTAAAGTATCCAACCATTGATCTAAATACTAAGATATTTCAGAAGATATATTTTCCTTATTTAAATTTATAGATCTATTTTCTAAACTATGTAATTATTCCCAAAAAAAACTCAGTTAATCTAATTATCTCATATATTTATCATATAATTTGAATGAAGCATCTTTACCACATAATTGTACTTTATCAACTTATTAACAAGCTTCAAAAGCCTCTGATATTGTACGTATTGTGTCTCTTACCAAATAATGTAATTCTTAATTGATTTTGATGCTAACTTTATACTGCTGAGTGCTGTAATTCTTTAGGATATGAGAAATTTTTGTGAAAACTAAATGTGAAAATGTCTTTCTAGGTTGATCAATATTCGAACTCATTTATACCTATGACATCATGTCAGCTAAAATTTATATTAATCTATATACATATCTATTAATGAGCTATTCCATATTTAAAGCCATCATAGAACTATTAATCACCTTCAATTGGCTATTATGGCAACAAGAAATTCATACTTAATTTGGATTCTAGATCAACAATTGAATTTGCTCTATTATCTTTTACAGTAGTTTATCTTTATGTAGAAGTAGTCTTTCATCTCCAATATCTGTAGATAAACGAGAAGAATAAGTATATTGTTATTAATTCATATTTTAAACTTTTTTTTATAATAGTCCAAAAGTTTTGGTTATTTCTTTTTTTGATCTTTTACTAGAGTCTACCAAACATCATCTAGTTTTTCTTCCAATTGATATTTACCAATTTTTGACAAGGAACTATTTGCATCCTTTACATATTATTTTTGTAAATCTCTAATTTTAGTGAATTTATGTTCAGAATAGGCTTTATTATTAATAACATGTGAAAATGTTTCATTAACATTATTTAAAATACGTTAAATTTCTTGTTATTAATTTAATCCTCTTCTAGGCAATTTCTTTTATTTTTATGGAGCATCCACTTCTCTTATGATGTCAAATTTTACATCTGGATAATACATTTTCTAAACATTTTTTACTTTTAACATTCTATCCTATGATGAATGAACAGATAGATCCTATTTTCTTCTATCTTTTCTTTAACTTTCTCCCTCTGATTAATGTGTTAAATTTGTAGTCTATTTTCTAGTCAGTACTCTACTTGAAACTGAATTTGCAATTATATCTTCAATAAAACCAAATTATTATCTTCTTTTTGGTGATGCTAGAGTCTAAGAATTTAAAGGATATCTAAGCATTTTTGATAAGCCTATACCACTCTTTAACTGCTATTATGTAGTTTGAGATTAAGATTAAGTTTCCTTTGGTATTGGAGGAAGTCTTGTTGTGACTTTATCAAATCTCAAACTCAACATCTCTTTCTTAGATGAACTAGATAAAGATTGGTAAGACCTTACAGATTAATCAAGTACACTATTTAAATGTTTTTTCTTGAATCTAATTAATGGAAGATTTAATTACTTTTGCATTTCATAATGCATTTATTAACTATTATCTAAATGGTATATGTTATTTTCAATGAAATCGAATTTAATACGATCAGTTTTAAGAACATCTATTTCTTCTAGAAATTCATCAGATGAGAAATCAAAGATCTATTTCTTTGGGAATTACCATCCATATTTTTATTATAAATTATCTTTCATAGCTTATATTCCATTTAATAATTCATCTATTTCTTGAATTGTAATTTCTTGTCTTTTAGATGTTCTCTATTCTTTAATAAATAACCCTATTTATTTCTATTTTTTAATTCCTTAAATTTGAAGTCTTCTAAGTTCTTTTAATTGAGATTCTCTATTTCTAATTTAATAAATAAGTTGCTGTCTTCTTTCAACATTCTAAGTTTATAATAGATTAGCTTCTTTGGTAATCTCAAGTAAATGCTCTTTAATTTCATACCAATTTCTTAATCGATCTAACTGTTATTCAAATTAAAATTTCTTGAAAGTGAATCAGTTTCATACCTTAATTTTACTTTTAGATTTTTCAATTTCTTAAAGACGGGAATTATATTTGTCTAATAAGTCTTGAGAAGGAGATTTGGGTTCTTATTCATCAAAGTTCCAACTCTCCTCCATTGAGGAGTACATTTTATTATATTTTATTATACAAAATTAATTAAATTACGTTTACATTGCGAACAATTTATAATTAAGATATATATATATTTAAAATGGAATTCTCATTAATAAAGACATGTAGCATAACAGGATTGTTTTTATATTTTTTGATAGGTAAATTATGTTTAATGTGTGTTTGGCCAACTAAAATTGAAGAAAGTAATTATTATTGAATTAATAATAGAACAATTTTTCTTTGTTATATCATTATATGTAGTACATTTGATCACATACATAATTGTAAATGCATTTTACTTTATTTGTTATGAAAGCAAGAGTAAATACATAAGTTAAGCAAAAATTGAATAAGTATAAATAGATAATGAATTAGAAACCATGGCCATGGGATGGAAAGGATTCTAAGGTATGGAACTAGATGAAGAGTCTATTTTGGAAGAATGTTTTTATTAATCAATTTATAATGATCGGAGTAGCATATGGATCTAGTTGTATAAAATTAGATACTCGTTTTGATTAAAGTTTTCCAACTGTATTTGAAATAAGTTGGTAAATATTAGTATTTGGTGTGATAGAAGATGTATTATTTTATTTCAGTCATCGATTATTGCATACTCCATATTTTTATGGAAAAGTGCATAAAGTACATCATATTTATAATATAACAGGTAAATTTATATTAAATTCTATGAAAAGTATCTTGGTCAGCAGAATTTGCACATCCTTTAGAATATATATTAGGCAATCTAATTCCAGTAATTGCAGGTCCAATATTGTTAGGATCTTAGACTCATATGATTACAATTCTTGTATTTGTTGGATTGGCTACTCACAAAACGCTTTCGGATCATTCAGGCTTCAATTTTGTATGGGATGTGTACTAATATTTACCTTTAACAACTCATTCTGAATTCCATTCAAAACATCATAGTTTGAATACTGGAAATTACTCATCTACATTTACTTATTTAGATGATCTTTTAGGAACAACCATTAAGAAATGAATGTACAATTCAATTTAATCAATATTTATTCAACAATTTCATTTTATTATTAAAAAGTTAGCTTATTTATTCTTAATAAGAGATTTTAATCATTATAGATAAATTGTGTATTATTATACATTTATGTATATCATACAATCTTTCATTATTATAAATATATAAAATTAGTGATCCGTTTTCATTATTTTTATTATTAATGTACAAACTCATTGCTTTGGCATTGATTGTTTCATCTGTATTTGCTGTTCAAAAGGACACTAAAACAATTTTGGCAGAAATAGACGCTGACAACTTTGGTAACACTATTCTCTCAACTGTCCAAATGTATTTACAATCAAAAGGAAATGCTGAAGAAATCTTAGTGTTACTTAATCAAGTCTTGGCTGGATTGGTTGACGATTAAAACAAACATGACAACGTTATTAGAGTTGATAGAGCAGCCTGCACACGTATTGTTACAGATTTAGAAAACTCTATTGCTTATCATACAGCTTAAGTATCTGCCAATGCTTAAATGAGAGAAGATAATGAAAAGGCTTTGGCTGAAGCTGAAACTGATGTTAGATAAACTATATAAGTAATAATAATATAATATAATTAAAAGGATATTGAAAGTAATGAAAGAACATATGCTTAAGAGGAAGCTAATAGAAATAAAGCTCATGAAACTTGGGTTAGAAAGAATGGTGAACATGATGATGCTATTGCAGCTGTTGATGAAGCTACCAAATTAGTCTAACATCTTTCTTTGGGTGCAACATTTGCTGAACTTAAACCAAAATTTGAAGCTGTATAAAAGAGATTAATTGAAAATGAAAGTCATGGTGCTCTCTTTTAACCTATTGTTACTGCCTTAACTGAATTAGCTACTAAGGTTGATCAAAAGGCAATTCAAAGAATTCTTTAATTACTTTCATAACTTAGATAACAATTAGTAGAAGCTAGATCTGTTTTGGAAGTAATGAAATGTTATAATTTTAGGATACTGAAAATAGATAAGCTTAAAGATGGGTTGAATTTTCAACACATTTGAGTAATGAACACAATAGATTGGTTGATAGAAAGAATTAATTAGAATAAGCAATTCAAACATTCAAGACTAATATTGATACTGCTACTCATTTCTATGAAGTTCATCAAGTAAATTAATATATAATATATATATTTCTAGTTGGAATTAGAATAAGCTCAAGAAACCTTAGATGCTGAACATGAATGGTGTGATCTTTAAGAAAACACTTATAGTGTTTAATCTACTGAGAGAACAAGATAATAAGAAATCGTTGAGAGAATATTGGAGCATTTGACTGAAAAATTAACCGCAACATCCCAATACCTTGGTGGTAGATTCTGAGATTAAACATAAATATTAAATATTATTATGGGACAACAATAAACTTAGGAACAAAGACCATTAAATGACTTAATTAAGGATGTGGCTACATTTAATCTATTGGCTAAGTATTCTAATGTTGTAATACAAGATCTCCAACAATTAAATCAAGCTTGGGTAAATAATTAATAGCAGAAGTGACAAAAAGAAAATAAGATTTATTTGATTCTCTTCCATTTGTTAAAAAGTAAGATGATTTATGCATTGGAATATTTGTGGACAAGGAATATTTATAAATTACTTAGCAGAAATTTTACTATTGTAAACAATTATTAGAGGATTTTTCATCTATATTAATGGTTGATCCATAGAAAGAGGAAGGCACTTGTTAAATATGTTTTGAAAAAAAGATTGACAAATTATTGCCTTGTGGACATAGTTATTGTTAAGATTGTATAGAAGGATGGTTTACAGTCAAAGAATAAGATTCCTGTCCAATGTGTAGAGCCCAATTAACTAAATAAAAAATGAAAAGTGAATCTTATGTTGTACCAAATGAAGCTGAATTGATAGATTCATTTAAAGAATAACTTTTTCTGTAATTCAGCTCACAGAAATGAATCAATTATTAATTTTGTTTAATTATTGTTATGGATTTCGAGCATTCAGACTAATTTACTTAGAGAGTAGAACTAATAATTAGAAATGTAACATATGTAATTCTGAATACATTTAGTTCTTACATATACCACAGGAAGCCAATCATAATTGGAAAGAGATTAATTAAAAAATAGATTACTTACAAAATTAGTTGGTGGAAGTACAATTGTATCAAATAAGCCATTATCAAAAGGAGCATTCTATAATATTTAAAATAGAGTTTTGAAGCGATTCGAGAATAATTGTAATGTGATTTAGAACAAATTTACATTTAGACTCAATCAAAAAAATAACAATAAATACCTCTTCTGAACACTAATGAGGTTATGATAAATGAATAAATAAATTAAATAGGATTAAATATAAATGAAATTGAGAAAAGTTTAGATAATAAAATTGATTTACTAAATAACAAAGTAGAGAAAATTAGTATAAATAGACATGATTTGTAAGAATAGATTAAATCATATGATGGTATAATAATAATAATATATATTTTAGCAAGAATGGAATCATAATGGCAAGGTTTGGCTAATGTTTCTGATCAATTTTGGTTATTGAAGAAATAATTTGAATAACTTTTGATTGAAACTCCATAGTAGAAAAAAAAATACTCTTTATTTACATGAGGATTAATTTATTTGTATTATTAATAATGTACTATATTGATTAAATTGTTTGCTCATTAACCGATTAAGGCAGATGCAGTCTTTGATACACTATATGTTTAGAAATTTATGTTTACTATTTCCAATTTGATGGCAATTTTTGGGTTCTTCTATAATATCTGCTAAGTCTATGAATTCTACTTTCAACCAAAATCAATCTGAATTTGCTTGTAATATCTCCTCTATTCTTTTCTAAATGCTTTCTAATTTAAACAGCCTTTTTAATTAAAGCATATAAATCTTCAGGGATTTTTGGTGCACAACCTTGATGATTTAAGGTTTATAGTTACCTCTCTTTTTCAATATTCTCAAGATCTTTTAACCAGTTAAGAATCTAGTTTATGGAATTCCTTATTAATCTCTCAAATAAACACCAATTTATGATCCATTAAGTCCTGAATTTATATTATTCTTGTACCCTTCTTTGCCAAATTTACAATCTAATCAACAATGGACTTAGATGAGAGTGTCAACCACTTTGGTGCTTTTCTTTTGTATGGAAGGGCTGATCCGGAGATACCCTTTCCTTTTCCTTTAGCCTGCATACGTCCCATAATTTATTTAAAGATTTAATTTTATTTTAAATTTTATCCATTAAATGATTAAAATCACTCATGCTTGTAGAATACCTTGGGCTTCTCAATTGAGTTGCTATTTTTTAACAATTAATAATTTCATACATTCCATGATGCCATAAAGAGGGTTCAAAATTGTTATCATCATCAATAAAGAAGAATTTCTTATCCAATTCAGGTACATCAAACTTATTTTCCCAAATTGGTGCACCATCCAATAATTTACTGACTTCTGATTTTATGTTACTTTGATAAAAGGATCCTGCTGCAATTCTCTATTAACTTACTCTCAATACCTTGATCCAAAGAATGTAGCCCCAACTATAGCAGCCTTGTAATAAATGGCTAATTTCTTTGCAACTGGAATCCTATTAACTGCTTCTAAACTTAAATATGTAGAAATCAATGAGGCTTTATTTTAGAAACTATTAACTCCATTAATAACTTCAAACACTTTCTAATGAGTTTCAGATGGTACTAAAGATGTATGAGTCCACCAAGTCTTATTTTAAGATGTAAGACTAATATACATTTTTTATTTAATTTTAATATTGTATTGTATTATTATACTTATTTAGAGTATATTATTATTATTTATATACATGAATTTCTTTAGAGAATTAGTCTCTGGATAGAAAGTTAGATTTATTAATGGACAATATAACTTGGATCTCACATATATTACCAATCGTGTTATTGCAATGTCATTCCCAGCTTCTGGATTTGAAAGCACCTTTAGAAACAATATTGATGATGTAGTGAAATTTTTATAAGAACATCATGGGGATAAATATATGCTGTATAACTTGAGTAATAGGAAGTACAATTATGAGAAGTTTGGAGAGAACAGAGTAAGTAGAGTGATATTAATCTGAGATTCTTGAGTTTGCATGGGAAGATCATCATTCACCGCCAATAGATATGCTTTTTGATGTGTGCAAGAAAGTGGATTAATTTCTAAATGAAGACATCAATCATGTAGCTATCATCCATTGTTAAGCCGGAAAAGGTAGAACAGGGACATTGATTTGTTGTTATTTGTTATATAGTGGCAGAGCTAGTAATCCAGATGAAGCTAGACTTTATTATTCCAAGAAGAGATTCAATAAAGCAAAATCTGGAGTTACTTAACCATCCTAAATCAGATATATAGAATATTTTAATCAAATCTTCAAATCACCTGATTATTGTGCTTAATTAAAAAAGTTATCAGCAATTACATTAGTTGGGTATTATATGATATGTATAAATATATATATAGACCATCTCCTAAGATGTCTGGAAATACAAGCAAACCTTATGTAGATATATATACAGTGAAAGATATGAGGAAGTAAATTATCTATTATTATACAAAAGAATATATAGTGGATTATAGGAAGCATAAATGAAAAATTATGAATATAAAGGGAATGAATTGGTTTTATAGTTAAATACTGTGATTTATGGAGATATTTTAATAAAATTTTATCATTGTGGTAGTTTAAGATAGAAGTTTATGTTTAGATTAGCATTCAATACATGTATGATTGATGAATCAAAGTAATCACTAATTTTAGCTTAGTTAATTATTATTTTATCTATAAAATTTGGATCCAGATTCAACATTCAAAAATAAAAAGTATAGTAAGGAATTTTAAGTAAGATTGTAATTTTAGGATATTTGTGAAATTTGTACATAAAGATAACAATTTTAATAGAAATGTTAAAATTGTTAATAAGAAATGTAATCAGAATATAATTCTTGGAGTTTAGTGTACTAAATAATGAATGTATTTAGATATTATTTAATTTATAGGAATATCCTAAATATAAATTGATATAGAGTAAGATTTTGTTGTTTGGAGATCCTTAAGATGATGACTTTCATGAGACTATAGCAAAATTATAAAATGGTGATTAAGTGGAATCTGATGATGATTCAGAGAGTGATTAAGATAGTGATGGAGAATAGAAAGAATAAAGATTATAACAATAATGATTAATTAATATTAATAAAAACGGTATTTGTAGTAATAATAAAATTAATAATGAAGAGTATAACAGGAGTGCTAGTGATTTTACTATTGAGTTAAAGTGTTTTGTGTAGTCCAAAGAAGATCAACACAGATTTTTTGAATTTGCTTAGTTCTAAGACAAATGTGATGAGTTCCTAGGATGCCATATAATCTGTTTTGACACTCTTGGAAGATTTATAAGGTGCTAATGTAGAAGCTCAAGATAAAGCTGATCTTACCTTCTAAAGATTTGAGAATGCTATCTTATAAGATATCAATGAATTCTCAGGAATTGTGAATGTAAACTCAAAGAGTGCTGCAGCTGCCTAACAAGACCTTGAAGCTGTTGAGTAATTCTTTATCTTACTTAATTAAGCTTGAAGATACAACAAACTACAGATTACTTGAATTGGAATAATAAGAGATATAAAGCTAATGAACTTAAATTAGAAAATTTGGCAGAGTAATCTCTTTTTTATTAAATTATAGATAACGTTGTGAAGCAAATGCTTTGTTCATTGATACCCTTAGAGAGTACAAAAATGCACTTTCAGTACTTGATTGGGTTAGAAGTGATGCTCAAAGCAAATAAGCTAATTTGATTGAAAAAAGTCATGTTGGAGATTATGCTGAGAAATTGAGCAAATATGCTAATCTTTTTGAAGAATAAGCAGTCTAAGACTTTGTAAAATTAGGAGATGATGAAACTTCATTCTCATAAACTAGTATATTTGATAATTTATTCAATAGGATAGAGAGGAAATGGTGAATAATTAGTGTAATTGATGACAAAAGATGTTGTAGGTGTTATTTAATAATTGATTGAAAAATTAAGAGAAACAATTAAGGGATTAGAAGAGTAAGAAATACAATCTGCCAATGATTTTGCTGATTTCAAGACCAATATTTTGGCTGAATAAGAATCTTTGAAATAAGAATATGATGCTAAAGCTAAGTTCTTGAATTCTTTATAGAATGATAAAGAATTAGCATCTGATATTTTAACAAAGAAGAAGGAGTTATAAGATTAAAGTATGAGAATTCTCAGTTTGACATAAGGTATTATATAAATTAATTACTTTTTGTAGAAGAGTATAATTATAAAAAGAAATTATATAATTCAGAGAAGGCTAAAAGACATGAGGAGAATTAATTATTAGAAGAATCTTTGTTGATTTACAGAGAGAAGATTTCAACTGTAAATGAATATCTCAAGAAACGAGTTAATGAATATGTTGGTGATGCTTTGATTGAAGAACATGCAGTAACCAAATAATAATCAGTTTCAGCAAGAAAGGGATAATGACACAATATCAAAAGATAAAAATTAATATTAACTAATCATATATATATATATAGATAGATATTCATTTTTTGTCTGGTGTTTGTTAAACTTTTCTTTATGTATTTTTTTGAGTTTATTAATGTTATAATTTTGAGAGATCAACATCATATTGATATCCATCAAATAATGCTATATATATATATTATATTATTTATTACCTTGAACAGTATCTCGACGTAACATCACTTGATTTTCAAGTTATTATTCATCATTTAATTATGTTTCTTCTGATATCTAGTTTTGGAAATCAAAATTATTATCTACAGCCTAAATTAGATATATTAATATTACTCCTGGAATATAGAGAGCTGTCAATTTCTTTTTTAAGAGATCATCCCATGGAAATCCTTTAAGCCATGGATGATGAAGAATTTCTTCTATGCCATTGGCTCCTAATCTTCTCTCAGGTTTACGTTAAATTAACTGCATATGATTGAATCTATACTGTGTTAACAAAATCCATAGCACTTTCACTCCAATAATTAGGCATTTCTTCTCTTCTTACTTAGACTTATTTAGCCAAGATCTATTCACGAATGTCTTGTCTGGTTCTTCCATTATATGGTCTACGTCCAAGCATTAATTCATATGTAATAACTCCTAATGCATAATAATCTGTAACAATAGAATGATCCATTCTACACATTACTTCAGGTGCCATATATCCTGGAGTACCAGAAGTATCTCCAGCATTATTACCCTTATTTATACGTGCAATTCCTAGATCAGTCAATCTCATATATCCATCTTCCTCCAAGACTAGATTTTCTGGTTTAAGATCTCTATGTATAATACCATTTTGATGTAGATATGTTAAAGAGAGTAGAATACAGGCTACAAAGAATTCTAATCAATATAAATACACATTAATTTACTTGTTTAAGATTCACTAAATCGTCTCATTTTACCTAAATGAAAACGTAAATCACCACCTGTTAAAAGATCTATTATTAGATAGAGATTTTCTCTGTCTTAGAATGCATATGACATATTAACAAGAAAAGGGTGATGAAGATGTTCTAATAAATATTTCTCATTAAGTACAGAATTTACACTACGTTTTTAAATAATCTTAGCTTTAGCCATTTCTTTTAAAGCATACATCTTTTTATTTTTCTTCATTTCTACTTTCCATACTCTACCAAAACCACCCTTACCAATTACATATAAAAATTTAAAATGTTAACGTCCAACTATCTCTGGTGGAAGATTTTCAATCTATTATGCTACTAATTAAGTTTTATCATTCAATTCTGATTTACGACCATGAGATTGTTTATCTTTTTTTGGTGAACATGGAGCTGATTCAGATATTGAATTTAATATCTATTCAGATCGAGATTATGAATTGATTGAATTTACTGAATTTGCAGAATTATATTTGTTAGTCAATTTCAATTTAAATGACATCTAAGTACTACTTAACATGCTTTTACTCTCAACTTTTTTTGGTATTACTTTACTTTTCAATTGATAACTATTTTCATACACTTACGAATTGCTAACATTGCTTTTATGATATATGATATTCTCTGCATATTATGGTTTTTTTGCTGATGGTTATCGATTCATTAACATTTAACTTTATTTCTCTCTATTTGGTGATTAATGAGCTGATATTGAACTCCCAACCTTTATATCTTTTCTTGAATCTGATTAACGAATCATAGGACTCTGATTCACCTTCTTACGAGAACAGATAGTACAATGTTTTAGATTACATTGGCATTCCCAAGTGCCAGATTGCTTTCTAACTGGTGCTTTTATTGGCTCACCTTTGAAATGAATCTTAGAATTCAATTATTGTTTTATTAGCAAGTCCCTTAGATTTTTCGCAGTAGATTGTTACATATATTTATTTCGTTAATTATTTTTTTTTCATCAAACTATTATTTATTATTCACATTCTCTATTTTAATAATATGCATCTTCTTATCAAACTATTAAAAACTGAATATTCATATTTTATCAGACTTAAATATGAATATTATAACTAATTATTATTTTAAGGACATAATAAAATTCAAACTCACAAAATAAATAAGATTGATTAATAATTATAACCATTCAAATAAGATAAAACTACACAATAAAAAATATCTATCAAGATAACTTAAAATAAAATTATATTCATTCTCGATTTATATTATATAAATACATGATATAAATAACAAAATTATAGTATTCATTATTATTTCAATAAGATATTGATTTAATTAAATGGGAATTCTAATTTATTCTTATTGATTATACATTAGAGTAATTAAGATTATTCAAATGAAATATACAAAGTAAAATTATCTATGTAGATTTTAATTTAATATTCCCATTTCATCAAATTAAAGTGTCTTTTGATAAAAAAAACATTATTATATTCAAGAATACTTTAAGTATATTCAGTGTAATAAAAAATAAAATGAAATAAATTATTCTAAAATTGCACAATTTAGAAACAATTGATTTGATAGCTATTTTAATTATTGATTTTATTTTATATTATTAAAGGAAAGGGAATAACATAAAAGAATGATCTTTAAAAATTATTGATATATTTATTGTTCAATGCATATAAATATAAATAATAAAATGAGTATTGGTGTTAATTTGTACATGTAATAATTTTCATCATGACTCAATTGATATTAAGCTTAGTTCTTCTCCAGTGTCTTCTCTTTGAATTATATCTAAAAATTGCAATTTGAAATACCTGATTGTATTGTCAGTTCTATATCTGAACCAATTTGGTAATGGTCTATTTTATTTATTGGCTTTAATTAACCTTTTCTTCATTCTCAAGGATTTGTGAGCTCCCTATTAAACAATAAGTGTGAAGCTATTACCATTTTTAAATCTTTTTTAATTTATTTAATATATAAATCAAATAATCATTAATTCTTAGTCAGCAATGATAGTAAATGCTCATATGATAAATAAGCCCCTTATTGCTTTACGAATTCAAGTAACCAATCATAAGAATATTAAGTCAACACTTAAGATAATTGTTTAGTCTTTGTTATCAATTCATTTTCTTATTAATTTGAATTCAAAAGATTATGATACCTTAATCGTTCATCAATGATTTAAATGAGTGTTTATTTTATTTTTTCATCATTTCTATAATCATTAACTTATTTTTATGGTGCTCTAATATTTATATTTTCAATTTACTTATCTATTTTAGGTTTATCTTGATAATTTGATTAATCCAAAATAACTGTACTTTGATTAAGTAAATCCAAAGAGTTTTAAATTTACTTTTCATCATTCTCATTCTCTAAAACAAGTAATTTGATAGTTGGCCATCCCATTTATTTATACATCTTCTTCAAAAATATTAGACTTAAATCACTATTGATTTCTTCAATTCCATCTGGAACAGCTAAGAATTATTTTAAATCATTACTAGGATTTATTATAGTAAATAAATGAACTTCTTTAATTTAAGGATATATAGACTTTATTGTTTCTACGATTTCCTAATAAGATGTTATCTTTTATGGTAATTTGTGGACTTTTCTTTAATATACAATTTTAATATTAGACATTTTCTTTTATATTTTTATAAATATTATTTTCATAAAGTATTCTCTTAATCGAATTTAGATTTTATAATTAACAAATACTATTATTTTAATACTCTTTTGCATTCATATACCTTTCAAATAGATTATGTAATTGATATTAAAAACATAATTATAAATTATAAATGAAATAAGTGCCATCTTCTAATGATTACTCTATTTTAAGAAAAATTCAAATCCCTCATACTCATACACAACCTAAAGAGTCTAACATTACATTGGGAAGAACTACTAGTTATGAGTCCAGTCAATTTTGCAAGAGTTTTAACATTATGGCATTCAGAAGAGCTTCCACAAAAGAAGATATTAATAATACTCTACAAGCAAAGAACTTACCATCTACCTAAGAAACACTTACTCTCATTAATCTAAATTTCATCAAGTAATCCTAATTATATTTAAGTCCATCTTCTTATATTGAGATGAATCAATTATAGACAAAAGTATGGAAATCTTTATAGAAATAGACACTGGTATTTTATTTGAATATTATCAAGTAAAAAGTGTATTCAATTGACATAATTGTATTATTGAAAAATTAAAATGAATACGAATTTAAATTTGATATAAGCAAACTTTCATGCTTTCTAATGGTCAAAGAATTATCTAACCTAATTTCATAAGCTTATTTGGATAGAATTAATTAAACCATTTTAAAAAGGAGTTTTTTCTTTCCTTATTTATCTATCTTAGTAGGCAGAGTGAAAACATAGAAACTTGATGGAAACATGAGACTATTTGAACTAGTACACATATTATTAAATGGCTAAAACACTCTTATTTTATAAGAATCAACTTAGTCACTTTGATTCTATCTATATTTGATAAAACAGTTTTTGTTTTTTTTTACTTAATTTTATTATTATGATTGATTAATTATTATGAGATTTTTTGTTAATGTATTAAATAAATTATTAAATATCACAAAATGCAATAATAATCTATTCACTAATAAAAAATAGTCGAATTTACTAATCAAGGTACAATTACATTTGCAATTTAGGTGAATATGTTTAATTGGAAGATTATATACGAGTAAATTAAACAGGATAAATGAATTTTTCATAAGCCTTAGTTGAATGCATCTAATATACAAGAGATAGTGAAGAACACTTATAATGCATCCAATAAATTTTAAAGTAAATATTTTCCAAAAATATCAAGATAATAAATTGATTTCAATTATAAGGATAATTAAGGAAACACTGCTTTAATCTAGGCAGCAAAAAGCGGCAAAATTAGCATATTAAATGAAATTATAAAATACAAAGAAAAGTTTGAAAAAAAATAATTTAAATTTGCACTTGATATTGCAATATAATCAGAATAAGATAATTGGGATATTGTAGAAACATTACTTTAATTAACATAACTTGAAAAGCCTTAACATTTAATCAAATCATTACGTAAAGGCAATTTTAAAACAGCACAAAAGATTATTGAATAATATGGTGCTTCTGGATAAGATGAAAATGGTGATACCGCATTACATGTAGCATCTAGATTGGGCAATTTATAAATTATAAAAAGTATTTGTTAAAAAGAAAATCTCTATAAAAAAAAGAATTAACAACATTAAACACCATTAGATGTTGCTTGTAATCAAGAAATAAGAAATTTACTTATTGAAGAAGAAATTCAATTCCAAAAATCTCCAAATAGAAAAAAAAAATAAGAAGATTTAATTGAAAATAATTAAAACTTACAGAAATCTTAAAAATATGAAGATTTTTGTGAAATTTTTCAAAAACCATAAAAAGTATTAAATGATCAATCAATCCAAACTGAAAACAAAGAAAAAAAAGATTAAGAATCATAAATTCCAGAGCATAATTATATTAATCAACCATTTTATGATTAATTAATTTCTGAAACTATTGTTACACTACCTTAACACAAGACTACTTTAGATGATATTTTAAAGTAAATTATCAATAAATATAGGTAATTATCTTTTGAAATAAATACATTCTCTCAAGAGTTGAATAAATTATTAGAAGAATAAAGGCCCATCATTGATAAAATAGTTTAGATGGTCGATGAAGTATTAAATATTCTCAAATAATTATTAGACTGTTTAATCTGTATGTTCTAAGTCTCGTGCCTTTTTATACGGTTCTTGTTATACTGGTTTAAATTTACTAGATTCTGATATTGATATTGTAATCGAAACAAATGAATAAGAAAGAATTTCATTGTATAAGATTGCTGAATAATTCAAAGTATTATGGTATATAGTTTTAGATACAAGGATTTATTAAGGATGTGAAAGTAATTGATAATGCTAGAAAGCCTGTTTTGAAAATGTAATGTTCATAAGAATTTTAAAATAAACTTATTGATATTACAATTAGTAAAAATGATCATTCTGGGAGAAAGACTGCTAATTCAATGATTGAATTTTAGAAAGAATTTAAATAGTTTAAAAGTCTTGCTTTAATTTTGAAGTTTTACTTTAAATCTATTAATTTATTAAATGCTTATCAAGTATATCATAAATTTGTAATAAGGGTGGTTTGAATAGCTATTGCATTCTGACTATGATCTTAGCTTTATTATAAATTAAACGTGTACGTGATACAGATAATGAAGAGATTGGTAAGACCTTTTTGGACTTTTTCGATCTTTATAGTTAAGATATAGATTATTTTAATAAAATTATAAATATAGTTCCATCCCAATCAGAGAATATGTAAGTTGATGAACCTAATATTTACTAATAACAATTTCCTTAATTGTAAAGATTAATCTAATTTTAGTGATTAAGGATAATAAGAATTAGTTATTCTAGATTTACATAATAAAGGCAATAATATTGCTAGTAGCACTTTCAAAATAAAGCATATTAAAGTAATTAATAATAATTTAAATTAAGAATGCTTTGTCACTTGGGTATAGTGCTATTTTGAATTCTCAAAAATGTGAAGAACCATGCTTTTTCTCTAGATACAATAAACCTGTATGTTGTATTCTAAAATAAATTATTTAATATTCAAAGAATCATCATTTGACAGGAGTATATAAATCAAAATAGCCATTTTATTTCTTTAATTTTAATAATACTTATTGACATAAGATGAATGTGTAATGAATTTATTCTATTATGATGAATTTCAATATGAATTTTACAATCATATTTAATTATATATAATAAAATCTTAATTATAAACTTGTATCATAATTATATGTAATATTATAAACATAAATTAATTAAATAATATATATTATAATCATAGGAAGTTTGTTAATATAAAATTATATGAAATATCATTTCATTTTATCCAATTAGTTTAAATATTTAATATGTTCTCTTTCAAGTCGTGCAATTTCATCATCAAAAGGATCCCTATTCATATTATTAACAGGTTTATTAGGCATACTCTTTATAGCTACATCATCCTTTTTTTTGGCTACAGGTTTTGGTATATTTCTGGCAAATTCAATAGCCTTTTGTCTTGATATATTCGTAATAATACCTTGGATTGATTTCAGGTGGTTTACTTTCTTTGTTTTTGATAGTTATAATATTAGTTGAATTAAACTGTCTTACTTATTCTGCAAATTCTTATCTTTTAAGTTGCTTTTCTTTTTCTTTTACCCATTCTTCTCCACTGATATTAGGTCCCAAACCTCCTAATTTAGCATTTGCTGTCTTTTTCATCATTTCATAATCTTTAATGGTGTATGGTTTGTACCGTTACGAATCATCAACTGATTACTATTATTATTTTGCAGATTAGGATCTTTATTCAATCTTTTTTTAAGGCTCAGTAGCTGTTTGTCTTACTTAATAATTAGTGGAGGGTTGAAAATATTACTATTGACTCAAATATTATAGATGATCTTGAATTTATTATTCAGGTATGTATGGATTATGTTAATATATATTTTAATGATGTTGTTGATTGTTGTATTGAATTTGGTTAGGAAATGTTTAAACATTAACTTATTATTGTAAAGGTTATGGAATCTGAGGACATCTATTTTAATCTGATATAAGAGAGAAACAATACATTCAAAGTCTTTTTTAATAGGTTATTAACAAGTATTAAGAACTGATTCTAGTCCATTTCTACCCATAACTGTAGTTTTACCCTTAAACCTTTCTTAGAAAGTTGACATTATAAATATAAATAATTATATGTAAAATATTTAATTGTTTTGATCTAATTTTGTTATAGTATTAAATATGAATTAATATATTTTAGTATTCTTAATATATTCATATGACTATAAATATTGAATATTTATACAAAATAAATAAATGATTGTAATAGTAATATTAAAATTATCAGGATTATAATGATCTTATTTAAGAATATCAAATATATATTTAATAAAGAATTCTATTAGAAATAAGGATCAATATAGATTAGGTTTATTATAGAAATATGATTAATTTTATTATAAAATATATTATTAATAATTCTATAATGTTGGATGCACAACAAAAAGATTAAATATAATAGTTAATGGACATTACTAATCGTTCAAAAGTATTGATTGTTTCAATCTTAATGTACTTTAATTGGGATCAGGAAAAATCAATGGATTTTATTTTGAATGCTGGTGAATTTTTAAGTGAAGATTTGATACCTGAGAGTAGAAGACAAGCAGCTGAAACATTATTGAGGTAAGAAGAATAAGAATAAAGAAAATTGAATTAATTATAGAGTAATAATTAGGGTAATTTTTTAAAATAAAAGAGTGAAATATCGTAATCATAAATTAACAATTTCTATAATATTCAAACAACAAATGATGGAATTGATAAACCTGATTGGATATAAACAAAAAATAAAAGAATAAATTAAATAAAAGAGTATATACAATAATTAGAGAATTAAGAGTGGGAAAATATGTAAATAATAAAAGAAAGATTATAATTTATATATAATAGTTAAAATAAATAATAAAATGATTAAATATAGGTACGAATGCATAAATGTTTAATTGGAATGAATAATAATGAAGTGACTGGATTTTTTAATTGCATTTATTAATTGTTTTTCTAAAATCCAGAATTAGTAGAATCAATCCTGAGTTTATCAAATCTTATTAATAAGGAAGATTAGAATGTAATATCTTGATCTCATTTAGAGTTAATATTTGAATGAATTGTAATTTTTATTTGGATCATTCATTCTTTCAAATAACAGTTTTGTTAAAGATTCTAACATTTATTAAATAGCAAACAGATTCAATAAAATGATAATAGGAGATGATTAAATAAATTTTGCTTAACAATATGAAACTCATATTGATATTATTACTAAATGTTTTTAGGAAATCTGTAAATAAAATTAAGTTTCAATATTTGAATAGACATTTTAATCATTTATAAATTCAAAAAAAAGTGGATAAAAATCATTATCTTTAAAATTAGAATAAGAAGATAGATCATTACATTTATCTTTATTAAAATAAATTGAAAATCTTTCATCACTTAAATAATAATAAACTTGTAAAACCTATTGGACTTTTGAAATAAACAGAAGTGGATCAAAAAATTAAGAATTAAAAAATAATTAGAATAATTTGGATTATTGGTTTACTAAAAAAATAGATTTGGAAATTCTATTTTCAACAGTAAGAGCAGATAAAATCTTATAAATTTTTGAATAGAATTTAAATGAAGAAAATATTAAAGAAATCAAAAAATGTATATATTTAATGATCAATATTAGTTTAATAAATAGTTAATTCTTTACATATAGTAATTTCTCTTTTAGAAGTAAAGGATTTAATTTAAAAAGAAACACTTTAAAGTCTAAAAATAGAAAAGGAGACATTGGAGAAATAATTATTAACTTACCATCCTTTTAATATGAATATTATCAGTAAAGATGATAGCTAATCTTCAAAGTATAGTTACTGTCTATAAGCAACTGTCATTCAAATATAATAGGATAATATTCAATTATTTTACATTTACATTTATAACTTTTATGAAGAATTATGGTATAGGATATTTGATAAAGAAATAATTGTTGTAAATGAAGACATTGTCATTAATGATACTCGAAAAAATGGATGTTTGTTAATTTATATACATCAATCATAGATTTCAAGATTAAAAGGATATTAATAAACTATATCTGAAATAACTAGAAAGATCACAATAAATCAAGGAGAAATATCATAAGAACTCATACAAAGATATCCTATTTTAAATGGATTAAGTACTAATCATATTGAAATGATATAAAATAGCAATAGAGAAATTATAAAGATTCTTAATGAATAATTGAATAATGAATTTAATTATTGATATAATAATAAATAAAATAATAAATTATGCAATCTTTGCCAGATCAAACTCTAACAAGATATGTAGAAATGGGCTATGGTGAGATGAATATTCGATAATGCTGGGAACGTGCAAGAGGAGATTTACATTTATTTGAATAATTTCTATTTGATGGATGCTCTGATGTTAGTGAAGCCATACTTTATTAAATTTCTCAACAAGATTACTTCAATAATGATGTATATATCATGAATTAAAGTCAAAAAGGAAATCTTTAGATCATAAAATATTTTGGAACAAATCAAAAATGAAACACTTTAGATGTATTAATAAAGTAGTCGTAAAATTAAATTACGAACTAAGGATAAATATGTTGGATTACTTAATATAGGCAATACTTGTTCTATTAATTCAGTGTTATAATTTTGTCATCAAATTCCATAGTTATTTAAACTTTTGTTAGAATGTTAGAATGGAAAGAGTTAAGTAAATATTTCTATTAAATTAGTAATATGAAAAATTTGTGTTAGAAATATAAATTCTATTTACTTAACTCATAGCATCTAATGTAGAATATGTAATTCCAAGAGATGCCATTAAAAGTATAAGTTGGGAACCTCAAGAATAAGAATATATAGGAGCATAATAAGACATTATCGAAATTTTTAATTTATTATTAAATAAATTTGATAAATCCATACGTAGATTGCATATGCAAAATTTAATGGCAACAGATGTCTTAAGAGTTGAATTATTTGGAAATCAAAAAATGAATGAACTTTTTTAAATAATTCTTATGAATGATAAAAATTAAAGAGAGTATCATCCTAATATTGTTGCTACATTGAAACATAAAAATATTAGAACATTTTTATCTAAGGATTTTAGCAATAAAATATTAGAATTACCTAAATTTTTAAGAATTTCAATTAATCGAATTATTTTTAGTAATAGTAAGAAATTTGTTAATTATAGGATCTATAATAAAACTATAAAACGAATTTATTATTGAAGAATCATTAAATCTTGAAATGTGTGTGTATAATAATAATTCTCCAAATTAAAAGGAATAAATCAATAAATTATTAAAATAATCAACTGATTTATAAGAAGAAATCTAAAAAATTAGATTATATTTATCCAGTCTAAATGGTGTCATTTAAGTATATGAAAATGAAGGTATTTTTATTGATCTAATATTTTTACTAAAAAAAAAATAGGAATCAATAATGAATTAATTAAAATAAAAAGAAGAAATTTATAAATAAAACCAATTAAATATTAATAAATTAACATCAAATAGATATTAATATAGAATTCATTCAATTGTAATTCATTTTGGATCAGCTTAAGAAGGACACAATTTGATTTATATATATAACTTTTTTTTAGAAAAATGGATGAAATATAATGATATTAGTGTTCAATTTGTTGAAGAAAATGTAGTATTACATGATTCCAAAATTTATGGATAATTAGTTACATATGTTAATCAAGATATGATTCCTCAACTTAGATCTCACTAATAGTTTATATAAAATATTGGAAATATAGTTGTGGCTTAACCTAATAAAGAGTTATAATAAATTGTTGAAATTAACAATATTCCCTAAAACGTACTTACCTTTGTTACAAAACAAAATCAAGAGAACTACAGAAATAACCAAAATTATTGATCAACCTTTTAATGAATTATCATTTATTAATCCAATTTTATAGTTCTAATAATCCAATATTATATCCTATTCATTTATTATATATTATTTAATCTTATTCACTATACTTATTTAAGATAATAATAAAGGGACAAATTCTAGAAAAATGTTGAAATTATGCAAAAATACGACTATTTTTAATACATTATCATTTACTAACTAATACTTCATTTTTTGAAATAATATAACTTATTAATTGTTCAAATACTTAGTATCTTTTTTGTTTGTTCAATTTATTAAATGGATTTTCAATTCATTCCATCATTAGAAAGGAAATTCAAAAAGGTTTAATTATATGATCAATAAGATGTGAACTTACTACAGTATTTAATTGAAAGCTGTTTATTAATTAAATATTATGAAGCAAGCTCATAAGTTGAGTGAGGTAAACAGTCCTAACAATAAACTCATTAATATTCTATTATAGAAATAAAAGAGTCCTTCATAATATTCAATTCAGAGTCCACCAGTCTCCCCAACTTAAGCTCATTTACCAAAAGGTTAATACCAAAGCAAGAACACATCAATTGATTTGTCTAAATTGGCCACATTAATGAAGTAATAGAAAGTGAAGTCCCCTTTGGAAGGATAGAAAGATTCAATGACTTAGCTTATAGAAAAAGCTCGAGCTATTGTGATATCAGCAAAGACACCAACAGGGCCAATACATATTCGGAATGACTCAGCTAAGGTTCGGAAGGAGAACAAAGTACCAGAAGTTGTAAGTCCAAAGGTTTCAGATACAAAATAGATTGGGAAAGCTTTATTTACATTTGAATATGTAATTGGAATTGGTGGATTTGGGAAAGTTTGGAAAGTAAGAAGAATTGGATAGTTATATGCAATGAAAGAAATGTCTAAAGCTTTAGTGATAACTAAGAAGAGTGTGAACTCAGTGATGAATGAGCGTATATTACTCAGTCAACTCAAACACACATTCTTAATCAATATGAATTATGCGTTTCAAGATAGAGAAAACTTATATTTAGTAATGGATTATATGTGTGGAGGTGATTTACGATTTCACATTGGCAGAATGAGACGATTTAATGAGGAACAGACTAGTATTAGTATTCAATGATAATAAGAGTTTTTTGTGGCCTCTATATTTATTGGTCTTGAGTATCTACATTCTAATAATATCATACACAGAGATATCAAACCAGAGAATCTGGTACTTGATGAAAAGGGTTTTGTTCATATTACTGATTTAGGTATTGCTCGTGTAATGAAGCCTGAAAATTCAAGCGATACTAGTGGTACTCCTGGTTATATGGGTAAGTTGTATTATTTAATAGTTAATTAGCCCCTGAAGTGATGTGTAGATAGAATCATACTTATGCAGTAGATTACTATGCTTTAGGTGTAATTGCATATGAATTTATGTTAGGCAGAGTATAAAATTTGATTTATTCTAATAGAGACCATATGTTGGTAGATCCAGACAGGAGATTCGTGATCATATACTGTCTAGATAAGTATAGATTAAATCAAGTGAAGTGCCTCCTAATTGGAGTGCAGAGGCTGTTGATTTTGTGAATCGATTAATACAAAGAAAACCATTAAATCGACTTGGAAATAATGGAAGTTATGAAATCAAATTGCATCCATGGTTTAAGAATTTCCCATGGTCAAAATTATAAAACAGAGAAATTATTGCACCATTCATTCCAAATCCGAGTGATGATAATTTTGATTAACGTCAAATAGTGATTGAGGATAAAGAGAATGCTGAATTAATCAGTTAAAATATACAATTGTTAAGAGATCCCAATGTTTAACAACAGTTTGTTGATTATGAATATCAGATGCATAATAATGAGAAGTCCTTAGTCTTTGATTAATAAAAATAATGAAGCTATCACTCACATTATTTACACTTCTAATATCTATTTATTGTGCCGTACATAGAGAATATTATGATATTTTGGGAGTCTCTCCAAATGCTTCAGTTTAAGACATCAAAAAGGCCTATCGTAAACTATCATAATAATACCATCCCGATAGAAATTAAGGTGATCCAGATGCAAATGAAAAATTCTCTAAAATCAACGTGGGTAAATAAAATCATATAAATTTAGCATATGAGGTACTATCAGACCCAGAATAGAGAAAAAAATATGATAAAGGAGGAGTTGATGGTCTAAATAATTAGGGAATGTAACATCATGATCCATTTGATATTTTCGGATCATTTTTTGGAAGAGAATAATAAGGAGAACGTAAGGGACCAGAATTGAAGGTGAAAGTTAGAGTTACTTTGGAAGACATTTATAATGGAAAAGAGATACCTATTTATTTAACTAAATAAATATTATGTCCACATTGCAGAGGATCAGGAGCAGATGATCCAGATTTAGTAGAAACATGTCCAGCTTGTAAAGGTGTTGGTAGTGTTTAGAAAAGATAATAAGTTGGTTTTGGATGTAATGTTATTTATTGAGAATTTAAGTTTTTTAAACATTCCAGGCCACGTGTGAAAGATGTTATGGAACAGGAAAGATCATTTAAAAAAAATGCCATCTTTGTAAAGGTGATAAGGTAATACAATATTAATAATTCTTAGATAATTCCTGGAGCTGATAATATTAGTTTGTATATAGAAAAAGGAATATAAGACAAATAAACTATAGTAATATAATAGATATATATATTATAGAAATATGAGAATATGGCTGATGAACGAAATGATTCTGGTACTTCTGATCTAATATTTTAAATTGAATAAATACCTCATACATTCTTTTAAAGATAAGGAAATGATTTAAAATGCAAAGTCGAAATTACTTTGAAAGAAGCTTTACTTGGTTTTAAGAAGAAGATTAAACATCTTGATAATCATTTTGTAAGAATTGATAAAGATGGTATTACAAAACCAGGAGAAGTGTAAATTATAAAAGGAGAAGGAATGCCATAACATGAATTTTCATCTTAACATGGAGATTTATATGTAGAATATAAAGTGGTAATTCCTAATTTCAATGGAGAATAACTTAGATGTAAATATAAAGTATTATCAAATAGAATGGTAAAAATTCTTTTAATGAATATAATATAAATGTATATTTTATATGTTTTATTTATATATATATATGTATATCTATATTATTTCTTAGTATTGTTTTGATATAAATTTTATATTTTTTATAATAAATTAATGTATTCAAGTTATCAGATAGTAATTGAAAATGAACCTGAATGTGTGAATTTGTAAGAAATACCTATACTGTATATGAATTCAATAGCTTTGTAATTTAAGGATGAATAGATGACAGAGTTTAAAGTCATTGAATTTGCATTGATAATACTTTCATTGTTGATTAGTATGATTTGTGGTGCACGTTACTTGATGTGAGCATGAAATTAGTTAATGTTAGTGTGTCGATGACCTACATGTGTTAGACAACAATCAACATATTGGCACTCCTTTCATTGATACTTATGATATTGCCTTCAATTACTCTATGTTCTAAGACATTCAAGATGAGTTTCCACATGTAGAGAATTATACAATTGTTATATTTATTGTTATTGATCCTAGGTATAACGGAATTTTTTTTTTTTTTAAACTCAAACTTATAAAGAATGTAGATTGTAAGGGAAAATAATAGTAGAAGAAGTTGGAGTATTGCCATTCCTAATAGAAATTCTTTGTTGTTTAATGAATTTTGTGTATGTAAGTTACTTGCATTATGTCACTGTTTAATATTGCAATAAAGAATAACCAATCAGAATGTAAATAGTGCAAAAGATAATGAATACAATAGTACCAATAATTTGATATTATATTATATTTTATAAACATGGGATGTGTAATTACATCTGAATAACTCAGTCAGTAGAAAACCATGATGATAAAGTCTATACTCAATATGGAATACTGAGAAAAAAAGTAGCGAATCAAAGTGCATCTTATTTTAGATGAATATCAACAAACTAAAATAATTATAAAGTAAATCAAATTTTAATCAGATGTCAAGAATGCTCTGCAAGAGTAACTAACAAAGAATAAAACAGTAACTCCTCATAAGTTGTCAATAGCTAATTGAAATTATATATTTTATATATATTTTCATTTATTTACTAACCCCTGTCAATCTTTTTTTCAATTGATTCTAAAAGTTATCCTTTGTTGTTTCCTATTTATTAAATATCCTGATCTTTATTTTTCTTATATCAAAAATTTATTGATTTAATCATTACTACTTCATCTTCCTCCCTTAAGGTATCCCTTCGCTCATTCTCCCTTTGTTAATAGTGAATACACTTAAAAAAAAACACTTTAATTACAAAAGGATGGATTTTATAAAATAATTAATGCAAAATAATGACAAAAATTCATACATCCAATTTAGCATTATAGTTTATTAATTTTGTAGAATTCTAGTGCTATTTCCAATCCATTGTCTGAAATAATTATAGTAAATCCAAAATCAATTATTTTTATGTATCAAAAATTGTATAAAGTCAGTATTTAATTCTTTTTCAGGAATATGTTGTCTAATTTTAAATTCCTGTTGGATGATTATTTATTTTTCTCTAATTCTTCTAAACTATATAGAATTGGCTGAAAATACTAGATTGCCCAATTCCTGCTAAGCAATTTACTTCTTTTGATTAAAGAGCCCCAAATTTTAGACTGTTATTTACTGTGATTTAATTCTATTATTATTATTATGCAATACTTTTTTACATCTTGATATATCTTTGCAATATTATTCCTATTCATACCATACTACATTTTCTTAACAATAAGATCCATTCCAAAATAAATTATAGCAGTATTGAACTATTGTAATTATTGCACCTTAATCTTACATTCCCATTTGTTCTTTAATAGAATTTTCAATAACATTTAAGAAGTTACAATCCTAAACTTCTCCATCTTTTTTACATCTACTATAAAATAAATATAAATTTAATATTAATATCATATATAGTAAGAATGTATGTTCTTCTTTTTTTAAAGTTGAAGTTATCTCTACTTATTCCAAATATAGAAGACTTTAATGATTCATATAATTATTATACCATCAAAACAAATATTAATACTGCGTACAACTATAACATTGAAACTTTTAAATATGATGAATTATCATATGATCAATTATCCTAAAATTTAATATCAACCTAAATAAATAAATTTAAATGGATTTAGAAAGCAACGACTTCTTGGCAGATGGTGACAATCGCAATGTGAAATCTCGGTCTAAGAACAATAATAATAAGAGAAACAATAAAGTAGAGACATTACAAAGAGATTAATAAAAATAAAAAAGGGAAGAATAATAACATAAGGATGAAGATTGGTCAGACGAAGAAGAGAAGAAAAGCAATGCCAAGAAGTTGGAACAGTAGTAAAAGAAATTAAAACAAGTCTAGAAGCAATTAGAATATAAGAAAGATGAGGAAGAAATGTAACCAAAATTAAAGGGCAAAGAAAAAAGACAAGCTCATGTACACGATCTATGATCATTATTTTAATAATATCAATTCCTTAATTTACTTAACAATGCCTTAAACAGCCAGACCATGTTCTTCCTACTCTATTAATTGTTATAGTATAGTATTCCTAAACATGTCTTTAATTTTTATTGAATCAGACTCTAATAGATAGTATAATATTTGTAAAAGATGTTTGAGGTTCAACTGACTCTAATCCTTTTGTATTAAGAGTTCCAAGAGTTATTTTCGAAATAATAGACTAAGTCCAAATTCTTTAGGTAATACCTTAACTAATGTTGGGTACATGGGAACAGTATTATTTTTAAAATAACTAACAAGAATATCAATATTTTTGCTGAGAGGTATTCGTTGAGTTTAATCAAGTTCAATTAATTTAACAATTGTATCAAGTAATTTTGTAATATTTAGATTTGTTGTTAATAATCCAACATAAATAGTAATACCTCCATTTTCTTATAATTTTTATTTGCATCTTTCAGAAGAAGTAGCCAATGAACATAATATACTGATAGCTGCCTTTTTCATGGAGATTTAGTTTTCCTATTCACTTGGTAAGTTAAATAATTCAAGTAATAATGGAACACCTTCATAAAGACATAATTCTTCTTATTTATCATGATTAAGTTTTGTAAGATAAAATATAATTCTTAATATATCTGCAATCATCGGTCCTTAACTTGGTAAATCTTTCTTTAAAAGGGTTAACGCTCTTGGTATAATAGCAAATCCATCTAAATGTGGTTAAAGATTAGGTTCAGTAGAGAGATATCTAAATATTTTTATGGTTTTTAAAAGGGCTTATTCTTAGTTTTAATTAAGAAAAGTAGCTAATCTAGTAATAACTTCTTTTTCACAAAGAGATTACTTAACTATTTTATCTTCACATTTTGCTAAAATTACTAAAATATTTAATGATTTAATCATTAAATTAACATCTATATTTTAAATTTATTCAGCTATAAGTACAAGTCTATAAGTGATGAATTTGCTTGTTAGAAGTCTACTTAGATTTCTTTAACTTATTGTATTTAGATCGTATAGTAATATTATGGTATCTAATGCTAAGCCAATTAAATCAATGTTATTGGAGATATCTGATGTGTCAATTAATTCTAAAAGGTTATCCAATCCTCCTATTGAAAGAAGGTATCCTTCTTTGAAGTAAGTTAATTATCCTAAGAAATAGGCAGCTTCAACTCTTAATTCTTTATGAAATTCAAATGAAGTGATTTATTGATAAAATGTTGCAGCACCTAAATAACATGATAATTCTAATAATTAAGGATTCTAATCTACAACAATATTTATTAATTCAAATATCAATTTTAAAATTTATAATGATTAATCTTATGAATTATTTTCACAATATAATGGCATATATTTTTCTATAATTTCCAATAAAGATGTAAAACCAGTATGAATAAAATATTCTTTGCATTTATCATTAGGAATAGTGTCTTTTAACAATTCCAAAATTTTAATAATTTAAGAATTATCATTTTATTCTGTTAATTAAGTTATAAGTTCATTAATTTCTCTCATACTTTTACCATCTTCATTCTAACCCCAAAATCCATTTTATTTAATTTAATGACTAGTTCTTAATTTTAATTATCTGAGAGAATCTAATTAAGAATCTCTCACAGCACTACTTTTATCTATTTTTCTAGGTGATTAACATTGAACTAATTAAGGTACTTACTCAATAAATGAATCAGTAATAAATGTTCCAAAATTAGATTAATCTACTATGTGATTTCGTATAGTATTTGTTACTTCTTCAGGTAAATTAGGTCCTTATACTATATGCCAACTTTTAGTAATCCATATATGTTTGAGCATAGTTGTGGCATCATCTCTTAAAGTAGGATCTTTTTAGAAACATTGAATTAAGAAATCTTTACATTCATTTGAGATTCCTTCTGGTAATGGAGGACAATCTCTTTGAACAATTTAAAACATTGCTGCATATTATAATCTATCAAAATATGGTGGATTTCCTGTTAATAATTCTATGACTGTACATCCAAGTGACCATATATCACAGGAAGTAGATAAATTTCCAGACATTTCTATAACTTCAGGTGCCATCCAATATGGAGTACCAACTATGTTATTACTTTATGTCGTATCTTCAGATAAAGTTGTGGCCACTCCAAAGTCTGCCAATTTAACAGTACTTTATTATCTCATGATTAAAATTACCCATCTTTAGTAGTCAAAATATTGGCACCCTTTATGTCTCTATGAACAATTCCTTATTAATGTAAATACTCTAATCCTTTCAATACTTATTTAACATAAATGGCAACTAAAGACTCTGGAAATGATCCAAATTTCTTTAAAATACTTGCTAAACTTCCACTTTCTATATATTCAAGAATGATATTCAAAAATTGATCAGTCTCTATACAATCAATATATTTCACTATATTTTCATGTTTCAACTTCTTCAATAGATAGATTTCTTGTTATAATGCTTTATATTGATCTTCTTTCAGTGTGGCCCTTGACACTTGTTTAATTGCCACAAGTGTTCCCTCTATTATTGTGTGTTTATTACTAATTCCAAATTCAATCCTTTGTACACAGTACCAATCGAACCTCTTCCTAGCAAATCGCCTAGCTAGTAATTACCGATCTTCTTTAACTATCTAGACAATTGAGACATTTAATATTATTTAATATATATATATAGTAGTGATTGTAAAGAAGCGTGCAGATACAAGATGCATGTAAGCAATCTTATATTGAATAATGCCATTACATTAATGTGGCAAAAGTAAAAAGGGACACAAATATTGTAGATTGTGTGTCCAGAGTGTTATTTGCCATAAATTAATTTAATTAATGAATTTAATCACTAACGAGCGTCAGGCTATAGAGCAGTTAAGAGAGGTCAGTGAATTAGAACCCACTTTATTGAATTGGGGTAGAGAAATACGACTCTTCAATAAGAATTCCAATAAAAAGCGAAAGTCTTCTACTAGAGATGGAGAACATAGATATCGTTTACCTCAATTGAATAAGATTCCTCTTAAAATGCCCCTTCAAGAAATCTCATTAAATAAAGAATATTCTACTCCTAATTATTCATAATTACCTCCCTTAATCAAACCTGTTAAACCTCATACTGCAAAACCTAATTATAATGGCATCGTTCTTGGTGTTAACTTTGCACACTTTGAAAAGCGTATATTAAGTAAAATCAATTAAGCATGAAATATATACTATATTATTCATTTATATATTTGCATTATATTTAAAAAAATTAAACATAAAAATGCAGCCACAATAATTCTTGGATTTGATATAATGTGCTTTTTTTGAGAGTAATACACAACGAAGTTCAGCAGAATAAGTATTGCTCAAATACAAAGATGAATGTCCTGATGAATTCATGATATACTGTGCTTCAGCATTTTCTAATCGCGGCATTTAGAATCGCATAAGAGTTGCTTGCAGTACTTTAATTAAAAGACTTGTGGGATTGATTGTAATAATCTAATTGTATTTTAGCATCCTCCATCTAATTAAATTATTTGGTTGGCATGTTCTTAAAAAACTAAAAGTGATGTGAAATTGAAGTTCATGGAATAATTGATTGACCCTGAAAATGAAATTAGAAGATCAGCAGCCAACGTGAGCCTATTAAACTATCTATTAGACTATTAGTGAAATATGTGCCATAGAATTACCAAGACAAGAATGGCCGGATCTAATTTCTCGATTGACAACAAATTCTAAACACACCGATATTTTAATTAAAGTTTCAGCCATCTTGACATTAGGTTATATTTGTGAAGCATTAGTATGAATTATAATTATTTAGAAAACTCATTAATCATCTGGTATATCTGAATAAGATTCAAAAGTAATTTTAATGGGAATTTGTGTAGGAATGGATTTAAATGAGTAAAATTTAGAAATTAGATTGACAGCAATTAAAGCTTTATAAGATTCTTTATATTTTATGAACAATTTGTTTAAATAATAAGTATTTACACTTACTTTTAATTTAGGAAATCTTTACTTATGTGAAAAATTTGATATTATCTAATGCAATATGTAACATTTAAGAAGTTAAACACAAAGCACTTTAATGTTTAATTGATTTTGTTAAGTAACTCTTTACATTTTTACCTGCTTTTATAAATGAATTATTTTAAACAACTTAGACTTCATTTGAAAATTAAGGTGAAATTTCAATAGCAGCAATTGAAATTTGGAATACTGTTTGTGCAGAAATGAAAGAAGAAATCATGTAAAATGGCAATTAATAGACACCAGAAAGTAATGCAGTAGATTGTTGTGTGTAATTTTTTAAGAAGAATTATGAAGGATTCTTACTACCATTTATGAGAAACCTCTTATTAGATAGTGGAGATGTTGATGATGAATATTAAGGTTTATCAGTTC